GGGGCGAAGCCCGAGGGGAGCTTAAGGAAGTGAATAGGCCTATGATGTTCCTAGATATGTGGACCATATTTGTGCTTAATTTTGGCTGTATCGGTTTAGTATTTTAGTCGTAACAACTGCACAGACAGACAGACACCACCTCAACTTTAGTATAGATGTAAATAAAGCGTCAATCCATTACATTAGGGTAAAATATGTAATTTCAATTTCCAAGGGCTGGGATAGAGTATTTAGTGGATTTTGGGCTATTGAAGGCGCAGCTATAACATGCAGCTACACCTATACCATGCAGCTACACCATACAACCGTACAGTGATTGGTTGAAAATACAATAAGTTACGCAGATTAAGTGATAACCTCAAGAAATTCAATTAAATTACCCAATTTTTGACCCCTTCCGTATTGTTGTCAAAAACAACCGAATGAAAATATCGATCGATATATATCGATTATTCAATACATCTATTATTTCATTCGATATATCGTTTGGTTATTTAGCTTAACTAATCAACTGATATAATCGAATGAAACCATTAAATAGTTAATATATCGATCGATATTTTCATTCGGTTGTTTTGACAACAGATACGGAAGTCTACCCTTTTTGACGATTTTTTGAGAGTAAATCGCTGTATTGCGAATGTTACCCCCAAATAGGGAGACAAACCATATTATTATAAAAGTCTTAGATTGAAGCTTGTTTCTAAGATGAATTGCTGCTACCCATCCCAAACGTTGGTCAAAGTTTTTTCTAGTCCGAAGTTAGTTATTCAAACTCATGTTATATTGTAGCTTATGAATAGTAGTAAAGCGGCACCAATTTTATCAGTAACGATTTTGTACAATTATATTTCCATTTGTGTAATTGATTTCTCTCACTTAGCTAAAAAACCGTATTCGTTGCAGTTGGTTATAGCAAGCGACTCACCTAAAGGCCCCGTTTATGCACCAAGAGCGGGAGCGGTAGCGACAGCGGGAGCGATTTCTAACACCATTGAGTTAAATGGGGCTGTTTATGCACCAAGAGCGATAGCGATAGCGGTTGACCTCCCGCTGCGGTTTCTAATTCGCCCGCTGTGTAGTTAGAAATCGCAGCGGTTGCTTGGGATAGAGCGGTTTTCAACTACATTGAGTCAAATGGGAGTGTTTATGCACGGCGGGAGCGGGAGCGGCTGAAGCCAGGGTTGCCAACTTGACCCACGTGCACTTAGGACAAATAGTTGTGTTCATTATTTGGCAGAGTTTGAGTTGGCAAGACTGTGTCCCCCTTCCATTCTCCTTTAACCAACCGCTACCGCTATCGCTCTTCGTGCATAAACAGCTCCATTCATAGCGGGAGCGGGCCCGCTATCGCCCCGCTCCCGCTCTTGGTGCATAAACGGGGTCTAAGAAAATGTGTAAAGCAATGGGTCGAGGCAATAAAAATCCTCTCAATACAGTTGATAATTTTGTATGTACATACTCCTGACTTTGGCTATAGACTTAATATTATTACGACGAAAGCCCATCATATTTGTATAACTTGTGGTATGACTCTATTGCAGGGCATTATCAACGACATCCGTCAGTAATTCTTGACTGTTTGCAGGATGGGGATAAGACAATTAATTCAACTGGTCCCAGTGGAGCGGTTGATAAATTACCATGTGGAACTCCCATGGATGCCTCGAGAAATTCCAAAACTATTGTCTGAGAAGTGTTAGTCAGTGCATCAACTGTACATCAACTTCCCGTTTTCCAAAACCTGCAGCAGTGAAGCTGTAATACGAGTACATGTAGCAGCTACCTTAAGGACGTGTGCAGCTATCAGCATAGAAATGATCTGAAAAGAAAAATTATGTTAGTTGAACCACCATTGACTGACAGAATCCGATTTACACCAATGACGCTACCTTGGATGTGAGAGGAGCGAGCAGGTCTATTGGTAGTGAGCGGGACTTTGGTCCCTAAGGTCTGTGTTCAAATCCCACCAAATCACCAATGTATTTTATCTATGTGATGATGCCACAGCCCCTAGGTCTAGCCTGAAATAATGTGAATAAAACAGTTCCGGGCTCGTGTCTAGCAGGACAAAAAACCTTGGTTGTGAAGATTTGGACGTAATATGTCAACTATTTCTTAAATGAATTTTTAAAGGATGTTTGATTGAAATCCAGTAACGATAAAGTCTGTTTTGCTTCTCCTGAGAAGTAGCTTACAGTACTTCAAGTTGTGCCAGTATTCTATTTGATGAGCTATATGTTGATTAAGGCTCGAAAATCCACGTAATCCTACTGAGAGACTCATAACTCATAACCATCCCTGAAAACCATAAGAAAGGGGCTGATGAAACTCAATTCAATATACTCCCTCCCTGACCTCAATTAAACTGCCGACCCACCAAGAGCATAGTGGATCAAGACAATTGTCTGTGACTGTATAGTCACTATACGACTTGAGAGGAGGAAACTAAAAACCAGTACCTAGTGAAAAGTCAACTTGGAGAAGAGATACCAGGAGGCTGAGGCTGAAGGGAAAGAGGTCGACCTCCAACCACCAGATGGGTCTTCGGCCGCTGGAGATCCGGGAGAGATCACTCCACAAGGAAGTAGTTAAGTTACCCATATCATTCACTGAGAGTTGAGAGCGCTACTTCCGTAGCGGATGGGCTTCTAACCGATTCTTAAATCGGTTAAGTCGGTGTTAGTTCCAATTTCGGGGCCAATAACCATTCCATACTTTTGACTAAAAAAATCATAAACCAACCATCAGCAAGGCTGTGGTGAGGTGTCTCTCGAGCTATATACAATATCAAAAGATTCCAGGTTTGTAGACTACAAAACGAGGAATGAACTTTGGACTCTTCCGGCTCTTTTCAATATCTTATTTGTTATAGGTCATGGTTTTCCCCCACGGTAATCCTTAGTTTTTTTATCAACAAAAAGTGTGTGGAGTATACAGTAGTGTGTGGCAATGGCAGTATTGCTGAGTGGTTTGACCGGAGGTGGACAGTGGCGTGCCGCTGTATGCTAAACACGCTAATCTGGTGTTATCTAGGTGCCATCGCACCTCGTCAATACTGTGTGGTGGTATTGTAGTGTGTGGAGTATACAGTAGTGTGTGGCAGTGGCAGTATTGCTGAGTGGTTTGACCGGAGGTGGACAGTGGCGTGCCGCTGTATGCTAAACACGCTAATCTGGTGTTATCTAGGCGCCATCGCACCTCGTCAATACTGTACACACGCCACTTGCCACTAGCCACTGGACACACTCCACTCACCATAGTCACAACACTCTCACAGTTCACACTCTACAGTTCACCATTATTGTATATCTGAAGAAACACCTGTGGAGAAAAAGTGTTATTCGACATTAATAAGTTCACATTTCTTGTCGGGGAGATTTTAATGATGGGTTAAGAGAATCACGCTTTTAAGTGGGAAATCCTGCAAGATGGACCAGAAGTTTGTGGTCACAGATTGGTAATCTTCTTACTAAGATAGTAAAGTCTTCTTACCAATATGGTAAAGTTTCTTACCAAGATGGGTATTCTTACCAATATGGCGAAAATTATTGACAAGATAACAATTTTTGGTAGTCTTCTTACGAAGATCGTAAAGTCTTCTTACCAATGCTTCTTCACTGAAGTTTCTAGGGAGAAATGACTCGACTCTGGAAGTCTGATAAGGAGCACACTATAATGTGCCCTAGAGAACTGTTTAATCTGCAGAAACCTTACATTAGTAAAAGCTATTATAAATTGTATATTTATAAAACCCTTCCCTTCCGAGGGTGCCAAAAATGGCCGTAGGATCAAGGGAGGTAGATCGATCACTTTTAAAAGCTCTTGATTTTTCATTTCTCTATCTTTAATTTCCCAAAAGCTTCTGTAGCTTATTCTCCGTTATTTTAAGTTGGGAACCATTAGCCCTCACTCGCAAAACCTCTAGAGTCCAGACGGTATGGTAACCGTTTAAGTCTTCTCCATGAAAAGGCTCTCATTTTTTCAACCTAAAATAAGTACTTTTAAAGTATTAGGGTTGAAGTTTACGCCCTTTAGAAAATTCGTGAACAGGGAAAAATGCTACAAGCATTTCATATTACTAAAATAATAAACATAATATTGTTTGGAACATTAGAAACGATTGTGTAACTTTCTCAAATATTGGGAAATAACTCGAATGTTCTAGCATGCAGACTAGTCGAAGCGTTTTTCTTATTGGTTATTTCGTGAATATAAATCGAGATTAAAATTTGAAAGTTTATGAATCTTATATACTAAACAAGTTTTGCAAAACTTACGCCAGCTAGCCTGGCCATACTACTGGACCGAATTACACGCGGTTGGTACCAAATGAATGATATTTTCCTGTAGATGTGCAGAATCTTTCTATAAATTTAAATAGGCTCAAAAATAAGCGCGAAAAATGAATTTGAAATTAAAAAAAAATAATAATACGGGCCTTATAGGTTGCTATGCTGGTGAGAAAATAACAAAATATAAACAGAAAATCCAAACAAATTCTATTCACATGTTTTATTTACCGTGTGTGGTGAAAATAGAGAAGTCTGTACATTGCATATTATTAGTATAGACAGTATAGACATTCGGGACAGTGACGTCATTTGTTTATATTTTTGATCCGCACCGTTTCTGTTCTAATATTCGTGGAATATCTGAAGCAATGGTTGACACCACTAAATTTCAGTGTTTACACCAGACTTGAATGATTGAGAGTTGGTCGAACCCATGAGTCACCCATTGACAGTCTCATCTATCACAGTATTTATAGTATTCTTGTGACTTCACACCTAAAACTTTGAAATTGAAGACCGTCCATCACCATTTCCCAAGGAGGACTAAACATCATTTCCCCGTCCAAAATAAGCTCAGTGACGTATCGCACCAGTTCATCACATGATGTTGCACTTAGACATATTCATCTTGTATATGTTAAGAATAAGTGGTCTGCCCCAGAGGCACAGCTGATGTATGACGCACAATATTGTATAACAGCTGGAGTGGGAGTCTCCTGAGCTTTCGCTCTTCACTTTCACTCCAGTCTGCTCTGAAGTGACCGAGATACAACATGGCTGCAACAGTTAAGGTAATCACCTGTTTTCATAAATAAAAAAAATATTGTTGGTTAGGTTCTAGTAATTTGTAAATACATTCGGCTAAGTTTCATTAAAGAAATTAACATTGTTGATTTTTGTCTTGACAGTGTCGTATTTTTTTAAAGTGCATTCATTAATATTTTATTCAATTTCTATTGCTGCACCGTTTTTGTATTTTTTTAAAGTTTTTATCACAAGGTTAATATTTGGTCTAATCACTTTATTCAACGATGTGCTCATACAAATACATGTTATCTTAAAACACTGTAAGCACAAAATTTGTGCATTACTTTATTGAAGTATGATCTTATAAAGTGAACAGAGTTATATTATAAAGTTAAGCAAGTATTAAAACAATATTTTTGATTTTTTTCAACAACTCTTCAATTTTTTAATTATAGCTCTTGTAATTTTTATCCATACAGAAATATAAACAAATAATTTACAACTTTACTTTATTAAATTGATGATATTTATACATACAAAATACAATTAATAAAGTAACGTAGTAATATATTTGTTTACATTTTCAGTCGGGATTGATATATTTAAAAATTTAAGTTTTTAAACGCCAATGCTACTGGTGAAGCACATAATGGTTTGTACCTGCAACCGTTGACTATACATAGAATAGACTTCCCATAAAATTTAAAAATTTGAAGCCAAGAAAATATATTAAGTTCAGAACCATCTCACCAGAGGGTACTAGTGTATTGGGTTAAATATTAGCATTGACTATTGGATACAGATTTATCACTTAACACAGAATATTGGCATTAATTGGTAGAGCATCTCAACAGTTTGCACCTAGTTTTTTTTCGTCAAATTTGTATATTACATGTTGAGAATATTGTAAAGTAATGTAATATATTATATATGTGTGAGACGGAATCGTGTTTATTTATATCAAGGGAATGCTCCAAAGGTTATTCTAAAACTTTCAAATAACAATAATTTTTCGTCCTACATCTGCAAACACATTTGATGCTGTATCACAATTTTTATTTTGCAAATTGAAAAGTGCAACATAAATTTAATAAGTCTCATACAATATTCACTTCTCAAAACATTACAGATCGTGGACATCAAACTGGTATTAAATTACATTACATTTCGATACTATCATAATTTCATACTAAATAATGTCAAGCTGATTTTCTCTTGATATTTAGTATGAAATTATGATAATATCGAAATGGTATTATATTTTTGATCTTTACTCCCTCATACGTTTTGAGTCTAGATATGAAATTGTCAATAGGTAAAATATAGTGGTTTTCAAACACAACGTATTAATTTATATACATGCGTTCAGTTCACTCTGTACAGGAATCGCCAATACTTTTGCTTATATCCATATATGCTTATATCCTAGCTTGATTTTATTGTTATTTTAAGGAGCTGAATTACAGGGTGTTCAGGTAAAAGTTAAGTATATGCAGTTAATTAACCGAAAATATGTTCATACCTTTTGACCGAGACTTACGAACACATAAAGTTTAAGTAAAAATCGTGGTAACTACTGGGTGCTTAGATACGTTATTCCTTTCAATAAGTTTGGTAGTAAACAAACAATGTAATAATACATTGGACTACGTATATGTAGCCAATGTCCTAATCTGATTGGATTTTTTATCAAGTCCTTTTTATATAAATAAAGTTGCGAAAGCGCCCGGTCTATAGAAGTCGAGGCGCGGGACTTAAACGCTGGGAACACAAATCCTGCAAACAAAAAAATGTTTTAGGTTTACGAAAAAAATACATGATACAGTAAAAATTGTTTTATACAATAATTGAAAACTTGAATGAAGCCTAATTTGAAGAGGTAAACTAACTAAACTTCAGTTTTAGCTATTCAAGAAACGCATTTACTAAAACCAAGTAAATTTAATTAAACCAAAGAATTTAAGCGATTTGATGATTCCGTAACACGATTGATTGGCGCTTTGCTGTGAGGTTAAAACAATCTCTTTTTATATTAGCAATGAGTGTTGTGTGTGAGAGATTTTGAGGCTTCTCGAAAAATCATAATCATAAAACAAAAATATTGTATCCATTCTGACATGTAAAAGCTGAAGAGATGACAGCTAGTCAACAAGAATAAGAGCGCGGAAGTGACAGTTGATTGTTAAAGAAAGGACACATTCAATGGTGAATGGAGAATGGACCGCTTGCATCATTGTAGCTACGTCGTGGGCTTATCAAAAATGGTTCTAGGGAGTATATTATCATTGTCTAGTTGTATTTAATGTTAATAGTATAATTTGTTTTTAACAGGCTGACATTTATGTTGTAGCCTACGATACTTTACATCATACTACACAGAAAGTTTAGTACATTTTAAACTCATAACACAATTTATTTAGGGCATAACATAAATTATAATATTGTTTGAGCGGAGCGAAGCTCTTATACTGTACTAGACTCCTGCTTTTGTTTTGCAAATCTCCTCCTGAACGTATGAATTATATTTCAGAAAATAAAAAAGGCCGTTGGTATTAGCTGTTTATTTCATCAGCTGACTAATTGCACGGTAAAAATACATGACGTTAATTTTCCGTGTGTAGGAACGGCAAAGTACAACTTTCCAGCCTATCAATACGGATGGAAAAGTGCCTGTTTCTGTGTAGTATGATGTAAACAAATAAACATTTAGACGATCAGGGCACTCTAAAAATCACCAACATGAAACACACATAAAACAGGCAAAAACTGTATATAATATGACGATTAGTTTACTTGCAACATTCAAAGTCAATACTGGAACACACTTAATTAAATATATTATCTTCCACTAAAATAAATATTACCTAGTTTTTTTTATTTTGCAAATGTATCAATAATTCTCCACCTACAGTACTTTAGACTACATAATCAACAACCGTCAATGGTTAATACATACAGTATTAAATAAAGCTAACAGTGACTTTGTTATATAGTCAGAGTAGTGTTACAAAAACATCAAAGTGGGTGTAGTAGGAGTAGTATGGCTGTATAATATATTTTTGTCGTCACACCCACAATATTGTTCCAAGTAAGAAAATATGTCAGGTACAGTCGCATAATGTCATTGCATCATTTGAACAATGTCCAAACCACGTAGTTCGTACTGTTAGGTTCACTGTGAAAGAATAGCTAATGCAAACTCGACTCGGATTCTACTGACTTTGTACACATAAAAACTAAATAACCCTAAAGTGTTTCTTCAATTGTTGATGGGGGGGGGGGGTTTAAAACTGTAAAAAAGCAATAGATTCTTCGTAATTTAATTAACCAGATACTATTATCTTCTGCTGTTCCATCGACGTATATGTCAGCATCGACTAACTTGTATTAAAAAGTTTGTATAAACAAACATTTGTTCAACCTGTCATTCAGATGCAACATTAATATTGTATTCAAATACCCCCGCCGCAGCAAACCTGCAGACTTAGCGAATTTCCATCTGCCTGATTGGATTTTAACTAAAATGTCTCCTTAAAAATATCACATTTATTCCCAATTTAAACAGAATTAATTTAATGAGTACTTAGGTTTGCTGCAACAGGGAGGGTAAAAAGTTTTTTTTAATGTAAAATATTAAAAGGTACTGTGGTTTAGTAAGAAATTAATGTATTTTCCAAATTTGATCAAAATATGTTCATAAACAAGCAAACTACAACAGTTGACTTATTCTCCATAAGAATAACATGGGAATTTTAAAATTACAATTTTTTTGCATTTTTTCCGTAACAATTAGGCGCATAATAACGCTTCAATATACTAAATTATTTGTTTTTTTAAGCTCTACAAAATGGTTTGAAAAGAAATTGTGAAATTTTGTGTTTTTAGGGTCAAAAATGGGAAAAACCTATTTTTACCCCATAAAACCCCCCATAAACCCCCGTTCCCATAGTCCGATCATGCTGGTTCGCGAACTCATTCAAGTTTATCCCGCCTTACACCTTCAAACCAAATTTTATCAAAATCGGACAAAAATTACTCAAGTTATCGTGCGGATGGACACACACATATATATATATAGCTGTACCCGCGGGCTTTGCCCCGTTTAACTTTATAAGTGAGCTCGTTCGCATGGCTCAATCACGTCCTCAATGGCATTTAGGTTGGAGCTCGTTCGCTGCGCTCACTTGCCTTCAGGTTAGCTCGTTCGCTACGCTAACTCGCCTCCAGGTTGAAGTTCGTTCGCTACGCTCACTCACCTTTTGGTTGCAAATTAGCTGTTGTCCATAAAATGTAAAAGAAATAATAGTGCTGCACCCTGTTGGTAATCCTTGTAACTTTAATGCTATTGAACATCATAGAACAGAACTAACTTGTTTAATTTAAACAGCTGTTAAGATTCATTAATTCCTTTTAAATATGAAAAACCATAAGGTTAAAATGGGAAACTCCAGAGCCACTGGGGCGGAGCCCGAGAGTCCGATCAGAATGAAAACCACTTAGTTTTCCTATTTAATGCCTAAAGAATCAGTGTACCAAATTTCAGCCTCCTAGGTAAGTGGGAAGTGGGAGAATTAGTGATGAGTGAGTGAGTGAGTGAGTCAGTCAGTCAGTCAGTCAGTCAGTGAGGGCTTTGCCTTTTATATATATAGATATATATATATATATATATATATTTATATATATATATATATATATATAAATTTGAACGAATGGTGTTTTTGGCCTCTGGGGACATCAAAATGAAAAAGTAAATCGGTCCCGGGCTTAGGTCTTACCATGAGACCTACGGTAATAGCTACTTCCCTATAGGGAAATTCGCTAAAATATGGACACCATGTAGTATTAAATTACTTAGTAGTTGGAAACCTAATTAATTGCAATACAGAAATTATTAGTACTTTTGTGTTTTTTGCTATGTTGGTACCGGTACTGTAATAGTTGTAGTTTGGCACCTAACAGCGTATAGTAGGGTATCTGATTCTGACATCCATATATAAATCCCAAAGTATCCATGAATTTTTGAGAAAACTGCAAGTCACACCCCCATAAACCATATCCGTTAAATTTTCGTCGTGACGAGAAACCTTGCGCCAAACTACCGATTATTTCATAAATTGCCCTTTAAGGTCGTAATTCCTTTCTAAATGGGACTTTCCATATACCTAATGTAAAAAATACCTCAGCCGTACTTATTTATTTGTCATCCTTTCAATTTGTTACCTTATTAAAATCAGGTGTGATTATTAATTTGTATAACTGTTTTGTTTTTGTTTTTGTTTTGTTTATTTCAGCTTAACTTGGCCAATCAATAGTTTTATGAAGTCAAACGGGGTGAAGCCCATGGGTAACAGCTAGTTTGATAAGTATGCAAAAATTAGTCATCCTAGAATGTAGTCATGCTAAAAATCTTAACAAATACCATTATCAGTCACTAGAAAATCGTTGGTGTAACCAGAAAAGTAAATTAACTCCATAGAATCACCAAGGCGATAAGGAACATTACAGCAGAATGACTCTATGTAAGAGTTTATAGCTTTTACAATCGCAAGCCTTGTTTTTACGATTGTCGAACTCTTTGTGTTGAAATCGCTTGCAAATCGTCTTACTGAACCTGCAAGGTGAATTTCAATAAATTTAAGCCAAAGCAGCCTTGAAGTGTAAAATACGTGAATAGACTGTTCATCAAGGTCCTGTATGGATCATCGCAATACTTGCATCATCTTGGAGTTATTCCCATGTGTGCTTGCAGCAATCAACCGAATGCATGACTGGAGACCGTTCTTTTCACATTGTGTTGTTGTATGACAAAATAACACATTTACACGTTATTTTTGGCACATTTGCACGGTCAGTTAAGGTATGAGATCTCCAATCATGGTTGTATGAAATAGATATTGTATATATAGGCAAAAAGGTGGAGCAGTTATGGGTAAAGCGATGGTTTTATCATTGGAAATGGTTCTGGAAAATGCAGAACATTTGTACAACTACGACTTTAAAGCTGGAGAGAAAAACGTTGCTTCAACAGTGAGTTTTGGATATTGACCTTTGGTTCCATCCCTGGCGTAACACTTCGGCCCAAGAAACATTTCGGCCCGAAATCTTCAGATGTGGCCTGCGGTCCAACTCTTTACCACAGACAATATAATACTTTAATGTTAAAGTTAAGGTTAAGTTAAGGTTAATGTTAAGGTTAAGGTTAAAGTATTATATTGTCTGTGTCTTTACCCTCTCATTAGTAAAACCATAGATTAAGTACTATGGTAAAACTTCATCTCAAAAAATAGTTTACAGGTCTTTACCGAATATTTGGGTGGATATTAAAAAACTAACGACACTTAGAAATTTAACAAAAGGCATTAGATTTCAAATTGGTTCTGTTTGGTTATGTCAGGTCAGGTTAGGTTGGGTTAGGTTGTCAGGTCAGGTTAGGTTAGGTTACGCTAGGTTAGGTTAGATTAGGTTACTAGAAGGTTGCAGCTTCCTCAACCCTTGGCAATTTTTCTTTGAGCCCAAATGTTCCTCCATTAGCTAATCATCTGTCACGCGAAGGAGACGAAGTGTAACTGTTTTTCTAAGAAATTTGAGTTTGGCCGAAATGTTACTGGTCCGAAGTGTTACTACACCGTTTCATCTTATTACCCAGCTACAGTGTACTACTGAAGATTCTACCGTTCACAGGTGATTCTACTACTGGTAGCGTGCGTCGCTGTAGTGTTGGCCGCCAAGATGGAGGTCTCTGACGAAGCCATCGACATGGCACTGAAGGACAAGAGGTACTTCGACCGTCAACTCAAGTGTGCGCTGGGCGAGGGCGTGTGCGACCCTGTCGGCCGCCGTCTCAAGAGTGAGTGTTCTCAAAGACAAAAGAAATATACACCGACAGCAGGGCTGCGATTAGCATAAGTTCTGGCGTCCACCGCTATGAGTGCCGTGGCACTCATAGCGGGGACGCCAGAACTTATGCTAATCGCAGCACTGTCGGTCTAATTTGTCATAGGTGTTATCAAGTTAAGACATTCATATATTTTCAGGACCATGAAAAACAACTGTTATTGCATCTGTGATTTGTCTGTCAAATTTACATGTCTGCGCATGTAAATTAAATCAGCTAGGAATATATTTCGTTACAGTAACCACCGAAATTGTGTTTTTGTTTGAAGGATTGTGATTTGAAATTATTTGTATTAACGATATAATACTATTGTACATTTTTGAACCATATAAGCAATAAAAATCTACTTTTTCATGGTTCAAAACTATCAAAAGTTAGTAGTGGTGAACCCAGAAAGATACCCCACTTTAGACACGTTTTTCCCATGTTATTCTTATGGGGATTATTTTTGGCCACCAAATCCAAAATCCTGATCTTTGTCTGCAAATCCCTATATAATTGTTAAACCTTATTTTTTACTTATACTCTATATAATTCTATATTAAGCACAAAAAAAAAATCCGTTTATTGACCCATGCATATGTACATGATATAGTAGTGTAAAAACGCTATTCACTGGAGGCGCAGGATCAGGAGCAACCCCCAATTGTACCATAGCACCCCACCATATGTACATGATATAGTAGTGTAAAAACGCTATTCACTGGAGGCGCAGCAGGACGAGCAACCCCCAATTGTACCATAGCACCCCACCATGTGTACACGATATTTTACGTTTTATCTGTTTTGGTTTGAGTATACTGTTGTTGAATTTTAAAAATCTTTTTACTTGATTATGTAGTAGTATAGTTTGTCGCTGCCGTTTTTTTTGGGGTGCGGGGTTTTTGTGCCAGCACTCTCGCCCCATGCCTAATTGCGAGTAAATCTACTATTCCCCTTTCCAGTTGTTTGATATGTTGTCTATATTTCTATTTCAAATACACATCCATTCTCAAAATCGAGCGTGGTTTGTACGCGCTCTCGGCTCACGGCGCGCTTCCTTGGACATCCTTTGCGGAAATCCATGAATTCTGGCTACTTGGGAACCCAAGCCATTTGACATACAACAAATCACCCTTTCTCCTAATTACCTTCTCTACCAAATACATGTCTTTATACTTGGTCTTTAACAACTCCTCTGTATAGAATCCTCCCCTGATTATATTGCCATTTTCATCTTTCAAGATATAAGTCACAGGCTTTGTATTCTTAACTTCTGCTATTGTAAATAGCTCCCCTGTCCAATTTGGGGTATATCCTTTACTAAAAACATGTTTATACTTGGAAATTCTCACACTATCACCTACCTTATATCTTGGCTTTTTAACTTGCACTACTTTATATGAAATCATGATAGTTGTGTGAAATGTGTCAAAATTTGTGAAATTTGTGTCATATTGTGTGAAAATTGTGTGAAATTTATAAAAATTGTGTGAAATAAGTGTCAAATTGTGTGAAATTTGTGTCAAATTGTGTGAAATGTGTGTGACGAAATACACGTAAATTCACATCACAGTCACAATCACAGTGAAATTCACAATTCCTGTAACATTTGTGAAAATATTGTGAAATTTGTGTGATGAAGTACACAAGTGCACAAAAATTCACATCACAGTCACAGTCAGTTGTTGTATTTGATGACATGAATAGTCCAAATATTACACCATTTTTGTCAAAAGGTCGACATAAAAATATTGACTGTTTTTACTTGTGTAAATCTTGCAGCAAAGTACACAAACATTTAAGTGATAATGTAAATTTCCTAATATTATCCAGACAAGACGATTTAAGTTTTAAAACATGTGTATAACAATCATGTTAGTAATGACGTTTCATTTAACCAATTTAGTGATCTCTTCCTCTAAAGTTGGAATAAAACTAAATAATATGGCTTTTTCATAATAGACGTGGAAAGGCTAAATAATAATGCCAAAAAATATAGATTTATGTTTGATCAATTTTATAATGACTAAGAGCAAGAGTATTGATGTCATCTTCCAGAATAAGCCTCTTGTCATCATCAAAAGATAGTACAGTGTTTTTGCACACCTAAAACTGTTTAAGTCCATAATATCGTTTTAAAATGCTTATATCTTGAAAACGACTTGAAATACGACAAAACCGTTGAAATTCTGGCACACATAGTGGGTGTCAACTTTTGATTATAAACAATAATACAACATAAAGAAATCAAAAATTCCCCAAAAAAAATTTAACATTATTTTATATGGGTACAAATAAAAGTTACTATGAAAATCTTCAAGTCTAGACTTTTTGACATTTTTGTACACCTCATATTCTTCTAAGTCCATAAAACTGTTAAAAAACGCTTATATCTCGAAAACGGCTTGAGATATAGCAAAACGGTTGAAATTCTGGCACACATAGTGGGTGTAAATTTTTGATAATAAACAATATTACAACATAAAAATAAAAAAAAAAAAATTAACATTATTTTTAATGGACACAGATAACAGTTATCATGAAAATTTTCAGAAAGTCCAGACTTTTTGACATGTTTGCACACCTTGAAATTTTCTAAGTACATAATATTATTTTAAAATACTTATATCTTGAAAACTATTTGAGATATGGCAAAATGGTTAAAAGTCCAGCATTAAATATATCTTAACTTAAATAGATACATTTTCTAAAAAAGCTTATGCTGCTCCACTAAAGAATAAGACAGGGTTGGTAGTTACAGAAGCCATTAAAACCATTCTACCAAAGGGGGTTAAAAACATTCAATCTGACAATGGAAAAGAATTTTTTAATCAATATTTTAGCAAACTAATGAAAGAATTAAATATTAATCACTATCACACTTTTTCTACAACTAAGGCTGCAATTGTGGAGAGGTTTCAGAGAACTTTAAAGAATTGGTTATATAGAGAATTTAGTGCTCAGGGGAGTTATAAATGGTTGGATTTACTTCCAAAGTTAATTCGAAAATATAATAATAAAGTGCATAGATCTATAGGAATGAAGCCTAACCAAGTGAGTATTAAGAATAGTAAATATGTGCATGAGAGGTTGACTTATAAAGTAGTGCAAGTTAAAAAGCCAAGATATAAGGTAGGTGATAGTGTGAGAATTTCCAAGTATAAACATGTTTTTAGTAAAGGATATACCCCAAATTGGACAGGGGAGCTATTTACAATAGCAGAAGTTAAGAATACAAAGCCTGTGACTTATATCTTGAAAGATGAAAATGGCAATATAATCAGGGGAGGATTCTATACAGAGGAGTTGTTAAAGACCAAGTATAAAGACATGTATTTGGTAGAGAAGGTAATTAGGAGAAAGGGTGATTTGTTGTATGTCAAATGGCTTGGGTTCCCAAGTAGCCAGAATTCATGGATTTCCGCAAAGGATGTCCAAGGAAGCGCGCCGTGAGCCGAGAGCGCGTACAAACCACGCTCGATTTTGAGAATGGATGTGTATTTGAAATAGAAATATAGACAACATATCAAACAACTGGAAAGGGGAATAGTAGATTTACTCGCAATTAGGCATGGGGCGAGAGTGCTGGCACAAAAACCCCGCACCCCAAAAAAAACGGCAGCGACAAACTATACTACTACATAATCAAGTAAAAAGATTTTTAAAATTCAACAACAGTATACTCAAACCAAAACAGATAAAACGTAAAATATCGTGTACACATGGTGGGGTGCTATGGTACAATTGGGGGTTGCTCGTCCTGCTGCGCCTCCAGTGAATAGCGTTTTTACACTACTATATCATGTACATATGGTGGGGTGCTATGGTACAATTGGGGGTTGCTCCTGATCCTGCGCCTCCAGTGAATAGCGTTTTTACACTACTATATCATGTACATATGCATGGGTCAATAAACGGATTTTTTTTTGTGCTTAATATAGAATATATATATATAGAGTATAAGTAAAAAATAAGGTTTAACAATTATATAGGGATTTGCAGACAAAGATCAGGATTTTGGATTTGGTGGCCAAAAATAATCCCCATAAGAATAACATGGGAAAAACGTGTCTAAAGTGGGGTATCTTTCTGGGTTCACCACTACTAAAGTTCATCTCTGCAGCAAGTCATAGAGTCAATATTCATCTTTTTCTGCTTCCTTGAAAAGTCCAAAAAATAGCAGAGGGTTTTCGCGTTTTCATCGCGCACTAACCTAAATCATTGTTATGATTTGTTATAGACTTTTTTGTTGATGGAAAAATTATTTTCATCTTCTTATTGCCTTCCTGATTACTTCACAATTAATTATTTTATTAGATTACTAGAACATGGATTTTGGTTAGATTAATTATCTACAAGAGAGTAAGTTGGTTATCTACATCTACAAGGTAACTCAACCCCTTTCAAGAAGTAATATAAACATGTACTTTTTAAAACAACGTTTTATTTTTAGTCTACTAATTACTCATTAAAGGTTACTCATTAAAATTGTATGTAAATAAGTTAACGTAATTTGAAAGGAGAAAATATGTGTTTCTTGAGTTCGTTGCTCAACACAATGACGGTATTCACACTTTACAATCATAATAATTGTTGAGAAATGTTATTATAGCTGAATTACAGTAATTAGCATGTTTATTACTTGGACCCCGGGAAAAAGTTGAAAAAATTAAATCCAGAGTGTTGTTGTTTCTTTTTTTGAAATGTTAGCATAGTATTGTAAAGTGCTCGTATTAATTTCAAATGCATATTTTGGTGTTCTCACCAAGTACTGGGTAAACGTTTTCTTATTACATTTTATTGTATTCAGAAAATAATTAATTACTAATTACAAATTTTATTCAGTAGCCTAATTGGTTTGGTTAAAAATGTAATACTATCATAAGGTCTGGACATTCACACAGTCTTCAGTATTGTTTTGTACAAATTCAATTATTATCAAGTTTGCAACATAATTTTAAACAGCGACGTGGAAAGCCAGTCTAAGTTGGCAGGCATGATGCAGATAGTTTTCGTATGCCAACGTATTACATTGAAGGTTCAACTGCTACAGTGTTAGGAACGTCCGTCCCACGGTGACGAGAGAGTGAATTACAGAAGTAACCGTTATGTGTTCGTGTGAGTGACGTCACTTTATGTGGGTCAAGGTGGACCACATGACTCTGGGCCAGACATGACGTCATGTGACTGACGCATCTACCAAGGGTTGTTCCTAACATATGATTATACGTTTGACTAAAGAATTACACATCTCATTGTTGTCGGTTTTAGACTAAAAACTGACTTAGCGCCAGTACTGAGAGTTTTTGACTGTTGTTGTTGTTGATGTGATCTTTGTTGTTCACAGCGTTAGCCCCGCTGGTGCTGAGAGTTGTTGACTGTTGTTGTTGTTGATGTTGATGTGATCTTTGTTGTTCACAGCGTTCGCCCCGCTAGTACTGAGAGTTGTTGTTGTTGTTGTTGTTGTTGTTGTTGATGTGATCTATGTTGTTCACAGCGTTCACCCCGCTAGTAGTGAGAGTTGTAGACTGTTGTTGTTGTTGTTGTTGATGTGATCTATGTTGTTCACAGCGTTCGCCCCGCTAGTACTGAGAGTTGTAGACTGTTGTTGTTGTTGTTGTTGATGTGATCTATGTTGTTCACAGCGTTCACCCCGCTAGTAGTGAGAGTTGTAGACTGTTGTTGTTGTTGTTGTTGATGTGGTCTATGTTGTTCACAGCGTTCGCCCCGCTAGTACTGAGAGTTGTAGACTGTTGTTGTTGTTGTTGTTGTTGATGTGATCTATGTTGTTCACAGCGTTCACCCCGCTAGTAGTGAGAGTTGTAGACTGTTGTTGTTGTTGATGTGATCTATGTTGTTCACAGCGTTCGCCCCGCTAGTAGTGAGAGTTGTAGACTGTTGTTGTTGTTGTTGTTGATGTGATCTATGTTGTTCACAGCGTTCGCCCCGCTAGTAGTGAGAGTTGTAGACTGTTGTTGTTGTTGTTGTTGATGTGATCTATGTTGTTCACGGCGTTCGCCCCACTAGTAGTGAGAGTTGTTGTTGCTGTTGTTGTTGATGTTGATGTGATCTATGTTGTTCACAGCGTTCGCCCCGCTGGTGCTGCGAGGAGCCTGTCCCCAATGTTCGCCCAAGGAGACCGAGCAGATCAAGCGGGTTTTGAGCCACATACAACGACATTACCCCAAAGAGTGGGCCAAGATAATAAAGCAGTACTCCAGCTCATAATTAATTGTTAACTGTTACTAAATTAAATATTTTGTTGTTTTCGTATATTCTTCTGTTTTTACCAGCCTTAACAGGTTCAAGTAAAAGGTTTTAATTCTTAGACTTACACTAATTTTTAAATTTAATGTGGGTCTATATTATTTAAAAACTCATAATACATTTTACATGTTTTATTTGCACAAAAATCAACAAAGAAGTTGCTTTCCCCCAATATTTATCCTTGACAAGCATGGACAAATTGTAGTCCTTCCTACTTCCTTTCTGACACAGTCTTATAGAATGGACCATGAAATTATCTGAACAAAAACTAGGAAGCATTATGTCAACTTTCTATTACATCTACCGGAAGTAACAATGTCTACGACGATCGAGGAGGCAGTGACGCAAGTGGTAGCGATTTAGGCATCATGATCATATCCGTCGTGTGTCCTGTGTAGGTCACTGACACAAGAAGCAAAAGCAAACACCCTGACTGATCATTATAAGAAGAGGTAGAGGACACAAAAAGTTGATACACATACGTAATTTAGTCGAGGAAAAATGTAAAGAAACTTACTACTCTTTAGGTCACCAAGAGTTTAGTATTCACATAAATAAAAACACCATTGGTCGATACAGAATTTGAACAAAATTAACATGTTCATTCCAGGGCTATGAAGTAAAAACCATGTCAATGGTTATACTATCCAATAAAATATGCCCAAATAAGTAAACTATGTTTTTGTAGAGACAGCATTCCACAGATCTTCAATTGGGACATGAGCGTTTTTCAAACTAGTTTTTCTAAAGATTTGAAGAGTCTAGATGAAATGGAACTGTTTATTTCCTTCCAATGGTATAACAAACCAATTAAAACTCTATATAAATAAAATGAGTCCCTTTTTATGGTATTCCATAACTCGAGAACGAGTGCACCGAATCGGATGATTATTTTGTTGTTGCGTTCCTTAGTGCCAGAGGAAGGTTTTTATGTAAGGGAATCTATAATACAACCAACCGTTATTTAGAAATTTTAATAAACATTTCCTTTACATTAGCTCACTTTAACCTGAAGGCGAGTGAGCACAGCGAACGAGCTCCAACCAAAAGGTGAGTGAGCTTAGCAAACGAACTTCAACCAGGACGTGATTAAGCGATGCGAACGATCTCATCTTGAAAATGAACGAGCATTTGACATTAAACCAAATTAGGACAGGGCGACGCCTGTCGGGCCAGCTAGTAATTTTATTAAAAACATATTCATAACTAGCAGAGTACCCGTCCATCGTACGGGGTTGGAATATAAGTATAAAATGCTTATTGCAGTTATACTCAAGCTTTGCGTTTGCAATAAGGGAGGACTCAGTTTGATAAAATTTGCTTTTTTAAATTTACAGTATTCTATAGTATTACACATATACCATAGCCATAATGTTCTACCACTTCACCAAACAATAGAGAAAAATAAATTATCAAAAATTCGCAAAATATCACAAATTATTCATGAAATGAAAAACAAACATAACTGTAAACAATCCTACTTTGACAGTTCTCATTGCGAATCACAGTTTTTTTGTTGCTGCTTAGTTCAAATTAGCTGTTTTCATAAATGCAAAAAAAATATAGTGCTGCACCCTACTATAACCCTTTCGTAAATCTTATAACTTATTAATGCTTTTCCATATCATAGAACCAACTTTTTAGTTGAAACAGCTGACTAAATTCTTTAATTCCCTTTAAATATGAATACTCATAAGGTTAACATGGGGAATTACAGAGCCACTGGGGCGGAGCCCGAAAGGATTTTTTAGATAAGAATATGCCTTTATATGTTAATCGGGAATGTAAGCTATCATCATGCCAAATTTCAGCTCAATCCGTCCAGTGGTTTATGCGTGATTGAACTTCAAACAAACAAACAAACAAACACACCAATTTTCACATTTATAATATTAGTAAGATATTCAAGATGACTATGTAATGCTATGTACTACCACTGACTATTGGTATAGTTTGACATAAAGATAGTACCAATAGTATAAATATAAATGAATAAATTTAAGAAATATTTAACTTATATACATGTATACTAAACGATACCATTGTGATCAAATTGATTGAGAATGTGGTTGTGTTGAAGATGTTGCAGAATTATATTGAATTATTTATGGTGAAGTTTTCAATCACAATTTTCCATATCTAACGCTTTGTCTTGCTGAATATTAAAATTTTTATTTAAAATCCTGATCTAGCAATGATATCTTAACGGATGAATAATTAGAGGACGAAGATAACAAAACATAAGACCATAGACTAAGGAGAATAAAAGTTTTTCTTACTACTATTTTTTTTTGTGAAAAGCTCAGTGTATGAAATAAAAAAACCGACAAATGTTATCAAAGTATATCCATAAACAAGCAAAATAGAACAGTTCCTCTAATCACCGGTAGATGTAGCTACCATCGACGTTTGCAACATTTCACCTCGTCAACGCTAGATGTCAATACAAGCAATGTTCCATGCAGTTCGTCTAGTCACCGCTAGGTGTCACTGAAATCGACATACTACTGTCCATCGTCGTTTAGCTATTTTACTATTAATTTAAACGGTTTAAAAATTCTAAAAACAAAATTGGCCCTAGCTGAAACAGATAATAAGCTATATCTACATTTTAAAAAATGCACTTTTTTTTAGTTGAAGCCGTGGTTTTTAAGTAATAAACCAGAGTATTCGTTGACTCTCGGAGTGATTTTTGGGTAGCTCGTTTAAGACCAGCCTGGTAGTGGTAACGTGTACATACATTTCAACAACCTCAATTACAGTTTTCTTTGAAAAGCCGAGAGTCGTGTAACCCGAGACCGATGATTGGCTTATAGTATAATAGATGAGGGTTAATACCGGATTTACAATATTCTCCAGCCGTCAATCGGTGTATAAAGTGTCCACGGACTCGCGACCAAATCACATTCACAAACCCTCCTTTCGGTTTGAGAAAATCCTGTTTTATCCCGCATGAATTTCGTAGAAAATCTCGATTCATCCCAAGTGATCTTATAGATAGACGTATCAGTTCAAATTGTTTTAACATTACTATCTACAGTAAGTGTTATACCGTACTGCAATTATTATACCAATTAATTGGTGATAGTTTGTTTGTTTTTATAAAAAAAATTCATCTACCGTATATACACGGTGTAAGTATAGAAATCAGTATTTTTAAACCGAAATAGATGGAAATATTCTGTTTATGGCATTGATTGGTTAACAATTGTTCCGATGATCTTTAACATTAAAAATATTTTTTACCCACTTAACAGGATAGGGATTATAGGGGGTGACTTATTTTAGTGAATTTTAATGGGAAGACCTATTTACTTAGCCAGGGGACCAATTTACTTTTTCATCTTGATGTTTCGTCCCCAGTGGCCAAAAACACCATCAGTTTGAAATGTTATATATGTATGTATGTATTTATACAGGGTGTTGAAAAGTCTTAACACACTAAAAAAAATAAACGGCGTGGATTAAATTTTGCAACTTCAACATATCATAAAATAATCATACGTTGAAGTTGCAAAATTTTATCTTATACCGTTAATTTATTTTTGGGTGTGTTAAGACTTTTTCAACACCCTGTATAGATAGATAATTATAGAGATATATATGTGTCCATGAACATGATAACTCTAGTAATTTTTGTCTGATTTTGATGAAATTTGGCTTGATGGTGTAGAGTAGGGTAAACTTGAATGATTTCACAAACCAGCATGATCGGACCATGGGAACGTTTTATGTGGTAAAATTTATTTTTCTCATTTTTGATCCTCAAAAAACAAAATTTCCCAATTTTTCTCAAGATCATTTTGAAGAACTTAAAAAACAAATAATTTAGTATGTAAAATTTGTTTGTACAGAGAAAATTTAAAAAAAATGTAAATTTAAAATTCTTTTGTTATTCTCATGGAGAATATTGTAAACTGTTGTGCTTGTTTATGGATATATTTTGATCAAACTTGGTCAATTTATTGTTTTATACTAAACTATTGATATTCTACTAAAAAAACACACCTTATTACCCTCCCTGTAGCAGCTAACCTAGGTACTCGTTAAACCTAATGTTATTTAAATAGAATTAATTGAAAATAAAATCGGGCAAATTGAAACTCACTTAGTCTGCAGGTTTGCTGCTGCGGAGGTATTTTTATTTTAAAATAGCAACCTTGAGTGACCCCTCTTTTTGAAGGTCTTGTCATGAAAAATACAATGACAAAAACCAAGGTAGATCTCACCCCTAACAAAAATAGCAGATATTCCAAAATTTGATTAATTGTAAACAAAGGTTACAATTGTTTACAATTAATGCCACAAAGAGAATAGTTCTATGTATTTCGGTGAAAATACAGACTCTTGTTTGCATCATTGTATTTCTCTTGATAAACCCATCAAAAAGGGGTCACTCAATAGGGGTTGCTATTTGAAAAAATAAGTCACCCCCTATTCCCTATGTTTAGGGGGGTTAAAAAATATGTTTAATGTTAATGATTGCACAGCCTTTGTTAACAATCAATGTCACAAACAGAATATTTCTATATATTACGGTAAAATACAGATTTGTTTCCATACTGTACTTAATTTACACACTGTATAAAGCTAAGAAGGATCTGAACTTTTGTGAAAACCATTAGCCACAGACCAATCAACCGTATACTTGAATGAAAGGCCTTGATGTGAAACTTCATCAGTTTTTCAAAAAGTATAGTATTAAACCCTCTCCTATAGTTCGGCCGCTTAGAAAGCGACCTCCTCTAGCATTGGTTTAGCATTAGCGCGCAGGTCGCTTTCTAAGCGGCCGAACTATAGGAACCTCAATCAAAAGCTTGCTTTTGATCACATTTAAAATATTGAATACAAGTCAGCTGTTCTATTTGTTTTTGTTTTAGTTTGTTTGTTTACTTTTCCTAGAGTTAACCTTTTGATTCTACCATAGATTTCTATGTCGCATCAGGAAAAGTGACAGAATGTTTTTATGTCGAGAGTGTTTAATCTTTTAAATTATATTAGTGAACCTGTTACCCAAATTCAAGCAATTACGAAGTATTACAGGCGTTAGTTACACAAGACATATTGCTTGGTAGGTTACTGTTTATGCAAAAAGTACCCAAACTGTTCCAGAATACTTTTGAGTTTCTATTCACACTAAGTCACTTCCATAAACATAACCGACACGTGGACCACCAATTAGATTGGCGAGGGTTTACTCTTTCTGTAATTTTATAAGTGAAACACAGTGTCTCATAGTACAAATAATTCGGGTACAGATAGTTCTTTCTATGTACAGCAAAATTTAAAATTTAAATGTTCCAGGTTATGGTCTTGAAAGTCAAAAAGACCTTACTACAAGATTAAGAGATAAATCTGTAAAATTACAAGGAAAAGGGAATAAACGTAATCTATTAAAACTCAAATAAGAAATAAGGAGTATATTTCGGAACTTCTACCATTTTACAAACATTCTACCAGAGACAGGGCGAGGGCATATATCTAGATCATCAAAGGTAGAAATATTAAGTAAAAAAACAGTTTTGTTATTTACATTTACATACATGTAATATATTGGTAATCTAAAACTATACACAAACACTTTCTAATTGTTTATTCCTCACATATTTGGTGTTTACATTATTTTACACCTTACTGTTGTAAGTTTTACGAGCTTTCAAGAGCCCATTGCAATTTTGACACATTTTCAATACAAACTACACATCGAGCTTTTCTACCCTCACAAAGAAATAGCAGATAAGACACTAGACAAACATTTTCTAGAATGACCCAATCAATAAAATTGTAGGTAATAAAATATTTTTTTACGAAGAGATCAAAGAGATTTATAAGAAGGCAATGAAATCAAATTTAAAATGATTATTACATAGATAAGAGTTTGAAATGATGAATCTGTCTTCCACAATTGAAACCAATGAATGGTGCAGTTGAAAATTTCCTTAGTAGGCATGATTTAGGGGAGATATTTTTTTCTTTAAGCAACAGATTGACTTTGCCTTCCACAGGCAATTCTGTCATTTTAAACCACTCACTAAACCGATCAGTTCCGGCACGTCACAGTTCAATCACACCAGTCACGTCACAGTCAAAATTTTATTTCTTTAATGGATTTTCTTTTGCACTATCTACACTCTTCCGGCGCAATTCCTAGACAAGTCAGTCAGTTGCTCTGCCGGTGTTCATCAGTTAATTTTAGAATTCTTCCCACCGATATTTTGGGATTGTTAGGATGCCTGACACTTGTGTAATGTATGTGTTTGACAAAAGAAAAATAGTGTTTTTGTTATTTAAATAGTTGTGTTTATCTGCTTGTAACAATCATCAAGATGGCCGATGAAAAAACTGATAAAATATTGTTTTGGTAATCACAGTCAATAAAGTGGAAGACTGACTGAAACCAACTAACGGACAGTTGACCGAGGAATTCCGGATGCAACTGAGACTGTGTGTGAATCGACTTTAACTGAGGTTATACAACAAGAACCACAAGTAAATAATCCTGATCTTAAATTAACAGTGTAGCAGTATTGCATCTATTTCCAGAATACTGCAGTTCTGTGATAGAGTTTAGAATCACTATGTTTCAGAACTTTACCATCTGAAGAAATAGAAGTCTATTTGATTAATAAAAATAGGCAGTTTATAGTAGTTTATGCAACGATTGCGTAAAGATAGTGTTAACGAAACAAGTAGAAAATTTAAGATACGAGCCTTGGCGAGTGCCTTAAAAACTTTTACGAGTGTCGTTAACGCCTTTTACACGAGTTGCGTACACTACTATACTTACGACAGTGTTTTAATTTCTAAAAAAATCACTACTCATAACTTCTAAGAGAGGTTATGTTTGCGTTTATTTATAACCTCTCATTGCCACTGACAGTGATTCAACAAAACATTGTACCAAACACTAATTGCATCACTCAACAATTAAATTGGCTTGAACAGCTGATTAGTTGGAGATCGAATCATTACAATTTTACTTTGTCTCTCTCAATCCTTGAACCTCATTGGTCCGTTACCCGTGTTTTTATGAGTAAAACTATGCTGTTAGCTGTTATGAAAGTAAACAGTGCTGTTATGTGAAACATTTCAATTCTAAGAACTGAACTGAAACAGCTGCTTTAAAAAACGGTCGTAGAAAAAAATGTGTTTAATATAATCAATTGATAACAATATTAAAAGTAGGTTTATACAAATCAATGAGTACTCACTACTCACACAACTAAGAGAATTCTATAAACCTAATTGGCAAGTTCATATGGAATTGTTTTCCAAATAGAAAAACAATTAAAAGGGAAAAATTATCACACTAAAAATATAATGTGTCAACATTTTCTTAATCAAGCTCTTTGGACTATCTTAAAACCCACATATATTATTTGCCAAACAATCAAATATAAAGTTTAACTCTTAAAAAATCCCCTTTAAAAGTTACTTCAATATTAATGTCTTCCTGAAACGCATTCAAATATGTATATTGTTTTAAATTCAAAATATGGAGGAATTAATACTTCATATAAGTATACTTAATTACAAAAAACAACATCCAAAAAATACTTAAAATATTGAGCACAGGATCTAAAGCCATTGTGTTAACAAAGTAGTAATTATCACATTAAACATGGTTAAAATAATAAATACCAAGCAAATATACGTTTCTGTACAAATTCTACAATGCAAATAGCATAATATACAACATAGTTACAATAAATCATTTTAAATGCACCAGTAAATTACAATACAACTAAATTTGTAGTCCAACTAAATAAGTGAAAGTTTCCATGATGTCACCAGAATGGCCTAGATATCACAAATTAATTCATTGTTTTAAATGAATAGCATCCACATCTGTACAATAATACACGAGTTTAGTAAATCATTATAAAACTCTACAAAGCATAAAATCTATTATCACAATATTTTATTATTTGATTCACTGAAAAATACTTATTCAAGTACAATGATCAACACACAGTTAAGGTTTGTTAGTACTTTTATAACTAAAAATAGTAAAATGTTTAAAAAGGTAGAGTAAGAAACTTTGAAATAAATAAATAAATAAATATAGGATGGAGAGGACACAGCTAACTCACCTGATGAAAGGTTGCAGATGAGTCAAAGAACACATAAAATCACACACATAATTTACTTAATATTTCGCCTCTTTCAGAGGCTTCTTCAGAAGTAGAAGAACTAGAAGAAGTAGAAGAACTTCTACTTCTGAAGAAGCCTCTGAAAGAGGCGAAATATTAAGTAAATTATGTGTGTGATTTTATGTGTTCTTTGACTCATCTGCAACCTTTCATCAGGTGAGTTAGCTGTGTCCTCTCCATCCTATATTTATTTATTTAATCCAAGCTAAATGCTTTTTCCTAAAAACATAACTTTGAAATAAATAAGTAATCCTTGGTTAAAGTTTGCTTAAATCTTAGAGTTGCAAGACCTAATATCTAGCATAGTACAAATAAAATGGAACAAACAGAATAATTGGGATTATCTTAGGATGAAGATAACATACAAATTTCGGTTTTAAAAATCTTAAGTGAATAATGTATTCTGAATAAAAGTTATTTATAAAGATTAATCCAAACTAAAGCTAAGAAAAGTTGTAAGGTATATTTTAATTTTACAGGAAATACCATCAATGAAGAATTTAAAGATGCTCCCTGATTTGTAAGTTTTTAAATCCACTGAGGGCAATATTGAAACTAGTTATCCATGATATTGTTTGCAGCCTAAATTTCATGTTACTTTTTTTCCTAAAACAATCTTTTCCAGATAACTGAGACAAATACGATTCAAGTCTGGACAAGTCATTTATGGTCCCATTTATCCAATGAGCACAGACAAATTTGACCAGTCAATTATTGAAACTACTCCAATAAAACTCACACTCAAAAACTGCACCTTAAGAATTTCTGAAGCTTACGATTGAAAATACTGAGGTTAAGGGGAAATGGCATATAGTGGATGAAAAGATAAAAGTATGTCTCCGAATTGGAATCCCTTGACAAGTGCAAAATTGTACACACATTTCCTTACTGAATTAGCAAACATATAGATTGGAGCAGAGCGGCGTCCAACACATGGCACTGTAGAGACTATGTCATATCTGGCGGGGAAGGCGGGGGGTGGAGCTCTCACTATCTGATCATCTCTAAGTACTTCTGTTTGTGCTTACTGAGCATCTCCGTCACTGTAACCAGCTTCTTCAACGACGTCTGTAACAAATACATTGTACTTTATAATTGTTGTAACAACAAGATATGATTGAAGGAAGAGCAACAAATATTGTTCATGTGGTAAATTAAATTAACTGTTTAACTAGAATATTAGAAGGTACATACCTCCACGCCATCAGTTCGACAGTGGTTAGACTGACAACATGTTTTGCACATTCAGGGATTGTCAAGTAATATCATTTCCAAGAATGTTTCATCAATTCACCATTGTCTAACAAATAAACACACAAGACATACATGCATGAAAAATCATACAAGCACTTAAAATAGGCCTATTATTATCACCGGTCACAGCACGGACAGAGGCAGAACCAGTCTTACATAATAAGCCTACTTAGTAAGCTACTAGAAGTAATCAATAAATTTCTTGATTGATTGATTGAAGTGTTTAAAAGTTTTCCATGAATTTGTGTATTTGTTTGAACGTCATTAAAGAATCTATTATTGGATGAAAAACATTCTTGGAAAAGATATCTCTTGCAATGCCTGAATAGGCAAAACAGATCTTAAATTTTTTTAGGTCATGAGGAATACCGCTTCAAAAAGTCAAATTTTGTCTATAGTATTCTTATGAGAATTAGTTTGTTTACTAATGTCGTTGGTTTACGAATGATTAACTAATGGTTTACTAATGGCGACCATACAAAAGTAGGTATTTAAAGCCAAGTATGAGTGTAGGATTAGTGGCGCGATCTTGTAGTTTTGTTACTAAGGCCGACATGTGTCGACAGGTTGGACACAGCTGTTAATTAATAGCCCATAGAGCCTGTGGCAACTAAGGGATCTACAGTTTATAGTGGAATCGAATCCAAACCACATTTTTGCCTTGTAATTTACAAATTGGTCTAATTATCAGGATAGCACTGCGGATAGCCGTAGTGTTCACTAGTGTGGACATTAATCCACACCAGGGAGTATCACATCCACAGTGCATGCCTATGAATATCTACATTTCGTGACCTCCAAGTAGCTGAATTACAGGACGATGCCACTGTCCCAGTCAAACTGTAATGACTTGCCTGAGTCTTGCTGAGAGCCTGCAGTTCCTTGAGGTGAGACACGCAGATGTGGTGCAGAGTGCCGAGGTCTCTGGCAGGATCTCCCTTAACTCTCTCGCCCTCAGACTCCGGCCTCTCCACTTGGTTCTGTAAACATCAGGTCATCAGACGATAGAAATAACACAAACTCATCGTGTGCTAAAATTTCATATTCTCCCTTAGTTTTTGTTGCTCTTATTATGATAGCTTACAATAAGTAGTAATTTTAGTTAGGCATCATTAAAAAATGAGTGTATTTGAGAGAAATCAGTAACTCACATCCGCACTTTGTAAGTAGCTCAGTTAAAGCTAGGTTATAGTATTCTACAACTGGCAACAGTTAAACTAAATTATAGGGAATATAATTTCTAGTTATATTCATAGTTACTGACACTGTTGAAATACAAGTTGTAATATTTCAGGGTTTGATTTGTTTTGAGGGATACATCTCTTATTTCACGACCAACAAAACTGAGATATTTAACTATGTACAAGGATAGGGGATCAGCTAGCTTACCTGGTAGACATAGTCCAAACTAGCCTTGGTAGCACACATAAAACACATGACACAACACAGAAAAACTTAATATTTTGTCCCAGTTAGGGACTTCATCAGAAGGGAGAAGAAAGAAAACTGGCTTAACAAGTTCCAAAACTGCCAGTTTTCTTTCTTGGAAAACTTAAAGTTGGAACTTTACCTGCCTTTCTTTCTTCTCCCTTCTGATGAAGTCCCTAACTGGGACGAAATATTAAGTTTTTCTGTGTTGTGTTATGTGTTTTATGTGTGCAACTAGGCTAATCTGGACTCTGTCTACCAGGTAAGCTAGCTGATCCCTATCCTTGTACATAATAATCCTAGTCAGCCAATTGGCCTTTAATCCTTAACTCCTAACTTATTCAACTATGAAGTATTGAGTGAATTAAATTATTCACATATCCTATCCTCTGCGAGGTCTGCAGAATCGGACTGAACATAGGGACTGGGATACTCTTGTCCGAGCAAAAATAAAATCCACTATCGGACAGATCAGCCAATAACTCATACATTGTAGCAAATCACTAAGTGTGAGATCAACAGCTATAGTCTATGTACTCACAGAGAGTTGGTCGAGGAAGACGACCATCCGCTCCTTGTTCTTGAGGATGAAGGGGTTGACAACCTCCATGTAAGGCTCCTTACCTCCAAACTCTACCAGGTTGGCCAGGTTCTGCAGACACTTGGCTACCATGATGAGCGACCGCGCGGCCATGGGCGGGGGTGGTTCTACACACAAAACCATGTTTCACTTCCTACTGTACGTTTAATATAATTATTTATTATTTTCAGGCATTGACGCACATCTAGCACATTTTATGCTATGAATGCATAAGTGGAGGTAGGAGTGAGATGATTTGTGTAGCTTTTTTGTAAGCACTATAACCACCCAGCTGTTGTAGCCACCGTACTGGAATGTGAAATGTCAAGATAAAAACGAACAAAATTCAATTAGCTTTGAATACAAAGAATTGTTTAATTTTTAAACTGAAAACGTCCTTGAATGGGTTAACTCAGGTAGAAAAAACATAAAGGGATTGATACAAGTTTCAGTACCGTAGTTTGTTATCTATTAAAAATAAACACAGATTTTGAATGAAGAAACTTAACACATTCATTACCGATTTACATTGGACCACCATCACATGGTACCAGTCAACATATGTAATAAAAAATATCCGTATCTAAGGGCCTGGTGTTAATTGTTTAAAATCTTGGGGGAATGGAAAGGCATTTCTAAAGATTGCTATTACTCCTTACTCAGTAAAACATAAAAAATGGTACCAGGAATCAGGTGTACCCAGCTCAATGGTACCCTAGTGCTGACGGCAAACCAACATTAATTTTCTATATATAACCAAGCTGAGACAGAGTTTCTTCAGTCCATAGAACATCTTAACACCCACACACTTCATAATTTGGCCAGTTTAATCGAGTTTGAGTGGTTAAAAGATGGGTTGAGATTAAATTAGATTTGACAAAATAGACACAACAAAACACCTGAGTGCATCTTTGAAGGCAAGTAAGACTAAGGGATGAATATTGAACGGATGAGAAGATAGTTTTTGTTACTTAAAAAGTTAAGATAGTTCTTTATTCATGACTAACTGGGTCCAGTTTTTAACTATTCTCAGGATTGAACTGGCGTCCTTCTCTTGCTTTTTCAATCTTACATTTACAACTTTGCAATTTTAGCGTGTTAACATTTTTACCTGACCGTTTTTTGAAGTAGCCGTTTAAGTTCAGTTCTTAGAATTGAAAAAGATTCACTTAACAGCATTGTTTACTTACTTAACAGCATTTTTTTTTTTACTTAACAACTTGGATAACAGACCAATGAGGTTCAAGGATTGAGAGAAAAGAAGTAAAATTGTAATGCTCCGAACTTCAACTAATCAGCTGTTCAGGCTAATTTAATTGCCGAGTGGTGCAATTAGTGTTTGGTACAATGTTTTTTTACATCACTGTCAGTGGTAATGAGAGGTTATAAACGAAAACATAACCTCTCTTAGAAGTTATGAGTAGTGATTTTTAGTAATTAAAACACTGACGTAGGTAAAGTAGTGTACGCAACTCACGTAAATAATGTTAACGACACTCATAGAAGTTTTTAAGGCACTCGCCAAGGCTCGTAACTTATTTTTCTACTCGTGTCGTTAACACTAGCTTTATGCAATCGTTGTGTAAACATTGTCTACTGACCTGATATGAGGTTGAACTGTCTAGGGTTGAGTATGGCAGGACACAGCAGTCTGAGGAAGATGAACCCTGACACAACTCTAGTCCTGACCAATCTCTCATGAGGCCACTTACTGACCACACAGCGCTGTAGACAGCAGCAGATGTACCTCACTGTCCTATACAAACAAACATTTCCATACACACTCATCAAGACCATTATAATTAATTAATAATAACTGATAAAACTATACTGGGACCAGTTCATCAAAGTATGAAAAACTGGAAAGTAAACGCTTAAACAAATAGATTGTTCTGGTTTCCGATGGTCATTTTCATAACAAGAAGATGAAGGTGAAGAATGAAGATAATCCATTACATAGCCACAATTATTTATTCATTAATCATAATATGAAAGGTTTACATTTCTTACAGGACCGTTTAAAACAAAACACAACTTTGAAATAAATACAGAGCGGTTAAAAACTGACCGATAAAATGTTTTGAACGATTAACTTTCCTTCCAATCCAACTATATTTATAATACAGATATCAGGATACTGGAGGGGAATAATTGATAAATTAACTCGCACAGGTGATAAGAAAACTACCACTGTTTTCTAATCACCGGTGTGAGTTCATTCATTTATTCACTAATGAGTTGCATCCGTTATAGTTACTAACCACACCTAATTAAAATTAACTGTGGTTAAATTGCTCGTGTCAATACTGTTAATAAAGTAATATGCTCTACTTTAAGTGTAGTGATTAAAATTACTCGTGTATGACCATTAAAATACCTAGATAACCCATATTAATCACTAAAACATAATCAAATTGTATATACAAATGTGAAATGAAGATCTTAACATGGCTAGCATAGCCAGTTTTCCTCCAAAGGTAATGCGTATTTAATAAGTAACACCTGTCTGTATAAAATTACCCAAACCAAAACCTCAGAACAAATTAAATCAGCTTTATTGTTTTTAGTTTTTACTAATTTACGCTGCTTTCTGATATGTGCCATCTTTGGATGGGTGCAAGTGTTCCTTTTTCTGTGCTTTCTCACCTGAACAATCAGATTTCCTAAAACATCATGAAAAACTGGGTTTTTTATTAGCCGTGATTAAAAATGTCTACAATCCCTCAAATTACATAAGTACACCTATATTTGCATTGCTCCTTACTTGGGGCAAGCTTCAGCAGACAGAAAGATAGAGTGGGTAACTTCGTCTAACACTTGCAGCAGGAACTCTGCGTTGTTACAGGCATCCTCCGGACTGTCCATCTTGTTGGGATTCAGCTGTAACATTAGGTCAAGTGTCATTTAGTGTTGAAGTTTTAACATTGCTTATTATTTCTTAGGGTACAAACACACAGGACGCGGCGCGGCACGACGTGTTAAAAACAAATACATACTTTAGATGTGATGTAATGCGAAGGAACACAAAGAGAGCGTCAAGAGGCGACATAGTAGTCACTTGTTAATTCAGGACTGAAGACGAGGGCAGTAGTGGGTTATTATGCCCCATCTATTATAAATAACTGTTATTGCTAGGGTAGGAGACCAAGAGTCAAGAGGTTATGGGTTATTAAAAAAGTAACCCATTAAAAAAATATAGAATAGATTTTTTTGGAATATCCATTTTTTAGCTTCGGCTGGCCTACAACTTTGCAACAACCTGTGTATGATTCGTGCACTCAAGTTTTTTTGACCACTTAAAAAAACAATCATTACCACGTTTGCATTGTTCAAACACAGAGCAGTAAGGTACAGAGGATACATTCAATGGTACACCTAAGTGGTGTCTAGCACCAGTTGCTGGTGTCTGGAACAAATTATATTTGTCGTCCCTTTCCGATCTCCTTCCCCCTCACAATCATGTACAGCAGCGTTCACGCAGTAGGAAGATCCTGTGCGCTACAACTGATGAACAAAAATGTTATGTGGGCATCGCCGTTTGGGCTCTTCCTTGCTCGGTACAAGTACACTTCCACTCCAACATACCAGAGCTAAAAGCGCACAGTTGACCCATAAGCTTGTATTTTCTGTATCTTACTTCTCTGTGATTCAAAACAAACATGCTATTGCAACATCCCTATATTGTTTTGTATACTACAGTGGTATTTTATTTTACATATAAAATAATACAATTCCGACATCATAAGATGTGAGATTGCCCCTGAACTGGTTTAGTAACTAATATAATGGTTTTAAATACCTTCAGTCACCAGTTCATATGTGTTCGTGTACGTGTTTGTGCTGTATGTCGTGAACTGTTATTTGTTTTAACCCAATGACGTCCATTGGACTGAAGACTCAAAACTGGCCCGCCTGATGATGGTACAACTTCGTGCCGAAACCTAGGTCGCAATAGCCGACTAATTTGAACTGGTGACTGGAGGTATTTAAAACCATTTTATTAGGTAATACAATTCAATAATCCCACAATCCTTTCATTTTCGTATTTACGTCTGATGGTTCAACTTTTTTCAGTTTGGACAAGAATATAGTATTGACAAATAAGCAATAGTTTATTTACCTCACAGGATTGTTTGGCCTCCAGCAGCTTGAGTATGGTTGATCTCAGAGCAGAATGTAAGAAGTCCGTACAGACAGACTTCATGTAGAGGTCCATCAAGGTGGTGGTTAGTGACGCAGCTCTGAACAACGTTGAAGTCTCTTCTTCTTTTTCTATTTCTGCATCATTCAACGTCTTCAGCAGATCTGCCTCTTTTCTCTCATGCCTGGTGGAAAGTGAGGAAAAACAAAGGTAAATTATGTTATTATTCTTATTTATTACTAAAATACCATTGTTGTTAAACCTTCATGGGTGTTTTCATTTTAAAACACAAGGAGTTTTTTTGGGTTTTTATCAATCACTGAGGTTGAGACGCAACCAATGTGTGTATTTTAACCCAAATATGAGTGAAGGATGAGTGTAGAATGGAGTGAGATGATCTTTGTAGCTTTGTTTAAGTAAAGCCCAATGACCAGCCACAGCTGGATCCAGTTTCAAACCATCAAACTAGGCTACCCATATTCGATCAGTTCCTAGTAAGAGACATGCAAGGTACGGATAAAAATGTTGCTCGCCAATAAAGCCTATTTTTCTATAAAAAATTAGAAAAACTGTTGTGACGCCTATGAAGGTAAAACAACTACAAAACTGTCTTTAAAACCTCTTGAATAAATGCATTGAAAGTAAGTGGTTTTTGCTATGGTATGAGAACAAATATTTTAACTTCAGTAAACCTTATCTATCCGCAAATACCTGAATATCCTGAGTAGAGAGGCAGCTAGAGGCATGCGGTCCAGATGACAGAGGTCGGCCAGTGCTCTGACAGCCTCCAGTGTGGGGTCGAGTATAAGCTGCTGCATGGGCGAGTACTCTTCCTGGGGCATGATCAGGTCATGCAAGTACCTGGAACATCACCGCCATTCACTAAACAATACCGTGGTGACATGCTTCAACATAGCCCATCATCAGCTTCTCTCTGGGTAATGTCTTGACTATTATTTTCTCACTACTTGACCTAGTAACAATTAGATCTTGTGATTTGGAGAATCGATGATGGCTTAAAAGGTTAAAATGCCATGTGACTATAGACTAGCTCGACAGCCAACAAGAGACCATTTGAGAATTAAACAATATGAACAATGATGAAGACCACAGTGTCCTACTAGATTGTAGCACCAGTCCTCGAAACATTAAGGGCAGAACACTTTTCATTGGAAGAATATTTTAAATAGAAAATATTCACGTTCAAATATGTTAACACACCTCAAAAAGTAAAAGATTAACTCAATAATTCAACTTTACAAATGCAAGAGATGACTTCTTGCCGTAACCGATACTAATGTTCACAGTCTAATGCATTAGGTGTAACATCTAAAGTGAATAATACAATCAATAGTGACAAGTAGACTGGGAGCCAGACTGACTATCAACTTCTAATATTTATTAGCAACACTTAACTCACCGAGTTCTTAACCTTAGAGATCCCCACTCTCCGATTGGCGTCATTCCAGACAGGGGGTACCAGTCTTCATTCTGAAAAACAAAAATATTGCTTGGCTAACTTACAAATGGTTAAACAAAAACTGTAGTCTATTTACAACAACTTCCATTTAAGTTATAAATAATAGTATGTCAGTCGTCAGCAGATCAAATTCAATTTTACTTCAGAGTGTGTAGTTGGAGAAAACCTAATTATTGCATAATAAACACACACAAATTTTTAGTTTAGAGTAAATCAATAACTAAATCAACTAATAAGTTGAGTTTCTCCTAAAAAATAAACAATATATGCCACATATCTGAACTTTGTTTGAGTTTTAAATTGTTGACTTTTTTACCTCGTCACCGTTGGTAAGACTGGAAAGTTCAACTCTGACTTCAGCGACTTCAGTGTCCTTGGACCTCTTGCCTTTGTTGTAAACAGTGATTGTAAATGATTCCACATCAGGTGGGACGTCACTGCACAAACAATTTCCACTGTTATATGCTGAGATGATACAGAGCGTTTTTTTTAACGCAACCCAAATAACAAATATAATAAGACACTTTTTAATGACATAACAGGCTCATATGTTGGTATCCATGTTTTCTTTACTTCATTGGCAATCATGTATGCATTGTTGCACTTGAGTTTTAGTGTATGTATTGTACGCCTACATTAAAAGTAAATTGGTTTTATGCCAATATAGCTTTAAAATTAAGTTTCCATGTATAATAAGTACCTAAAAAATCTACTCTTCCGAGAATTGTCAAAAATTCAAGGAAATCAGATCTGTAGAAAACAAAGAAAAATAAAGCTACAATTCATACTTTATTTCAGTTTATAAAAATACAACCTTGAGCCTTATTTACAATAAATGCTCAATGACACTGAAGCTCATAGATCTATGCAACAATGCATAAACTAATTGGCAAAGAAGTAAAGAAAATAGGGATACCAACATAGAAGTTGGCTTTGTTCATTAAACAGTTTCTCAAGGTAGTCGTAATTATTTGGGTTGCGTTTATAAAAAACACACCCTGTATAAACAGAAAAAGTCAATATTTATGAGTACCTAATATATTAATCACGGATATCTAGTTTTTATAGAGATTGGAAATTGTTTTCTTTTACTTCCATAGATGAAATATACGTTCAAAAATAAATTTTGCAATTAGAATTATTGTAAAATTATAACAACTAAACACACTCAATATACTTACTCTAAAATGAACTCTTCGTCCCAAACAGGATCAGGTCCAGTTTTGACTTTGGTTCTTGCAACTTTCACTTGGTTTAGGGAGACTATACAGAATGGGTTTGGCACTAGTTTGTACGGTAACCTGCAACAAGTTTATGGTATAATTTGATTGAGCAGAATAGAATCACAATGACTAAACATTAGATCAAATTGTTACTTATACTGTGTATTACTACTACAGGGTGGCCGAAAGGAGCCGTACTGCTGTATCATTTTATTAGCAATGGCATATTGGACAGGAAACATCATAAGTGAGTATTATGCCAAGTCATGTCTATGATGAGTATTATGCGAAATGGCAAGCCTATCACAGTAACACAGCAACTTTTTTTAGTCCCCTTTCATCTAAGATGCCATGATATAGTTTCCAGCCAAAATACAATTCTAAGGTAGATTGAAAATTGGAGGAAAACGGGATCTACCTGAAAAGAAGCCAGTTAGCAAAAAATAACTGTTAGGACGCTGTAGATGTTGAAAAGGCTTGGCAAATTTTGATTCGTGTTGATATGCTCAAGCAATCTCAAGCAATTCTGTGGTCCAAAAATCACCATATTTGAGCATGTGCAAATTTTTCTTTGGAGCGTTCTCAAATTTTGTATCTAAACTCACAAACCCTGATAGGCCTTAAGGATAATGTACAATTAACTAAGTGCAGCTAATTAACTGCAGTCATGTTCGTTGTGTAATTCCTTAACCAAGTCACCAAACACTTAATTAGCACCTATGTCACTGTAAATAGACTTAGCAATGTGTACCTGTGGGCGTCAATTATATTGAGCTGAAGGCAACGCAGTTCTCGTAACCTCTGTACCTTGGGCGACCTTGTCATTTGAGTGACACATAGAGGTTTCAAGGCATTAATCCAGTCCTAAAACAAAAACATGAATTAGTTATTACATTTAAAACTTTTCCCAAACGTTTCAAACCAATCTACAGTGACAATGTTTATTCCGTTGGGAGCAGGACCATTCACCCCTAACAAATTCACCAAAAGTAAAAGAAAAGGATTTAAAATAGTTACCTTGTACAGCATTCTTTCCGGTTATGTGATAAAATTTCAGTTTCGAACCTATAGGCTCATTTTCAAGCAGAATACAAATTCATTTAAAAAGATCCTCTCCATTTTGGAATTTTTGGTGTATGTTGAGTTGTCATACGACAGTCATGACCATCTCTAAACCTAGTGTGTTCCCTTTAATATCATAATTTGGTCAATTTTTTTAACATGCATTTGTGACTTAGTGTGAGTTTGTATGCAAAAAAACCTAATTGTTGGGAGTTTGTGGTGTATTGACTGGTCATAACCCAGGGGATAGGGAGGGAGCTGGTGTAGTGGTTAGAGTGCGCAGGACTTCGGTCCGTGAGGTCCCGGGTTCAAATCCTGCCAAATCACCAATGGATTTTATCTAAGTGATAATGCCGCAACCCCTATTTCTAGCCTGAAGTAATGTGAAAAACAATCCCGGGCTTGTGCCTAGCGTCCTAAGACAAAAAAAAACCAAGGATAAAATTTTTTTACTTGGCGCTCTGCTTGAAACTGAACCTCTAGGTTCGGATCCAAAGTATTTTTATGGAAAAACATTATTATTTGTCAGAACAAAAGGTATTTTAAAATATCCTATTTATATAAATGAGATTTAGAGACTAAACATAGTTTCCAAACTAAAAAAACATAAAATATTCTTAGTTATGATTTTTAAGTGAGCCTAATAAAAGAGTAGATTGAGAAAATAAATACCGTACGTGAAGTGTGTAAAGTACCTGGGCAGTGTCAGAAGTGTTGGCGGAGAGGTAGGTTATAGTGGCCAGACAGGGCAACGCTCTCTCTACCAGCTGGAAGCAGTTAGGCCGGTCAAACACACTGTCATGCACCTGGTACAAGTTGGCACACGACAGGTCTATCAGTCCCTTCGGCTTCGTCCTCTGTGGAAACAGTAAAAACACGTTACAAATTACTCACAGTCTTAACTACCAACCTTAATCCTATAGGTCGGCCGCTTAGAAAACGACCTCCTCGTAGCATTGGGGAGAGAGGGAGATGCCGAGCTGTGGGAGTGAGACAGACTATGGCTCTTTCCCCACTCCGCTGCCGCCCCACCCTTCCCGAACACACACCCCCTTAAATTGCAACTAAAATATTAACAGCAATTAAATTATACAGCTGATCAAAATCTAAACAAATACACGGAAAGGGGGAACTTACCCTCCCTCCCTGTTACCTCCCTTACATGCGCTAAAAATTTCGCGCAGGTCGCTTTCTAACCGGCCGACCTATAGTTGGTAATCAACTGCAAATGAATGTTCTTCATAACTTTAAGCTTCTTGCTTTAAAATTAAAATAAGTGAAATGAAAATTTTGCTTTATTGAGGAACTTGGTACTTTTCGGGAATTTCCCACACAGGGAATGAGCTACTCAGTTGATACGTGTACTAAGTTGAACTGAATAAAATAATTGAAAAAGTAATACATCTATAAACAATTAAATTACTTGTAATAATCAATACCTTTGGATTGTCATAGAAGCATAAATGTGTATCAGTCTCATCAACTATCAATACAAAGTAGAGGCTCTTCCACTTCTTGTTCTTCTCACTTTTCTTGAACAAGTAGCCTTGCATTTTGATTCCTAAAATCACAAATTAATGTAACTACAATTACTAAGACAACTCTATATTTTAGAAGATTTTTGAATTAAAGCCTACCAAATATATTAGAAAAAAATTGACAACTTGAACATTTTTTTGAGAAATATAGAGAGTACATTTTATGTGTGGTTTTGAGAGTTTGTCCTTTTAAAATATCCAGGTGTACTAGTAAGAGTTAAGTTCATCCTAGTCAACAATAATGGTCAGTATTCTACCAACATACATTAATCACATATAATGATCAAATTGTACCTGTTAGTATCACGATTGCAAAAACATTGCTTGTAAACCAAAATTTCAAAATTGTTGGTTTTACAATTGAAAGGAATTTCTTTTGAATCCTAGTTAGTCTTAAAGTCTGTGCATCAATGGTTGATTGATTCCTAGTCTTTGTAGCATTTGTAAAATTTGTGTTAACCAACTTTATTTGGAATTTTATCCAAAACATTAACATATGTATTACGTTACGAAACGTAGGAGTAGTTTTGGTCCTAAAAATACTATTAGCGTATTCCTTGAATCAAGATTTTTCAATATTTAAGTGTCCATTAATTATTACCTTTAGTCTTCTTAATGCCAGACTGTTCACGGCACTCTCGCAATGTTGCGTATATTTTCTCTGCGTGTTGAACTTCCTTAGACTTGACTGGTGCCTCAGAGTCATTCAGCGACTGTGAAGCATATACAATCATGTGACAATATTGATAACACACATTCATACATCGTACTTACTATCTGCATCATTTTCTTCCTTGACAGTGCAATCTTTCCTTAAAATAGCTCCAAAGTTTATGCCTTGAATGAATTTTCTATTGTTTTAACGCTTCTATTTCACTTTTCACACAAAGTAGGCCATTTATTTTTTTTAAGCCCTGACCAATCTTAGTTCTACATTAAGGAAGAAGAGAAATACGCATTAAACACACAAAATGTTTCAGATTGATAACTCACTAGTATTAATAGTAACAAAACGACCCACCAAAATGTTGAGACTTAACATCTCTAAAAAGGCACCTTCAAAGTAGGGAAACAGAACCTGACCAGAATCCATTTTGACCACAGATTCATTTGACATGACATTTAAATTGAACATATACACAAAACGAAAATTGTGAAAGAAAACCTACACACTTTTTAACTACGAGTACATACCCTACAGACAGGTAGCACCAGTGTATGTCCCTCCACTATTTGCTCCTTTCTGTAGCGGTTTATGACAGCATCGAGACATTCAAACGTGCGACCACCCATCAGATACCTCACACCTTTCTTCTCAATGCGAAACCTCTGGATCTGGTTGTTGATGTGAAAGAACAAGGAGTAATCACCCGGCGAGTTGTCGCTGGGTCGCACCAAGAATGACCCGGGACCCGCTGCAACAATCAAGTTAGCGATAGTTTGTTTTGATTGGGTCCGGAAACTGATACTGTATCTGTGTTTTAGCAATCATTTCCTTACAGTGTCTTATATGTTGTTTATCTTATCTTTTTGATGTGGGGTTTTTTCCTTCAGTCAAAGTATGAAAGAAGTGTGCATTTGTGGATACAGATTGCTTTAAATATTGAATTTAACAGAAAAATAGCTTTAATGAAATAGTAAACATACGGTAGAATATTGGGAGAATGGCACAAGAGGGAACGGCTAGACTGGGGAAAAGTGTGCGATTTATCAAAGTACTAGCAGAGCACCCGTCCTTCGTACGGGGTTTGCGTGTAAGTATAAAATGGTTATTGCAGTTAAGTTATACTCGAGCTTTGCGTTTGCAATGAGGGAGGACACAGTTTTATAAAATTTGCTTCTTTAAATTTACAGTATTCTATAGTATTACACATCTACCATAGCTATAATGTTCTACCACTTCACCTAAACAATAGAGAAAAATGAATTATAAAATATCACAAATTATTCATGAAATTAATAACATACGTAAGTACACAGTCCTACCATTGACTATTGGATACAGAATATTTTGTACCTTATTTTTCGTTACTGACGTAGTTGCTGGGTCACAATAGTTGTTATAGCACATAATAATTCATTCCATCAGTTTGACTTGGTAAAAACCATCATGTAATCGGCAGAAGTCAGTAATTTAGATCAGCGCAATCTGTAGGTGGCTCACATCAACTAAGACAAATTTTATTAAAAACCTGGCTACAACTTTAACATGGGGATGGAATGTCTAGTTGTTGTATTAATAGTCAAAGGTCCTACTTTGACAGTTCAGTTCAGTTGTGTATCACTGTTTTTTGTTGCTGCTTAGTTCAAATTAGCTGTTTTCATAAATGCAAAAAAATATGGTGCTGCACCCTATTGGTAAATCTTGTAACTTTTTAATGCTTTTCCATATCATAGAACTAAAGTTTTTAGTTGAAACAGCTGACTAAATTCTTTAATTCTCTTTAAATATGAATACTCATAAGGTTAACATGGGGAACTACAGAGCCACTGGGGCGGAGCCCGAAAGGTTTTTGAGATAAGCCTATATGTTAATGGGGAATGTAAGCTATCATCATTCCAAATTTCAGCCCAATCCGTCCAGTAGTTAATGCGTGATTGAACTTCAAACAAACAAACAAACAAACACACAAACTTTCACATTTATAATATTAGTAAGATTAGACATCTAGTCTGGGATAAATGCCTAAGACTGCAAAAGTTACCAAGTATAAAACTTTAAGGTTATCTTATAAAAAGATAGGGCATTTGCCAGTATAAAACAAGTATAAAACTTATTATAAACCGATAGTTCTATGGTGCAGAAGTTTGGAATGCAACAAAGAGGGGATGGAGAAGAGTTCAGGCGGAGAAATCAAGTTTGTAAGAGAATCCTTGTAAAGGAAAAACAAAATTGGATATAATTAGGAATGAAGAGTTGAGAAGAAGAATAGTTTAAGAAAGTTTGATAGAACAAGTAGAGAGATCAAGATTGAGGTGGTTCGGCAACTTAAGAAGAATGGAAAATTATAAGAGTCCCACAAAAATGAGTGAGCTTCACATGAACAGAAGAAGACCAAGAGGAAGACCCAGAAGAAGGTGGATCAACGAGGTGAGACGAGATGTGGGAGCAAGAGGAGTACAGTGGCAGTATGTGGAGGAAGAGGAATTGTGGAGGGACAGAAGATGGAGCCTAGTGAACACCCAGACCCGGAGATAACCGGAACGGGATAGAATAGGTACTAATCTTGCTTTAACTATTCATTGGATTACCACCTTGGTAAGAATAAATCTCAGGTAAGCAATAAACAAAGAATTGTGTGCAACATCACACTCTTTGTTAAAAATTATCTTAAATTTTGTTCAAGTTTATAGTTTAGTGATGAATTAATTTTTAACCCTAAATCTAGACCAGTGGCCACAGCAGTAAGCAAGTAAATCAAAACATTAATCCATAGCTAGCTCTTTGGGGAAAATAGCATCATACATCCATAAATTTAGTTTTTCACGTCTACATTGAGTGCATCTACAGCAATTAGGATCACTGTAGAAGGAATAAAATAGAATACTCAAGGTATAGACCCACATAAAAAGCAGATTATTCACATGTTTAATCAATGACAGTTTTGGCACAGCAGCGACGAGTAAATACTACTACAATATAAGGACTAGAGATTAAGGGGGCTCCCAAAGTGTTTTTCATGAAAATAGAATTAGGCCTATTTATTTTTTATCAGTTGGCAATCCTAGGTAGCATACAACAATGTCAGTACTCACACTTGACTAGCATATCCACAGCTTCACTCTTGGTAACATTCGGGTGAAACCAGTTAAACACTGTGTTGGGGTCAATGTTCTCATCCAGGTCATCTACCAGATCTCTGAAGATCATGCCCTAGAACATACAAGCATGTAAACGTACCAATAGTTTAAGTGAAAAATGTGATTTTTTGGGGAATAAGGATCTTGATTTCCGTATGTGGGGGGGGGGGGGGCATGTCCTTAATGGAGACATGCCATTAAGTACATTAAATAACTACACTAGGGATTATTTAATCAAGTTTGCTATTTGTTGAATATGTGGGAAGCCTAAAATATATCTTAAGTAACCGATGAGCCTTTAGCAAACATTAAGTTACATACTTAATTGTAAATTAATTTTAATCCTATTCTACTAGACACAGAAATAAAAATAACAACACTATAACATCCAAAAATGAAGGTAACAACCCCTCTTATTCACCCCCCCCCCCCCCTAACGCAATGTGCATAGGTAAACACAACAGAAAATGTGCAAAAATACAACAGATTGTCAGAGTCATTCTCAGTGCTGTTACCTAGGTTGGAGTTGAATCAATTGTTAAGTGTTCAAGAAAATCTTTTTATAAAATGAATATTTGTAAGGTTAAAACCTGAGATTAAATTTAGTAAATATTTTGTTTTGTGAGCTCAGATAATGTTAAAATTTCTGGTCAACATCCAACATCAAGTTTTTAAGACAATAGACTCAATGAATTACAGACTAATATTACTTAGTCCTACATAAAATTCACAATTCGGAACATAGGACATAATCATTTTTATTTTGTGTCTCAAGCCAGTGTATAAACCTTAATTTTTCTCTTAATGTAAATTTCAGAACAATAGACCAATGACTAATTCATATTTTGATTTCAATATTGCTTAATTAATGTGTTCAAACAGAGAAAAGTTTATTACAAAAAATATTGAAGTTTAAGCCCTAACAAATCAGAGAAATTATATCAAATGACAATAAAAGGAAACAATAATATGTGGAGGGTGTTTTAAAAAGTACCCTATAAGTTGACACATTAAATCTTTATAATTCAGAAACACCAAGTTTTAGTTTGAGACGGAAAGATTTATAATGTTGCACGGGGCTTGAATAGCACTATATTACGCAAAACTTACCTGTTCCCCCGTCCGATGAGCAGTTACCCACAGCCAACCATCCCCCATGTCATTGTGTACGAAGAATATGTCCCCTTTTTGGAAACTGTAAATGGAAAAGTATGAAAGTGTACTGGGAAATACATATCGAGCATAACACACATCTTATATTCTGTTTTATCAACCACTCCTACAGTTCATCTTCCATGATTAGGGTTATAATTGAATTGCTGTTTTGTTATATATTATTTTTTAAATTGCAACACAATTCATTCAGGTAGGAATTTAAGTAATAAAGTAACTTAAGTATTTTTTAATGGCTAAAATTCGACTCATCAAGGTTAAATATTTAAAACCTCTAACTTATAAAGGTACTTTTAGCACTGTAGTTTGCCAAGATTACAAGGGGACCATGAAAAATTCAAGATATCAAGGAATTTTAGATACTAAGGTTCCAGTTATAGAGGTACTGTTATAAAAAGGCACAATGGGAAGCATATATACAACAACTCAATTCCATACAAATACTCAGACGGGTTAACAATTTTAAATGAATGAAGAAAATTTAAAAAAATTACACCCAGAAGAAATTATTTGTCATTAAAATATAAATATGTACCCAAAAATTAAGAAATTAGGTACTTAAGAGAAAAAGAATTTGAAAACTGGAAAAGCCTAACAGAGAAGGGTATAAGTTAGGTGTTGAACTGTTCAAGGATTATAGGGGTGGGCGATTACTCGACTTTTTCCAAATACTTGACCTCAAGTCGAGTAGTAACTACCACTCAAAATTTTGAGTTGAGTAGTTATAAAAAGTGCCACTTCACGATTTTCTACACCCGTATTTAATAAATGATAGGCTATTTGTTTTGTGTTAATGTCTCATTTAATCCCCATTCCTACAAAAAACAACTATCTAATTTAATATATAGGCTAGTCCAGCCTAAACTAAATGTTCAAGTGTTTTATAGAAAGGCCTACCTATGTGTTATCTGAGTATGTTTACAATAGCCATCCACAATTAAGCAATTTTGCTTCCTCTACACTTTCACTTAGTCCCCGTCTCCGTGTAATGAACAGTATTATACCCATTCTACATAATTCAAGCTTTAAACATACCTCAGCTCGTCAGTGTCGGGCATCTTGGTGTAGGGAAGGATAGCGACTATACGCTTCTTGTCATTGACAGGCTCAGGCGGAGCGACAGGATGCATCAGTCGCTCTCTCTTGAGCAGATCCGAGCAGCTCGTGTAGTATCCGATCAGGTCTGGCAGCGAGTCAAACTGTCTACCTCCGATGTAAAAGTCTCCGCACACCGCAGTTATCCTGCGCATCACAAACAAATGTTGTCACTTCATGTGAAATTTCGTAATAAACATTAAACGTCCTAAAATAAAATGTACATCAAAGTAATGTTTCATTTCAGTTCTTGGAATTGAAAGTTTCACGTAACAGCATTCTTCTTCCTTTCATTCTTTCACCGTCAAACAACTCTAAAAAGGCTTCGCAGATGTGGTGAAAACGATGTACTATCCTCAAAGAAAACTTATACTTGACCACTGTACAATAAACCAGGCCTGGTGCTATTCAACTTAGTGGAGCCATGCACACAGAAAGTACTGTCAGGGGAGTAAGGAGGGCAAGTTAGCTGGTCAGCTCTTTGGCAAAACCAATGTTTTTGGAAAGACTTTTTTCACCATATTCAAACCCCCCTCTAGAGCCCCTCCCCAGGCACAAGTGCCATTTTAGGGTTGTTTGACTGAATCTTTCTCTAAGTTGGCATGTTTAGGTTGGAATGGGAGTATTATATAAAGTATGGAAGTAGCGACGAATAATTAAAAAAAGCGTAAAATAAACCCTCATTGATTTTTACCCAGTAATTGACTTTGCATAAACCAGACAACCATTTGGCATTTAGAGAAAAATTATCTGAGTTTTATAATTTCTACCATCTAAATATTGGGTAGAATGAGTAGCTATATTGTGTTTTGTTGAGCGGAGCGAGCGAAGCGAGCGAAGCTCTTATACTACACTCCTGCTTTTTTATTACAAATACTCCTCCTGAACGGCTGAAGCGATCTGCATGAAATTTAACACAGTCATAGTAACCAACCATGGGAAGGTATAAATCTGAAACGGTACAAATCGGACCATAGGACTTTTCCCTACATGAATGCAAACTTTTGGAAATTTAACATGGGCCTTATGGGTTAATTGGTCGCCATGTCATTATTTGCGAGTAAACACTAAAAAGTAAACAAGAGCCTCAACATTAGTCAACAAATCTACCACATGATAAAAACAGTACAAAAGAAAAAATTGGATAATACTAAAGAGCATATTATAGTATATTGTATGTAATACGAAATGATTAACAATCAGTTCTATATTGAGTGATTAAACGGGGTAGCGGATTTTTATCCCCCTGGAATTTTACCCCCTGGGCAAACGTGACGTCACAAACCAGGGGGTAAAATTCCGGCCGCGAACTTTTGAGGTTCGCGACATCAGCTCGATGGATAAACGCGGAATTAAACATATATTTTCACGGTTGTGAATTTAATCAGAACACATCAAATTATAAAAACCTAGAGTGTACGTCCCGGATTTTTACCCCCCGGAATTTTACCCCCGGAATTTTACCCCCCGGAATTTTACCCCCCGGAATTTTACCCCCTGGCCAGATATAAATTAGTGAGAATGATTAATTATCGTCATTCAGTTTTAATTTAATGGTAAACATTTTATTAATAAGTAGCCTATCTTAATTTATATGTAACATTAACTAATCGAACAGGGTTTTAATATTAATTTTGAGATTCGAGTGTCAGGATTCGATCTTTGAAGCCAACTGTTGGTTAATATGATAAAAATAAAACAGCGAATTCTGTTTACTTAGTTGAGATTACAAAATAAATAAATAAAGATGGGCTACTAAATAATGAAATGTTTACAATTAATTAAAAACTGAAATAAGATAATCAATCATTCAATTTCTAAAATCAGCCAGGGGGTAAAATTCCGGGGGGTAAAATTCCGGGGTTAAAATTCCGGGGGGTAAAATTCAGGGGGTAAAAATCCGGCCCGTACATCTTCAGTTGCCTAAACGCTAGTTAAATGGATAGGGGGTAAAATTCCGGTTTTTATCGCTAATCTAATTAATCACGCTCTGACTATTTTCATTAGACTTCCAAATCCGCGGGGGTAAAATTCCGGCCACGAACAAACTTTTGGCCACTCAGGTTACTACGTCATAGTGACGTCAGCTTTGCCCAGGGGGTAAAATTCCAGGGGGATAAAATTCCGGCGACCCGATTAAACTCCATGCCGTTTATATTTAATTGTAAAATGGTTCTGTTCTTTTTAACAACAATGAATAGTTAACTAATTAGGCCTAAGTTTATGTTGCTTGGAGAAGGAGAAGATAAAACGAGGTCATTAAAAAAACACTACAACATAATTATACCAACAAAAATCACACCGCCCTTGATTTGCAAGAAACTTTGTAAAAAATGTTCTTGTAGCTAAAAATACAAAATCGTTTTACGAAATGAAATCACAACCACGTGGTTTACAGGTAAGGTTTAAGACTAAATGGTGTAACTTAGACAATAAAATAGTTGTATTGATAAATTTTATTGCACAATAGGGAAATTTTGAAAGTGGTTGACGACAATTTCTTACTTTTAACTGCTAAAATAAAACTAGACCTAAGTTATAGGCCTATACTAAGTGAGGCTAACCCCAATCCCTCACAACAATAATACTGGTAAACAGTTATTGAGGTAATTGAATTGGTGAGTTTTATGAATGTTCAATGCAAATAAGTCTTCTGTACAAATAAATGATTCTTTTTTTAATAATGAAGAAAGAAGACATTGAAAAAAAATAAAGAAAAGCAAATTCTACATACAATGGGTAATAATAATATAATAATAATCGTTATTGCCTTTTAATAATACAGGTATTGCTTAGGCCTACCATGATTCATTTGCAGTACCGAAATTATTGAGCGGAGTGAAGCGAAGCTCTTATACTACACTCACTGCCTTTGTTTTACAAATACAGGTCAGGCTCCACCTGACAGGCTTAAGCGATCTGCAGGAAATTTGGCACAGTCATGTAACCAACCATATGGGAAGGTATAAATCTGAAATGGTAATATTCGGACCACAGGACTTAAACCAATAATAAGGGTTGCCGGAATTAGGCTGATGCACCATATTGCGTTTGGAATCTGTAAATAACTTACAGCATTTTATGTGAGCAAGACGTGCAATTAATGTAGACTTTGAATATCTATCTGATTGGAACATGTTCAATTCCTATTTGCAGTCTACAAATAGGAATTCCACTAATGTGAACCAAATATAACACAATTCGTTGACTTGAACCCGACGTATCATTTACTTTGAATACTGCACATAGACATCCCATATAAGTGAAGCAGAAGTAGGCCTAAGCCTACCATTGACTTCGGATACTGCAATTAGGCATTTTATTTATGTGAACAAAATAAATGGACCATTGATTTATTGAGGATACTGCAAGTAGACTATTCATTTACATGTACCATTGGGTTTGGATACTACAAGTAAACAATCCGTCTACGTGAACCATATGTACTATTGACTTTAGAATCTGTAAATAGGCATTCCATTTATGCGAACCAAATATATCATTGGCATTGGATACTGCAAGTAGACATTTAATTTATGAGAACCAGATGAAACATAGAATACGGTTCCTGCAAGTAGACGATTCATTCACTTAATCCTGACTTATGATTGACTTTGGATACCTCTGCAAATAGGCATTCTATTTAAAATGCAAAAAAATCATTGATATTGAATATGCTGGCTCCGCTCAATATTGCAAGCAGACAACTGCATTGTACACCTAGTTTATTTTATTTTCTGGACAACTGCCCAATTCTTAAGCACTAAGTAATAAGCCTTCATGAGTTGATTTTTAAAAGTGTAGGCCTATAGGTTAAATTATAAGAATTAATTAATTATTTTTGGGTAAACAGACGGTATCTGCAATTCAACACCCTGTGTTTGAATTTAAAACAAAATTTTAAGGGGGATTTTTTAAAACCATCATTATTTTTACTATAGGCCTATCTAACTTACTGCACATTAACTTAACCAACCTATGGTGTTAAGTATCCTTATCTCAGGGATGTAATACACAAATATAAAAGAAACACTTAATATTTCCTATATTATAACTATTGCTGTGCTTCATGAACGTTTAGGCATGGATTATACTAAAATAAATAAATTATTTTAGTAAAACATTGCCAAAATAAATCAGGCAAACTTATAAAAACAGTATATATTTACTAAAACTTTTTCAAACTAATGATTTAAACTATTTGTCATACTTTATTAAATAACTGAGGGGATTTTTAAAGTAAAAAAATGTATAAGAAACACATTCCTGTCCAACAAAGAGAATTCAATGTCATCTTATCAGAACAGGAAATACTAAGATAAAGCCAGTGAATAGTTCTTCTAGTATCAACGTTTCTAAACAATTGACACAATCATTATTAATAAAGTAGGCCTATGTTAAGTTAAAATAAAAATGTGCATTGTTATGTAAATACCCAAATAGTTTAGAATTTATATCATATATGAAAGATACATTTTCTATGTGTTTAAAAAAGTGTGCTAATGGTTCATAGATATAAGAACATATTATTAATTAAATTTATGGAGATTTAAACATAAGTAGAAAATATCTAGTAGGTACAGAAAACCTTATACGTAGTAGGACCTCATTTAAATCACACCTCAATATATCGAATTTCTTGGTATCTTTACTTTAGTTTTGTGTAATCCCTTTGAAATCACCATAAATCACAATGTTAACACGTTGATTGCTGATTATGAAAATTCCCTCTATTGCTTAACATTGAAATAAATGCAACTTCCATGTTTATACATGTTTACCGCACTATTAATGTTAAAAGTAACTCTAATTGAATCAAAAGTTTTAAATATTTAACATCAATAAGTCAAATTTTTACGGTTTTTGATTAGTAATACTCAACCCATAACTAGAATTTTCCTGTTATCAAGCCTCAATAAGTCAAAGTTTACCCTATAAGTCGAAGTTTAAGTACAACAGGCCTCATAAACATTTTCGTACTTATTATTTATTTTTCTTTATCTCAGTTTGACAAAACTTGTTGTGAAACCATTACATCATGAAGTACGTAGCCTACTTGATGATTTTTTCTCACGCCTTGCTGACATTTCTGATCATTATGCCACAAAAAGTAATGTTCTGTGTTCATAATTATATTAAGGAAGTTATGATATGTTCTTACAATGGTGTCCCCGATGCCGATAGCCTCGGGTTAACACATATAAACCAAAATTTAAACAATTTTAAACATTCATGACTAAAAAAGCATTGAAGATAATGACACCTATTATCCAATTTGGTATGGTCATTAGGTTGATGAAATTAACAAATAAAAAATAATCAGCCATATCCAAGACCACGGGTAATGGGTGATATTTGATTTTTTGTTGAACTATTTAAAATTACACCACCAAGTAATGTAAGTTTGGACTAGTGTAGGCGTAGTGGCTGCTTCTTAGTCTGAAGTTGTCGTACCTGAAGTGGTTAATGCCAGTTCGGCCGAGGTAGGAGAGCACGTAGGAGCCGGGCTTGCGGTCACTCTCTCTCACTAGGTAACTGCCCATCTTGGACGCCTCCCACAATCTCTCCTCGGCTGTGTAGCGGTCCAGACGACCGTGGTACCACCTGCAACAACCACAAATCATCAGTAGGCATTTTGAATGTTAGTCCATTTTTCCCATTACATTATTAAGTGTTGTTTTCATAAATCAACAACTATGGTATGGTGGACAAGACAACAATTTATTAAAGTAAAACATATGTGATGGGAAAATGCTTTATCAGCTTTCCTCTTCAGGGATCCTCTTGATCCTTCAAGAAGTTATATTACACTGGATCTTGGAAACATCACTCATAGATCGATACAGGCACATGCCTAGGCTGGCGACATAGGACTGGTTGCTAGACATCCTGGTTTTGTGATCAATCTTAAGATGTCTGAAACGGAAGTAAGACAAATAATCCAAAACATCAGGGAAGTAAGCAACTATTTTTTCAAAGGAGTGATCAGGTCGGGCCAGATCTCAACAGTGAGTACAAGGTAGTTCAATAAATTACCAAGAGAATCATAAGAATCTTAAAGCTAATCTTGGAATCCTTAAATTAAGTCTAAACTGCTGACTTGCAGGAAAGAGATGAAGCTATAGGCCTACAAACCCCTGATTAGGTTAAACTCTGTTCATAAAATAAAATTATAACTTCAATGTCAAAAATTCTAACAAAAGATGTAAAGTTACCGGTACAGTTAAGTTAACTTAACTTAAGAAGGAATGGCATTCAAAGCAAAATCTGACAAAAAGTTTAAGTTTCCGTTGGGATTTGAACCATGGACCTCTTGCACATTAGCCGAGCACTCTAACCACTAAGTTAAGCCACGCACACCGATGGCTGTACATCGTAGGCCTATCGTTGTGGTAATGGCGTTCCGGGCCCCCACAACCTGGTGACCTCACTGTCGGACGCCTAATCCACGTCCGGTTACCAGACGCGTATCCTCTGTGTAAAGGAAACCCCTGTTTTTTTTTTTTTTTTTTTTATTATTTCCTTAAGAAGCAGCTAAACGTAACAGTAGATAAGTTACTAGGTAGGTTTTTAAAACAAACAGTATTTTACCTTGTTAAATGAGGGGCCAGTCCAAGTCAAAACTAAAAAGTTAATTCAAAAACCTTAGATTCTGAAGGCTAAGACCCAAAAAAGTGGAGGTAAAACTGGGACTAGTCCTACCTAGGCCTAGCCTATATAACAAACATCAAGGCTAGCAAATAACATAAAAGCATCAATGAACGCTACATAATCAATAGTCCTAGTAAGCAAAACTACGAACATTTAAAAATAATAATAAGCATCATAGGTAGGTGTATAGGTGGAGCAGTAAATTCATAACTTACTGAGTTTCTGGGGGAGCAACAAGCATCGAGTTATTAGACCCATCCCCTTCATCTTGATCTCCCAAAAATGGGTCGAAATCTTCACCCGTAGCACCGTCGTGGCCTTCATCACTCCCAGTGCTCGGGGATCCATGTAATTTTTCTTTTTGAATGATAACACCCGAACCACCGCGAATAAATTCAGCCATCTTAGTATTTATCACACGAAACCCGAGACCGAGAACCTCATTCAACAACGCATACAGACATCAACACCAACATCCCAGTCCCCACCCACTTCGACATCGACATTCATTGCAGAAGGAAACTTTGATTAAGAATGAAACCAGGCATACCAATACCAGTAATAAAATATTTGTAGTTTTATTAATGTTGATTTATAAACATATAATCTGCCATTTATATTGTTTTATTATTGCAAAGGCAATTTGTGGTATCATTAATAAACAGCAAATATGGTAAGTCGAGTCGTATGGTCACCATTTCAATCAAAAGTATTAAAGTATTATAATACCTGAAATCAGAGATTACTATACTTTAATAATTTTCATTAAAATGGTGACCATACAAAGTAGGTATTAAGTCAAGTATGAACGGAGATGAGTGTAGGATGAGTGGCGCGATCTTGTAGTCTTGTTACTCTTGTTTAGTGACTAAGGCCGACATATTCCTTAGACACAGCTGTTAATTAAAAGCCCGTACAGCTAATGGCAACTAAGGGACCTACAGTTTATAGTGGAATCCGATCCGAACCAATTTTTTTGGGTAATTAAATTTATCAACGAATTGGTCTAACTATCAGGATAGTACTGCGGATAGTTGCAGTACTCACTAATGCGGACGTTAATCCACAACCGGGAGTATAGCATCCACATTGCATTCTTATAAATATCCACAACCTCCTAGTAGGTAGCTGGATTACAGGACGACGCCAACGTCCCAGACTACCATTGACTATGTCTCTTTACTTTAATCGACATAATCTTCGTTCAGTTCAACAACGGCCACGGGCCACCTATAACTACAGTCCAGCATTCGAAAAGCAAAACTATTAGTAGTGTCATAGATAAAACTAGAGACGAACCATCAACAGATTTCCCATCCTTAAATATGGAAACGCTGAAGCCAATTTTATCGTTAGTTCTGTCCGGTGCACTGTAGGTGTCATGTTTTGTTTACAGGTTGTTTAGTTATTATGATGTCAGTCATTTAAAACCCCGTTTGACAAAATAAAACGATAAAATCATAAACAATAACTAACTCATCCTCTAGTTATAAACCAAACAGTAAAGCACAAATCGTGAAATTTAACTGTAAGATAACAGAAACGAAGTCGTCAAGACTAGGCACCATAGTGTCACCGGACATGCACTAGAACGAGCTTCAAATTTTACAATGGAATGAAAAGTCCACTTATGATGGTTAGTCTGGTAGTGCTGTTTTGTTTGGAGGCAGCTAATGCGCATTCGTGTATTGAATACGTGTGCTGTGCTTATGCTTACTGGGCTATGAAACTATTGACTCCATCAATATTGTTTTGGTTTACTATGTCATATATTTTATTTTCAAACTTTTAAATTTATATTCATAAATTTAAATGAATAATACACGATTAAACGAGTGGATGTCACCTGTTTGCAATGTTATAGCTTAAGCTTATGGGCGGTAAACAGCACTTTGCGACGTTGCCAATCCTACCAGACCGCAGCTAGCCTGGAGTTAAAGGTGGCCGTGATCATATAGTATAATATGCTTCTTCTATCTAACTTACATCATTTGAAACATTATGGTTTCTATAAAACCTAAACATTACCGGACAGAACCAAACCTCGATGCAGCTCTAGAAGCTGCATCGCCAAATATTCAGGGGGTAAGATCCAGAATAAGACCCATATCTTGAAGAAACCCCAAACACCATAGGAATAACAGGCCCAACTGCGTGTCCAGATGTCGGGACGAGAGTGCCCAAGCGCCCTATTGGTGCAATGGTCACACTCTACCCTTGGCATAAGGACCTTTAAAGAAGACCAGAGGTTTAACCCGTTGGTCTGATGAGAGTTAAGACACAGGCATTTCAGTAAACACATTCAAACTCTGGGAATCAACAATTACAACCAGGAGTGTCAATTTTGCAACCAGTCTGATGAGACTACAAAACACATCGTTCTGGATTGTTACAAACTTGGTGCTAAGAGAACGGATGTGTTTGGTTAAAAGCATCTAGGTGATGAACCAGACGCTATTGGGCATCTGGACCTAGTCAAGGCCACAGGCATTAGCTTGCCTAGTTTAGCGGTAAGTGGAGCAAGCACAATAAGCTTCCGCTGACGTGTTGGGACCCTGAGTCCGCCTCTCAACAATACAATACCTAATTATCACGCACACTGGAAGAGCGTTGCACAGTGCACAGGCATGGCCACCATGGAATTACCCAGCCATTCAAACTCGGGAGGAGGCAAGGGGAATATTTCCACTACCCCAGTGGAAATATTTGGCGCGACAGGCACTTTCAGTGCCCTGGATAGGAGTGGAATATTTCTTAACAAAACTCTCGCTGACCCCCCTAGAAAAATTATTGAGCTTTGCTTGAGCTTACATAGCTCACAGCTCCATACATCTGTGTAATGTGAATAACTTACATAGGTAATTATATATAAATTATACATAATCATTGAATAGAAATTCTTTTTTCCTGAACTCAGAAAAATCCTTTACATATTACTTCCCTAAAAAAATACTGAGGGTTATTAAGGTACCTTTCAATACTGTGGCCATGATTTTGTTTGTAATAATTTTAGTAATTTATAAAACAAATTATTAAGGGAAGACAGAGTAAGACACTCAATCGTTAAGAGACATACTGTAAACATCTCTCTCTTTATTTGTCCTTCAAGGGTGATGAATTTATATGATACTAAATGACAGTCCATGAAAACATGTCTAACAATAATAATTTGTAAAAATATGGCTGGTAAAATTTGTGTATTGTGGAGTTTGTCCGTTGGTATGTAAAATAAAAATAAAAATAAAAATAATACAAAGTATTTTCATTTGGTTTTTGTCAGTTTTCAGAGGTAAATTGCTCCACAAAGCTGGCTGGACATGAGGGGTAGAGTTGCTGGCAGTCTTCACCCTTCGCTCCCCTATCTTCGGCTTCCATGTAGGACGAACAGAGTGCTTCCCTCTTGCTAAGTGATGGGCTTGAACAAAATTAGAGAAGTATTTACAGTTGTTCTCACAATAAGACCAGGGTAAGGCCTAATAGATCTAGAACATTATTACATTTGACAACTGAGTTGTGGGCCCAACCAAATTCTCAGATATTGATCTTTTGGGTGTACTTTTTTATAAAACACTTGAGTATTTTTTTTTTCAAACTAAATATTAATTGCCCTACTACTTGGAAATTCGATATAGCCTAATATTAAATTAAAATTATTTGCGTTTCACAACAATTTAAAGTACGATCGATTTTGGAAATGACGATACTACTTTAAGTTTGATGCTTGTGGTCTTAACATGGGTATATGTTGTGAGCACAGTGTAAACACTGTGGGGACATAATAATGTGTTCTGTTCCACTTCATAGCATATATGGTTTGATTTGATTTTTGATTTGAGATGATCAGGCATTTGTTCTTGATATAAATCAATGTTATTAATATTCATGTCATTAGGAAAATTACTCTACAAATGAATATATTTTTTTAGTCAACTGCTTTCTTTTTTATTCTACAATAATTGAAAAGGATTCTTTTAAAAGTGTTTCTCAGAAACGTTAATCTTTGATACTCATAATCTTAGCTGGTCTAAGATTGTTTAATTTTACACACTTGGTGAGTTTTTAGTGCTTTTTTGTTATATTTAAAATTAGGTACTGACCTGAAAATTATATGAAGAAGTTGTCCCATTAAACCATTGTGGTGCAAGGAAGTCTGACTGACTTCACAGATTGCCCTTAACAGACAAGCTTCCCCATCTAAGCCAAACCTATGCAAAGTTCAAACACATGAGAAAACATCAAGAGGTAATTGTGAATAAATACTGATTACCAAAGACTGCATCAAGTTACAAGTAAATCTCTATCTATTATTATATATTTAGAAGATTATACTATCTCTAATAAAATAAAGGTTATAAATAAACAAATGAATTACATAATAAATACTACCCTACAAATAGCTTAAACAAAAATAAATACTAATAAAAAAGGCTATCCAGATAATGAAGTAACCCAATGGGTACCATCCCATTCTCCACTTTTGGAAACTTTGCATGCATTGTAAAAGGTCTAAAGTTCTTGAACAACAGCATATTGACAGTAAATAATTATGTTTCCATAGAAACAATTTATTTAATTCTATCACTGACACAATGAAATTGTAAGATGAAATTTTTCCTCCTGCCAAAATTATTTTGAGGAAGAATAAAAGGATTCAGAAAGTCAAGTGTATTTGCTTTGTTGAAGAAAGTAGAGCAGTTCTGCTGGAAGATGAAACACCGTGAAAATTTGGCAGAATTCTTCTGTTCTTGTCACTATTGCTACTAGCAGAGGATCGCCAATAGTAAGCAACCAAGTAGCAACTCTGGGGGAATTGGAAGAACTACAGAAAGATGTTGTATTGCTTTATTAAAACAAAAAGAATCCACATACCGTAGTTGAAAGGATTGTTTAGAGCAATGTGCCTAAGGATTTGCCATAGAAAAACGTTTGAGAAACATGATGACATGGAGGAGATAATTGCAACTAACTATGGATGAGGAGATTGAACTGTGGGAAACTGAAGAGTTCTGTAACAACACTGAGAGGCGATTGAAGACGAGTGGGGACAGGAAAAGGAAGAGGCCTGAAGAAGATGAAATGAAGATGAGAGTATGAGTGAACCAACTTGTTAGTATTAAGTATGACATATATTTAGTATTAAGTATCTTTTGTACTTAGTGTTAGTATTTTATGTATCAAGTAATAAAGTATCCGTGCGCTTTCCTACTTCAGCGTATACGGAGCGTCCCCTGGGTGGCGGATAGGGGGAAGGTCAGTGGATCTGCTTGTCAGTCCTCCCGGCTAGATCCGTTGGACCCGCTGACCAGAAGTAGGTGAGGTCCTCCATTCATATTGGGGGTTGAGGCGAAGGGCTAACCACCCTCCCTTGTAAAAAAAACCCTGGTTACGTACGGATGACTTGGACTAGATGGATCACATTGGACAACGACCTAAGCTGTGTCATAAGGACTTGAGATTTGGAAGCTGGGACATTCGCCAAGTGCTGTGGGGTCGTTAGCAGAAAACTGGAAAAGTGCAAAAGATAAGGTAGCCCTGTACGAAATTAGGCGGCCATTTAATGGAATCATCAATGCTGGAAATTTCATGTTATACTAGTGGTAGAGACGGAGTGAGGTTTTTGTCATCAATAAAAAAGATTGTAGATAGTCTAGTTGAATTTGAGGCTGTGAATGAAAGATAGTGTAAGATTAAATGTATGTATTAAATCTATGTAAGATTAAAAGAAAAATAAAAAAAACGTACCGGTATCTGTGATAACAATTTTATGTTCCAACGAAGAATTAGAAGATTCTGGGGGCATAAAAATAAAAATAAAATTGGTCCCGTGTCCCAGGTGAGACCTGGGCTACATGAGACCTAATAGCTTACTCTTTATATAATTTGATAAAATAAGGATTTTGTACAGAATTTCCAATTTATTTAAACTAAGGAAATAGATTTGAGTCATTACCGGTACTAGAAGAATAACCCATATCCCAAGATGTAGATGAATGTTGGGATAAACTGAACATATTTTAGTGGATGACTAAAAGAAGAACTTATAACTTTAGTTGTGAAAAATTAGTCAAGGAAATGAATGACATTAAGAAAAAAGCTCTGTTAAATAATCAGTGAGAAGAGGACATAAACTGCCATAAGAAAGTCAACTATAGTTCGGCCGCTTAGAAAACGACCTGCGCGCTAATGCTAAACCAATGCTAGAGGAGGTCGTTTTCTAAGCGGCCGAACTATAACAGTTGTTTTTTTAATAGAATTTTTTATGACACATAATTAATATAAACTTCAGTAACAAAAACTATAAGCAAAAATAGACTACACTCAATAAACAGTTCATTCAACTGCTATAACTGGTCCATATACACTGGCTATGTATATACTGGTTCATTACATAACCTGCTTATATAAAAAGAGGCAACATCAGATGTGCAAGACCAATGTGTAAACTCTATCTCACCCAGCTATTCGCCTAGTGAGTAGCTGATAGGCTGAGTGGCGTGAGACGTCCCGGAGACTACGGCGTACAGGGTCTGGTAGGTCAGGGTCCTGGTTGAGGTCTGGGAGAGGCGGAGGTGTGCCAAAGTAGTACAGCTGGTCTGGCAGATTGTAGTTTCCCTCCATGTTCCACGACATCAGCACGTCTTGACTGGCTGGTAGATCCAGAGGAACAGCAAAGGCCAAAATCATCTGTCAATATTATTTGTTGATAATTCAGTTTTTGAACACCTTCACCCAATATTGACATAACTTACAGATATTTTATTTACATGTATTGTCTCCAGCAATTTATTATGTGCTCCATGCTTCAGCTTCATCATGTCTTTTTTTTAACTGGTCCTTCCTGGTTTTCAGTGGCGGTCCCAAGGTGGGGTGGGTGGGAGGTATATATAACCCCACCCCCCCGAAATATTTTATATTTTATTAACTAACATATAGGCCTATATACTATTAACTTGAGCATATTTAAGAGCTAAATTAAACATTGTAGTTATCTCTTCCAATAACATGACCACCCCATCTCAGTTTAGGATTCCAGCCACACTGGATTTTTGTAAAATTGAACATTTTTCCAACTATGATTTATCTGCCCATGTCTCTTTCATTGGTTGGCCTGAATTGTTTCCCAGTACTTTTTTAATACTAATAATTTACTCTCGGAATCTTTGTCTACATTTTAGTTTCTAGCAGACCATTTATTTAAAATTGTGTGTGAAAATTTACAACATATAAATAGCACTTGCCTTCAATAAAAGTTTATAATATTATATTAAACCGTAGTTCCACCAATCTATCGCTAATTTGTCCATAGAATTTACTTACTCCAATAGCACTTCCATAAGGTATTGTCAGATACCTCTTCTGGCGAGACAGTTTTGTAAATTGGTCTTCCAGTGATATTGCAACGGCAGCAGAGCAACAAAACCTGTGACAATTAACTTACAGCTCAAATGAACTAACTAATATCGTTCATTTATCAAATAAGGAATCAGCAGATATAGGCTTATATAAATGGCTAGAAAATAGTTTTGCAATTTTTTTCTTGTAGCAAGTAAAATTTTGATAAACAAAACAGTAAAGTGTAAAGTTGCTGAGTGTGATATAAATGCTTTGGAGAATTAGCTAATACCGGTAGGTATCATGGTATATACATGTGTCCATTATTATTTGATAACTTGAGCAAAAATCATCTCGATTTTGATTAAATTCCTTAAAAACGTGTGAACTTGGATTTTTTTCTAACACGTTCATGAACCAGCATGAGGACTATGGGAAGGGTTTTATGGGGGGTTTTACGTGGTTAAAATTTTCCCATTTTTGGGAAAAAGTTTTGCAATTCTTCCTAAACTATTATGTAGAGGTTAAAAAAACAAATCGGTGATTATGTGTATTAAAGTATTGTTTTTTTTGTACACCTTAATGGTCACAGTCAAAATTCTGAAAAACATTAAATTTAAATTCCTATGTTATTCTTATGGATTACATAGGATAATTATAACTGGGAATACCGTATTTTAGTGGAAATCCAACCAAGTAAATATAAATTTGCTTAGTCTGCAGGTGTGCTGCGTTTAGGGTATTTCCATATATTTTTCTAGTACTATATTGCACAAAAATGTTGCATTCATTCATTTATAAGAATTTCTTAGTACAAAATCTAAAATACAAAAATGCAGTGTCTAAAATATAATAAACCTAACCAATACTCACAGTAACTGTAGCCAGGTGAATTGCATGGTGTCTGCCAGGTCAATGATCCAGTTTATGAAGGTGCTAAACATCTTACACTCATGGTCTAATTAGTACCTCTAACTTATTGTTATTCTAGCCCTTTATAAACAAAATACATCAAAGATAACAGGTTTTCAAACTGAAATTACACCGATGATGCAATCGAATGATTACCAACAAAAGATTATACGCCTAAAATATTGATATGTGTAAATTGTGCACAAAGTTGTAGGTTTGTTGTCAGTTAGGACAATGCAAATCTTTGAAAGGAATACTATCAATATTATATTCTCTCTTTTAGTTTTTGATAGTACTATGATAGTTGGAGGGAAACCAGCTTGAAACTAGTTACTCTTCAGTTTAACAACATAAAGAAATTAATCTACAAGACTAAAGAAGAGTATTATTTGTCTGTCTGAAAGCAGATACTGCATCAAAGATTATGATAATAATTATTTTACAATTATAATAATTAAGTGATAATCCGAAACACCATTAGCTACCTTGTAGAGGCATGATTAAAAAAGAACTAATTGTTAAAAGTTTAACACCACTTAGTACATTCAATGGTTGGAGCTAAGTGGTTGGGCATACATCAGCGGGACTTGCTGCAAACGAACACCAATGAACAGGTACTGTATTGTAACCTTTTTTATATTTACATTGGAGATTTTGTTATGTAGGCTACTCTTAAATCTTTATATTTTTCTCACTTTTAAATCTTCTAAACATTCCCTACATTTATGTTAAATGGAATGGAATTTGGTTAGGTTAAATCCAAACATTGAACGAAATATGAAACGCTGCTCCAGCTGATCGTAGTCGTAATATCTTTAAGTGTTGCAAACTTATTTTCAAGCATTCACGGATTACGTGCACAATAAAAGCACGCTGTCGTTTTGTGTTGTTTGGTTGGAATACTGGTGTGCGCCAAAGTAAGGCTTTCTGTACCATAATCTGAGCAAGAAAGCCCACTTTGTCGGGTGATTGTAGCAAAAATTAATTTACCAAAATTACTTAATTATCTCATTAGTATTCACTTAAGTTAAATTAATTAATATTTCCTAAGAAAGTTACGACTATTTTCAAAAATAAAAATAAATAAACTGTATACAATATTGGATACAATTAAAGATTTCGATCCATTTGTACACTTGACAAAAAAAAAACATGGACTGCAATTATTTTTCTGCATTGAAATCATGTACAGTACAATTAAAGATCTTTACACTAATTGTCTGATTATTTATTTAAGGACTAAAACTAAAATAGCTCCTTTGTCTTGCAGGTTGACATTTATTGTTTCATCTTTGGTCCTGTTGGGGTCATGCAATGGGTCCGATAGAAACAAAAGACAGTTGATGTATCCACCTGAGAGTATAATGCAGGTGAGTAACAACATGTTTAATTCTTGACTTTTCATACAAAAACATCACGTGCAATTATTTATCTCAAAGAAATATGGCCACTGAGCCATTATTTCAACAACAAATACATTAAACTAGTGCATATGTTGCTCGAATTCGAGCAATTGTAAAGTATTACAGGCGACAGGCGTTCAAAACTAATAACAGTCGTGATTTCCGACTACTTAAAAGAGCCAACTCAAAGATGATGTAATCAATCAATCCACTCCAGTTATCAAAACTGAAAACAAACTCACTCTGAATACGAAAGCTATTGTGTGTATCATGTGTTTACTATGAACAGCTGTAATTAACACAAATAATTCGTCTGTTTACGTAAACAGAATCTTTACTTCATAAGAAATACATTGGGATTTTGATGGCCTGTGGGGCAAAGCCCGAGGACTTTTATTACAGGAATTTGTGAAAGGGGGTGTCTACACAAAAAATACTTAATTTTGACACATCGTTTGTAAAAATCCATCCATTATTAACGGAGGAGTAGTGTTTCGTAGAAATCGCCTTCACGTATTATATATAAGGATACTTTGCAGTTGTCTTTAAAGGCACTAAAGACAATCGACCAGCAGTTAATGCAAACTGTAAAAAAAGATGCAAAACTGTTTTTGGACCCAGATGACTTTTTCCATTGGGCTATCAGTTAATAATGCTATCTAAACAAGACTGACTTATAGCAACATGACCAAGGTTAGGACCATTTTCTCACAAAAAAACATTTAAAATGATGGTGGTGGGGAAAAAAATATTCCTATTCAGTAGTTCATGGATAAGCTGGCCACTTACCCACTGTTTAAACCTGTGTTCCAGAGTACCATAACATACTTAATAAATTAAATTGCTAGTCTCATTTTGATTTCTCAAGATGAACAATTTCTGTTTAAGTAGCTCGCCTTCGCGGTGATCACTCCAGGAGAAGTTAAAGGAAGGATGTTGACTACTAACCTAGGTATCATGTTCAACATAAACCTACCAACCAACATCAGCACCTGGTACCCTTGGCGCACTGACTACCGGAGAAGACGCTCCACTGATGACATCCATCTCACCTTCTACTCTCTGATCGAGAGCATGCTTAACTTGTAAGTTAACGCTAGTTGATAATAAACATTTTTAAAATGTACAATTCTTGTATGCAACAATTTGGATCACAAAGATAGCAATGTATAGGTCGGCCGCTTAGAAAGCGTCCTCCTCGTAGCATTGGTGCGAGAGAGAGATACCGAGCTGTGGGAGTGAGACAGATTATGGCTCTTCCCCCACTCCGCTGCCAACCCACCCCCAACCTTTTATAAATATTAACAGCAATTAAATTATACAGCTGATCAAAATGTAAACAATTACGTTCTTCATAACTTGAGAAAAATAGGTCCTGCACTCTGAAGAGGTCGTCATAAAGTCTATAAATACATCACAAGAAACAACACTTAAATACTTATTTACAAAAAAACGTGTGGCCACAAATTGACTGCGCGGCAGACGGTACGCGTACATTAAGTTGCAGTCTGGAGTAGCAACTTAATGTACGTGTACCGTCCGAATATAGATAACTGTATGGATTTCTTCATACAGTAAAACTCTAGTCATCCGGCTTGACAATCAGCTGATCACCTTGAGAAGAATAAAATGGATAAAATCAGTCATAAAAATAAGTTTATTTTGCAGTATGCAGTAAACCGTACATTTTAGAGTATGCCTACTGTGTCCATTATATGGTGAGTCTAATGAAGTGTTGTACTGATCAGTGATCAGTGGGCGCTATGAGTTGTCTCGCTAGTGCAAATTTCTATGCTTAAAGTCAGCATAAGTGTGGTTAACAATTACTATATTACATTGATAAATTTTTTCATAGAAATGGTTTGGACGGAAGAGCATGTCTCCAAAAAAGTTTTTGCCAGATGAAAGAATCTCCTATTGGTCACCATGATCTTCCTCACCAACTGCTCAATATTATTTTTGGGTATTTCTCCAATTATTATTCATTAGTGGCTTATATAATAAGTTTATAATACAGATAATAATTAAGTTCATAGGAAACAGTTCACTTTTTTTGTTGTGCCATTTGTTTACTGAATTTTACATGCAACGATGAACAAACTTTTTTGTGTTGAAGTATTTTTTTGTGATATTTCGAGTACGGTAAATAACTTAAACAGTTCAATTTTAACTGGTGTATGTATAAAAATGTTCATCAACTAAAGGGGTTTGAATTGTACTGGAAGTCGTTGTAGGATTGAAACCCTTTGATAGTTATAATTTTATTGTAACAAATCAACAATAGATACATTCTTTGAACATGAACTATATTAGAATACTTTACTTTAATGCTTGGAAGTTGAAACGATGAATGTATATGTTGAATTAAATAACTATTCGGCTAACTCAAGGCAATACAGTGCTTTTGCTGTAAGGTTGGAATGTTGTTTCGAATAGAATAGCGATTCTTTATTTTAATAAATATGAATCTTAAAATATTTGAATTTTTCTGTAAAGAAGCCCTTCACTAATTCAAGTCCAGGATTTTGTAATATTGGACCAAACAGCAAACTTACCGAGTCCATTTTTTTTATTTCAGTCATTCATTACCACACTGCCAATTGGTTCATAGATGCTGTAGAGAAAGTAACACAATATTTTCAAATTTCAATATCCATTATAATCAGTTAATTCTTGTTATTTTTAATTCTTTCATTGTAAAACTAAAAAATGTTTCTTTGAATTCACAGTCACAATCAAAATCAAAAGGATATAATTCTGGAAGCCAACCAAACAAACACCTGTGATGCTATGTACTCCAGTTGCAGTTATACTCCAGTTGACTTGTTTTTTGATTTGTATTCTTCAAGTTGGAGTAGAAACCATTAATAAAGATTTTATTGGATTGTTAAAGATTGTTTTGTCAATTATTCTCCCACAAACTATATAATTAATACGCTACATGAAACTTTGTCGGTTGAACTTGCCATTTCTTAACCGATTTTATCCATTGACGTCTCATTGGAAAGAGCGTGTCACGTAGATTTGCAAACTGACCTTACGTTTTTGAAAAAGTCCCTTGGGCTCTGCCCCAGTGGCTGTTAAAGTTCCCATGTTATCCTTATGAAGAACATGATTGTTTACATTTTGATCAGCTGTATAATTTAATTGCTGTTATTTATTTTTCAATTAAACGTCTTTTAAACTCATCGGAAATTATGATTACTTTTATTTGTTTTTAAATAACTACTTTACTTCTTTGCAATTGCTCGATTTCGAGTAACGTGTTTACTAGTCATAATTATTACTACTAATTGAGGTGGGAGCTCTCCTGGGCATATTTTAACCCAAAAATGAATTACGACGAGTAGGAACTATAAATCCCTCCATTATTGTCAGAGGCTACAGCAGTGCTCGCCTTTAAATCTGAAGATTGCCGGTTTGATCCCAACTTTGATTGATATTGGATCCGGATGCCATTCGTCATTTGTGTTATCAATTAATAATTCTATTTTATAAAAAGGCTGATGTTAAAAAAAGTAATAAGACCAGGAATTAAACTGTTCCCATACAAAAAAATAAAAAAATGCTAGTGCTTTCTTGCTTAAGAACACTAGGCACGATCCTGGGATTATTTTTGGCATTACTTCATGCTAGACCTAGGGGTTGCGGCATTTCACTTGGATAAAACCCATTGGTGATTTGAACCCGGGACCTCAGGGAACGTAGTTCCACGCTGAATCACTAAGTTGTCAATATAATCTGTGTTCAGCATTTTATGATTGGAGTGGACTATACTTGTAGTGATCTATGGCATCCATGAATTTTTTTAAAATAAAAGTTGATATTGAATTTTGATGTGTATCCACATGATCCATATTCTCTAGACATGTCATATGTTAATTAACTAAGTATTTTCTAAAATCTATAACTTATTTAATAAGCAAGCAGGTTTTTTGTAACAATTACTCCTCCGAAACTACTGAACCGATTTACATGTTCTTGGTGTCATTGGAAAGAGCGTAACGTGAAGTCGTGCAGGAAACTTTCTTTTTAGGGAAATAATTAGAGTGTGAGGCCCTGGGGCCCTTTAAAGTTTTGTATTTCTCCATAAGATTAACATGGGAAACAAATATTGTTATGAAACTCCAGCTGTTGTCAGAAATTAAAAGTGAGAAGAAGAACACATGTTAATTGTAAACACAGTCAATAAGTTTGCTAAGTTAACAGTTACTGTAGTTTGCTACAAACATTTACTTACTTGGTTGAAATGAAATAGTTACCATTTGAATTTGGGGTGGCGTAAATGTTGCAATGGAAAAAAACGGGAGAGCCTGGATAAATTGATATACTAAAAAGAAACCTGAATTAACACTGTGCTGCATTTCTTAGTAATCATTGAAAGAGCCGATTTGCAAACTATGGAAACATAAAAAAAGTCATAGCCTAGAACACCACCAAGGAGAAGAAATAGAAACAATGTGTTTTTTATTAATATTTATAATCGTTATTATGGACAACTTAATGCGGCTATGAGTAAGGCTATTTGTAGAAATCACTAAAAAAATCAGCTTTTGAAAAATGATAAGATATTTAAAAGAAATGTTTATTATATCGATCTGGTATGTACATCTTGAGTATTCCATAATCTTTGAGTCAAATCTTTTAAAGTCATAAAAAATTATTACTGTTATTCGTTTTAAAAGAACGCCAGTAATGCTTAGCAATTGCTAGATTTCAAGCAACAGGGACACTAGTTTGTATTTTATTTGTTAATTTGGAATGTTTTGTATGTGTTTTGACTAGGCTATGTCTATGCCTTTGTACAAAGAAAGGTCAATGGCAATAATAAATCTCTTGATTCTTGTACAACACTTTATGGTACTACATTTTTGTTTAGCTCTAGCCTACAAGACATTATTTGGTTTACCCCATAAAATCCTGCTTTCATAGTCTGAGCTGGTTTTTGTACTTGTTTGAGTGTTGTAGGTTATACCAAATTTTAATGAAATTCAATTATTTTCACTTTATCAACGGCCTCATATATGAATATGAATGGCTTCTAGGGACCTATAAACAAAAAAGTAAATCGGTTTCAGGCTTAAGTCTTACCATGAGACCTACGATAATAGCTCATTTCCTGTATGGGAAATTCACTAAAAAAGGTATTGGATAAAAACTCATTTTCCTTAATTATACAATTTACTTCAACAGACTGCCATCAAGCAAAATAAACAAAAACTCTGGAATACAGTTAGAAAATCCTTACAGTAGCCTAATCTATGATATACAGTATAACACTTTTAAAATATTCACAATCAACAAAAAAAATATAATTCCAAATCTGATCTGACAATATACATTAAACATGGTATCAAAAATATCGTGCACAAAAAAATTTCATCAAATTTTGACGCATAACTTTTAAAGCTTTTAAAATAATTAAATTTGTTTAAATATTCTTATTTTACTCAAAAGCATTTTTAAACTGACAAAAAAACTCAACACAGATATGCTAAAAAAAAATAATTAATCAAATTGCAAAACATGTTGGGGGTGAGGGTTTTTTTTTTAATAGTTCAGATAATTACCATTGCACAAATAAAATGTCTTTTAGTTCACATTACAAAAAAGAGGTCATTATTAATCTTAATTTAACAAAAAAACTTTCTTTTGGGTTCTCGCTTTTTTTAACTAGCTCCAAAAAGAAGTCTGAAAACATTTGTTCAGACATGATTAAATAAATTACAGATGAACATTGTTGCTTAAAAAATATGTATATATACATACACACCCTACACAATATTTTCATAAGAAACTAATAGTTGGCCATTACTATCAATCAAAACCAACACAATATTTATGATCATAGATATCCCAATTATTTACCTAAAAGGAATTTTTTACAAAACATGATTCAATAATTTGAAAGTGTATGAATTTACTAAAACAAAACTACACAAAATTATTCTATTGTTTGGTTGGTGCAAGGTATGTAAAGTTCAGAAAAAAATTATAAGTTATATACATAATTAACCTTATAACGAAATGCACCCTCCATGAATTAATACATTAGTACACATAGTTTTCTGTTACAATAAACAGTAAAAAAATAAAGTTACAAACTCTCATTAGTTTTGAATAGTAATTTTTGTAAATCTGGATCCTGCAATTTGGTATTTTCTATGACTCATTCAATAATAACACAAAACTAAAATAGGATAGGTCTTGGTACTCACATATTTTATCAATAAATTAAAGGACATACCCAAAAGGCCAAAAGTAATAACTTAAAAACTATAAATAATTATATCACTTGTGATTGTGATTATAAATAGCCAAGAATATAATTATTTGATTCATGGTATATACATTTCAGATGTGAATAAAGATGTATGATCAGTCCAAAATATAAAAATTAAATCTTTCAGAATAGATTGATATTCTTAAGTTTACTATACAATGATCTAATTATATATTTATAAATATATATTACACGACTATGCAGCTGTACACACTAATGAACTAAAACACATTATCTTTCCTCTAGCCTGATTCTCTTTGCATCATCTTGGTGATCGGAGGAACTCGTCACTGTCTCTTCTTCACCCAAACTCCTTTTTAAGGAATGTTGAGCTTCTTCAGCTACAGTTTCCTCACCCGCAAGATGCTGCTCATTACCGATGTGTTCAGGCAGAGGATCAGCTGGGTGAAAATCAACTAACCTACAACTCTCTATATCTGTGCTTTCAATTTGGACAGAGTTTGTCCAAATGTTTGCTTGTATGTATGTATGTATGCTTGCTTGCTTGCTTGCTTGCAAAAAAGATCTCGAAAACGGCTCCGACGATTTTCTTCAAATGTTGTAAATAGGTTATTTCTGGCCTAAAAACGAGTTTACTGCAGTTAGAACTGCCAACAAAAATCTAATTACGTAGAAAAATGAAACTGAAAATCACATTTTTTTAACATTAGTCTTATGGGTTGCTAGGTGACCATGTTGGCTGAATTAAATAACAAGGAAAAAGTAAACAAAAGACTTGAAGTTGTAGCATGTGTTCATAATAAGCCAACTACCCACAGTATACTAGCAAATTACAAATACAGTACAAAAGGAAAAACATCACTTGTTAATATTTAGCAAAGATTATACTGAAGATTACTCTATACTTTGTAGTCAAGGGTAGCAGTGCGAAGTCTGGGATCTGTTTATGACGATTAGATTAAGGTATCTGCAATCCTAAAATGCTATGGGAAGGAAGGAAAACAGGTCCGCGACGTAGGAAGTGGTGAAGGAAGTAGTCAAGGCGAGCTGTCCGGAGTGTGGGAACTGTTTATGACGATTAGATAAGGGTATGGGCAATCCTAAAATGCTATGGGAAGGGAGGGAAACAGGTCCGTGACGTAGGAAGTGGTGAAGGAAATAGTCAAGGCGAGCTGTCCGGAGTGTGGGAACTGTTTATGACGATTAGATAAGGGTATGGGCAATCCTAAAATGCTATGGGAAGGGAGGGAAACAGGTCCGTGACGTAGGAAGTGGTGAAGGAAATAGTCAAGGCGAGCTGTCCGGAGTGTGGGAACTGTTTATGACGATTAGATAAGGGTATGGGCAATCCTAAAATGCTATGGGAAGGGAGGGAAACAGGTCCGTGACGTAGGAAGTGGTGAAGGAAATAGTCAAGGCGAGCTGTCCGGAGTGTGGGAACTGTTTATGACGATTAGATTAAGGTATCTGCAATCCTAAAATGCTATGGGAAGGGAGGAAAACAGGTCCACGACGTAGGAAGTGGTGAAGGAAGTAGTCAAGGCGAGTAGTCCGGAGTGTGGGAACTGTTTATGACGATTAGATAAGGGTATGGGCAATCCTAAAATGCTATGGGAAGGGAGGGAAACAGGTCCGTGACGTAGGAAGTGGTGAAGGAAATAGTCAAGGCGAGCTGTCCGGAGTGTGGGAACTGTTTATGACGATTAGATAAGGGTATGGGCAATCCTAAAATGCTATGGGAAGGGAGGGAAACAGGTCCGTGACGTAGGAAGTGGTGAAGGAAATAGTCAAGGCGAGCTGTCCGGAGTGTGGGAACTGTTTATGACGATTAGATTAAGGTATCTGCAATCCTAAAATGCTATGGGAAGGGAGGAAAACAGGTCCACGACGTAGGAAGTGGTGAAGGAAGTAGTCAAGGCGAGTAGTCCGGAGTGTGGGAACTGTTTATGACGATTAGATTAAGGTATCTGCAATCCTAAAATGCTATGGGAAGGGAGGAAAACAGGTCCGCGACGTTGGAAGTGGTGAAGGAAGTAGTCAAGGCGAGCTGTCCGGAGTGTGGGAACTGTTTATGACGATTAGATAAGGTTATGGGCAATCCTAAAATGCTATGGGAAGGGAGGGAAACAGGTCCGTGACGTAGGAAGTGGTGAAGGAAATAGTCAAGGCGAGCTGTCCGGAGTGTGGGAACTGTTTATGACGATTAGATAAGGGTATGGGCAATCCTAAAATGCTATGGGAAGGGAGGGAAACAGGTCCGTGACGTAGGTAGTGGTGAAGGAAATAGTCAATGCGAGCTGTCCGGAGTGTGGGAACTGTTTATGACGATTAGATAAGGGTATGGGCAATCCTAAAATGCTATGGGAAGGGAGGGAAACAGGTCCGTGACGTAGGTAGTGGTGAAGGAAATAGTCAATGCGAGCTGTCCGGAGTGTGGGAACTGTTTATGACGATTAGATAAGGGTATGGGCAATCCTAAAATGCTATGGGAAGGGAGGGAAACAGGTCCGTGACGTAGGAAGTGGTGAAGGAAGTAGACAAGGTGAGCTGTCTGGAGCGTGGGAACTGTTTATGATGATTAGATTAAGGTATTTGTAATCCTAAAATGCTATGGAAAGGGAGGAAACAGGTCCGCGAGGTAGGAAGTGGTGAAGGAAGTAGTCAAGGCGAGTAGTCCGGAGTGTGGGAACTGTTTATGACGATTAGATTAAGGTATCTGCAATCCTAAAATGCTATGGGAAGGGAGGAAAACAGGTCCGCGACGTAGGAAGTGGTGAAGGAAGTAGTCAAGGCGAGCTGTCCGGAGTGTGGGAACTGTTTATGACGATTAGATAAGGGTATAGGCAATCCTAAAATGCTATGGGAAGGGAGGGAAACAGGTCCGTAACGTAGGAAGTGGTGATGGAAATAGTCAAGGCGAGCTGTCCGGAGTGTGGGAACTGTTTATGACGATTAGATTAAGGTGTCTGCAATTCTGAAATGCTATGGGAAGGGAGGAAACAGGTTCGCGATGTTGGAAGTGGTGAAGGAAGTAGGCAAGGCGAGCTGTCCGGAGTGTGGGAACTGTTAATAACGATTAGATTAAGGTATCTACAATCCTAAAGTGCTATGGAAATGGAGGGAAACAGGTCCATGACGTAGGAAATGGTGTAGGACGTAGTAAAGGCGAGCCGTGTGGAGTTTGGGAATGGATTTATGTATCTCCAATACTAAGACTGCTTTCAGAAAGAGCTAATGATTTTCCCCGAGCAAAGCTCGGTCTCCAGGTACTTTTTATAAACAAAACAGTAAAGGGTAAAGTTGCTGAGTGGGGTATAAATGCTTTGGAGAATTAGCTAATACCGGTAGGTATCATGGTATATACATTTTCCTACAGTTACCTAACAATGTACATGTCCTCTCACTGATTTGAGAAAGCAAAGTGGCCAATTCGCTCATCAGTGAGACAATGTTAACATTGTCTCACTCTAATTACTTTGTCTCACTCCAGATTTGCAACGTGAATGCACGAAATAGTGAGCGCGTAACATGCAGGCAACGTCGTATGCGCGCAAAATACGTTGGCAGCACTGGCTGTAAATCAGCTGGTCAGCTGTTGTACTGTTGTATTTGTCACTTCACGTTCATGTTATATTAAAAGTTCAGTTCTGTTTAAAAATAGGTTATGTTTCTTCACCAATTTATTTGTTTTATGGTAACTGTAGGAAAAGTATAATGTGCAACTCAAAGTACAATCAAAGTACTCGAGTTCAAAGTACAATTGCCTCACTCGAGAAACCATTCCTCACTCGCCTACGGCTCGTGAGTAAGGATTTCTCTTGAGTGAGTCAATTGCTCACTTTTCTCAATAGTTGCACAAATAACTAGTGTCCATTATTATTTGATAACTTGAGCAAAAATCATCTCGATTTTGATTAAATTCCTTAAAAACGTGTGAACTTGGATTTTTTTCTAACATGTTCATGAACCAGCATGAGGACTATGGGAACAGGGTTTTATGGGGGGTTTTACGTGGTTAAAATTTACCTTTCCCATTTTTGGGAAAAAGTTTTGCAAATCTTCCTAAACTATTATGTAGAGGTTAAAAAAACAAATCGGTGATTATGTGTTAAAGTATTGTTTTTGTTGTACACCTTAATGGTCACAGTCAAAATTCTGAAAAACGTTAAATTTAATTTCCTATGTTATTCTTTTGGATTACATAGAATAATTTTGTAATTGGGAATACCGTATTTTAGTGGAAATCCAACCAAGTAAATAGAAATTTGCTTAGTCTGCAGGTGTGTGCGTTTAGGGTATTTCCATATATATGTTTCTAGTACTATATTGCACAAAAATGTTGCATTCATTCATTTATAAGAATTTCTTAGTACAAAATCTAAAATACAAAAATGCAGTGTCTAAATTATAATAAAAAATAACCAATACTCACAGTAACTGTAGCCAGGTGAATTGCATGGTGTCTGCCAGGTCAATGATCTGGTTTAAGAAGGTGCTAAACATCTTACACTCATGGTCTAATTGTTATTCTTCTTTGCAGCCCTTTATAAACAAAAGATCAAAGAGAACAGGGGTTCAAACTGAAATTACACTGTTTATGCAATTAAATGATAAAAAAAGTTATATGCATAAAAAATATTGATATTTGTAAATTTTGCACAAAAGTTGTTGGTTTGTTGTTAGTTAGGACAATGCAAATCTTTGAAAGGATTACTATCAAAATTATATTCCCTCTTTTAGTTGTTGATAGTACTATGATAGTTGGAGGGAAACCAGCTTGCAACTCGTCACTCTTCAGTTTTACAACATAAAGAAATTAATCTACAAGACTAAGAAGAGTATTATTCGTCTGTTTGAAAGCAGATACTGCAACAAAGATTATGATAATAATTATTTTACTACTATAATAATTAAGTGACAATCCTAAACACCATTAGCTGCCTTGTCGAGGCATGATTAAAAAACACTAATTGTTCAAAGTTTAACACCACTTAGTACATTCAATGGTTGGAGCTAAGTGGTTGGGCATACATCAGCGGGACTTGCTGCAAACGAGCACCAATGAACAGGTATGGTAATTGTAGCCTTCTTTATATTTTCAATGATGTGTGCAAAGTATAGAGAATGTGTTGTTTTCATCAGCATTTTCGAGTTTGAGTTTTGGGTGGAAATATCCATTTTTCTTTGAATATATTTATTCTTTTGAATAATTTGGAAAATTAATTTAGCAAAATCACTAAATTATCTCATTAGTATTCAACTAGGTTAAATTAACTGGTATGTACTAAGAAACTTACAACTCCTTTCAATACGGTATATATATATCAACAAATAAACTGTATACAATTAAAGATTTCGATCCATTTGTACACTGCGTTGACAAAAAAAAAAAAACAAAAAACATGGACTGCAATTATTTTTCTGCATTGAAATCATGTACAGTACAATTAAAGATTTTTACAGTAATTGTCTGATTATTTATTTAAGGACTATAACTACAATAGCTCCTTTGTCTTGCAGGTTGACATTTATTGTTTCATCTTTGGCCCTGTTGGGGTCATGCAATGGGTCTGATAGAAACAAAAGACAGTTGATGTATCCACCTGAGAGTATAATGCAGGTGAGTTTAACAAGATGTTTAATCCTCATACAAAACCATCAAGTGCAATTAATTATCTCAAAGAACTATGGCCACTGAGCCATTATTTCAACAACAAATACATTAAATACTTCGCAGTTGTCTTTAAAGGCACTAAAGACAATCGACCAGCAGTTAATGTGAACTGTAAAAAAGATGCAACACTTTTTTTGGACCCAGATGCCTTTTTTCATTGGGCTTTCAGTTAATAATGCTATCTAAACAAGACTGACTTAGATAGCAACACGAACAAGGTTAGGACCATTTTCTCACAAAAAACATTTAAAATTAAGGTGGTGGGGAAAAAAATATTCCTATTCAGTAGTTCATGGATAAGCTGACCACTTACCCACTGTTTAAACCTGTGGTCCAGAGTACCATAACATACTTAATAAATTAAATTGCTAGTCTTATTTTGATTTCTCAAGATGAACAATTTCTGTTTAAGTAGCTCGCCTTTGCAGTAATCACTCCAGGAGAAGTTAAAGGAAGGATGTTGACTACTAACCTAGGTATCATGTTCAACATAAACCTACCAACCAACATCAGCACCTGGTACCCTTGGCGCACTGACTACCGGAGAAGACGCTCCACTGATGACATCCATCTCACCTTCTACTCTCTGATCGAGAGCATGCTTACCTTGTAAGTCGCTAGTTGATAATAGACATTTTAAAAAATGTACAATTCTTGTATGCGACAATTTGGATCACAAAGATAGGAATGTATATTGGTCGGCCGCTTAGAAAGCGTCCTCCTCATAGCATTGGTGCGAGAGAGAGATACCGAGCTGTGGGAGTGGGTCAGACTATGGCTCTTTCCCCACTCCGCTGCCACCCCACCCCCAACCTTTTATAAATATTAACAGCAATTAAATTATACAGCTGATCAAAATGTAAACAATTACGTTCTTCATAACTTGAGAAAAATAGGTCCTGCAAAAAATATTGTACATAGCCTAAATCGCATCAATATTTGAGAATTATGAAATGTTATTATATCATTGCCTAAGCAGTTCCATTTGGTATCACAGGACTCCAACTCCCACGACACCAGGGCGGCGCCGTGTCGGTGTCATGTCGTGCAGTGTGAAAACACTGAAAACGGCCATTTGGCGGAGAGGGGGAACATACTCTCCTCGCCATTACCTCCCCTACATGCGCTAAAAATTTTGCGCAGATTGTATTCTAAGCGGCCGAACTATAGTTCTTTACCTACTGAAGGAAAAAATAGTAATCTAAAGGTTAAAATACCTTTAATCCGTCAATGTGATCATGTCACCAATGAGCGGCAACCGGTTTCAGCCCAGCTGTGGGGCCATCTTCAGGCGATGAAAGAACATAAATATCACTTTGAAGAGGTTGTCATAAAGTCTATAAATACATCACGAGATGAAACAACACTTAAATACTTTATTTACAAAAACATGTGTGGCCACAAATTGACTGCGCGGCGGACGGTATGTGTATATTAAGTTGCAGTCTGGAATAGCAGCTTAATGTACGTCTACCGTCCGAATATAGATAACTGTATGGATTTCTTCATACAGTAAAACTCTAGTCATCCAGCTTGACAATCAGCTGATCACCTTGAGAAGAATAAAATAGATAAAATCAGTCATAAAAATAAGTTTATTTTGCAGTATGCAGTTAACCGTACATTTTAGAGTATGCCTACTGTGTCCATTATATGGTGAGTCTAATGAAGTGTTGTACTGATCAGTGGGTGCTATGAGATGTCTCTCAGTGCAAATTTGTATGCTTAAAGTCGTGGTTAACCAGTTACCATATTACATTGATAATTTTTTTCATAGAAATGGTTTGGATGGAAGAGCATGTCTCCAAAAAAGTTTTTGCCAGATGAAAGAATCTCCTATTGGTCACCACGATCTTCCTCACCAACTGCTCAATATTATATTTGGGTATTTATCCAATTATTTTTTATTAGTGGCTTACATAATAGGTTTATAATACAGATAATAATTAAGTTCACAGAAAACACTCTTTCTTTGCCCTTTACTGAATGAAACAAGTGAATAATCAGTTCAATTTTTTGTTGTATGTATTTAAATGTTCATCAACTAATGGGGTTTGTATTGTACTGAAAGTCGTTGTAGCATTAAAACCCTTTGATAGTCATAATTTTATTGTAAAAAATCAACAATAGTTACATACATTGAACATGAACTATATTAGAATACTTTTTTAATACTTGGAAGTTGAAACGATGAATATATGTTGAATTAAATAAATATTCGGCTAACTCAAGGCAATACAGTGCTTTTGCTTTAAGGTTGGAAAGTTGTTTTGAATAGAATAGCGATTCTTTATTTTAATAAATATGAATCTTAAATATTTGAATTTTTCTGTAAAGAAGTCCGAAATTTACTGAGTCCATTTTTTTTCAGTCATTCATTACGCCACTGCCAATTGGTTTATTTATGCTGTAGAGAAACTAACACATTATTTTCAAATTTCAATATTCAGTATAATCAGTTAATACTTGTTTTTTTTATTCTTTCATTGTAAAACTAAAAAATGTTTCTTTGAATTCACAGCCACAATCAAAATCAAAAGGATATAATTCTGGAAGCCAACCAAACAAACACCTGTGATGCTATGTACTCCAGTTGCAGTTATACTCCAGTTGACTTGTTTTTTGATTTGTATTCTTCAAGTTGGAGTAGAAACCATTAATAAAGATTTTATTGGATTGTTAAAGAGTATGTTTTGTCAATTATTCTCCCACAATCATATGTATTACTATTTGAGGTGGGAACTCTCCTGGGTATATTTTAACCAAAAAATGAATTACGATGAGTGGGATGGAGTAGGAACTATAAACCCCTCCATTATTATTAGAGGCTACAGCAGTGCTCGCCTTCAAATCTGAAGATTGCTGGCTTGATCCCAACTTTGATTGATACTGGATCTGGATGCCATTCGTCATTTGGGTTATGAATTAATAATTCTATTTTATAAAAGGCCGATGTTAAAAAAAGTAATAAGACCAGGAATTAAACTGTTCCCATACAAAAAAATAAAAAATGCTAGTGCTTTTTTGCTTAAGAACGCTAGGCACGATCCTGGGATTATTTTTGGCATTACTTCATGCTAGACCTAGGGGTTGCGGCATTATCACTTGGATAAAATCCATTGGTGATTTGGTGGGATTTGAACCCGGGACCTCAGGAAACGTAGTTCCACGCTCAATCACTAAGTTGTCAATATAATCTGTGTTCAGCATTTTATGATTGGAGTGGACTATACTTGTAGTGATCTATGGCATCCATGAATTTTTTTAAATAAAAGTTGATATTGAATTTTGATGTGTATCTACATGATCCATATTCTCTAGACATGTCATATGTTAATTAACTAAGTATTTTCTAAAATCTATATATATATATACTTATTTAATACGCAAGCAGGTTTTTTGTGACAGTTACTCCTCCGAAACTACTGAACCGATTTACATTTTCTTTGGTGTCATTGGAAAGAGCGTAACGTGAAGTTGTGCAGGAAACTTTCTTTTTAGGGAAATAATTAGAGTGTGAGGCCCTGGGGCCCTTTAAAGTTTTGTATTTCTCCATAAGATTAACATGGGAAACAAATATTGTTATGAAACTCCAGCTGTTGTCAGAAATTAAAAGTGAGAAGAAGAACACATGTTAATTAATTGTAAACACAGTCAATAAGTTTGCTAAGTTAACAGTTACTGTAGTTTGCTACAAACATTTACTTACTTGGTTGAAATGAAATAGTTACTATTTGAATTTGGGGTGGCGTAAATATTGCAATGGAAAAAAACGGGAGAGCCTGGATAAATTGATATACTAAAAAGAAACCTGAATTAACACTGTGCTGCATTTCTTAGTAATCATTGAAAGAGCCGATTTGCAAACTATGGAAACATAAAAAAAGTCAGCCTAGAACACCACCAAGGAGAAGAAATAGAAACAATGTGTTTTTTTTATATTTATAATCGTTATTATGGACAACTTAATGCGGCTATAAGTAAGGCTATTTGTAGAAATCATTGAAAAAATCAGCTTTTGAAAAATTATAAGATATTTAAAAGAAATGTTCATTATATCAATCTGGTATGTACATCTTGAGTATTCCATAATCTTTGAGTCGAATCTTTTAAAGTCATCAAAAATTATTCCTGTTATTCGTTTTAAAATAACGCCAGTAATACTTAGCAATTGCTCGATTTCGAGCAACAGGGACACTAGTTTGTATTTTATTTGTTAATTTGGAATGTTTTGTATGTGTTTTGACTATGCTATGTCTATGCCTTTGTACAAAGAAAGGTCAATGGGAATAATAAATCTCTTGATTCTTGTACAACACTTTATGGTAGTAAATTTTTGTTTAGCTCTAGCCTACAAGACATTATTTGGTTTACCCCATAAAATCCTAGCTTTCATAGTCTGAGCTGGTTTTTGTACTTGTTTGAGTGTTGTAGGTTATACCAAATTTTAATGAAATTCAATTAAAAGCACTGAAGAATTTACCATCAGTACATCAAACAAATATGGACTGCTGTATACGGAAAATGAAGTATCCAGGGATTTTGGTAATGAAACTCAGGGTATTACACCAACAAAAACAAAGCCTAACAAAAATAGTACTAAAGCTCACTTAACTAAAGAAATAAAATCCTCAAGAATGGAAGTAAAGGCAGAACTATATGCTGACAGTCAAGGAAGGGGACTCCCGGAAATTGTTGGCGCATGTAGCAAAGGGAAAGTGATGATTAGCGGAATAGTTAAGCCTGGTGGGACCATGCATCAAATTTACAATCTAGCATCCAAATCTCCAAATTCACCTCTCATACTCTTAGCTGGGACTAACAATTTATCAAAAAAGAAACCTCAGGAAATATACCAAAATATGGAAAGTGAACTTAAAGCACTAAGCAAGGCAAGGCCAGTTTGTATCACTACTGTCCCTCCTCGTTTTGATGTGAGTCCAAATGATCCGGTACACTGTGAGATTGCCTTGGTTAATAATTATATTAGGGAATTGGTTGTTGGAATTAACCAAGTACACTTGATTGATTTTGATAATTTCGAACGGAAACATTTTTCTAGGCATGGTATGCATCTGAACACTAAAGGGAAAATAAAGCTGGCCTTTTCAATAATTGAATTTTTAGACAGTCTGCAACCAAATTCCAATGAACTTCAAATAAAAGTTATTGAATCCCACATGAATCAGGTAATAAGACAAGCTGGAGGTGACAAGCAAACCGCTTTTGCTCACTGTATTTCACGTGACCTCTCGAGTGAGAGGTGTATGAGTGCTGGTGTCGCAAGAAGCTTCAAACATAACTTTGGGAAACCTCTGCTTTCGGACCGCATCAACTCACATTTAACATGTCAAAAATCATATAAGGGTGTTTTTGTTTATGGACTAGCTACTAAAAACAAGTTTTACGAGAAGCCATCAATATTTGACTACCAGCTTGCTTTTCAACAGTTGATACAGGATTTTAGAAAAAAAGGATTAAAAACATTATATTGTTCGCCAATGGGATGTGTCAGGGACTTGATTCCACCCTCCATTTTTATTGACAACATAAAAAAATTTCAAAGGTCTACCGGTGCTAGCGTAAATGTCATAGTTTATGAGGAAATGTCAACTAGAAAACTAAGAAATGGCCTTTCATATGTTGAATTTGTCAAGATGCTAAAACAATCCTTCGGTGTCCCAAGACAGTCTCATATTTCCAACATTCAAGAAACCTTCTCAAATGGTACCGAAGCTGTTTGTGTTGATGATTCTGGCAACAGGGGAGACCATTCCTCAAGAGATCTTTCCCAACATGACACCATGTCTTCTGAATCTCTTGTAAATTCTACTGATCTAACCAACATAGACACTGCAAACTTTACATCACCAACTACTGAGCTGCACCCTACTGTCTCCGGTCCTGCACTGCTGGAGTCTGCACTCAGTGATAAAGTGAGAGTGTCTCCGGGTGTTCTCACTTACAGTGAGACACTAAAGCAGAGTAATGGTGTGTGTGCGGGGGTTGCTGTGATCAGCCCAAGTGTAAATATTAAGGAAATCTGTAAATCTAAATGTCAAATTAATGTAGAAAATACCACTGTAAATAGTACTATGTTAGGTAAACAAATCGATGAAGTTTTTTTAGAAATAACAAAATAAATAACATATTACCGGTAGCTGCAATTATGGATGATTTTGATTTTACTGTAAATAATAATGCTAAAACAAATAACAATGAAAATCAAGAATACTTAAAAATTTTACAGGTTAATATCCAGTCTATTAGGAACAAAATGTTAGAATTAGAACACTTTTGTGCCATAGAGCAAGTGCATGTAATTTGTCTGTCTGAACATTGGTTAGAGGAGCGGGAAGTTGAATTCTTTGTTCCTAAAGATTTTATTGCTGCAGATATCATGTGTAGGAAAAGTATAAAAAATGGTGGGGTAGGAATATTTTTAAGAGAAGGGTTAACCTTCACCAAAATAGATGTTAGCTTATTTTGCATTGAGCTTCATTGTGAATTTAGCTGTATTAAAATAATTGATTATGATCTTATAGTTTTAAGTGTTTACAGATCCCCTAGTGGTGATATTGGTTTGTTTCTGGAAAATTTTGAGCTTGCTGTGAAAAAGCTGTTAAAGTCATTTAAATTTGTAGCCATTGCAGGTGATTTTAACATAGAAATGATAAAAATGGAAAAGAAGACATCTATTGAATTTGCCAATCTGTTACGAAGTCTAAATTTAGTTTGTACAAATAAAAAACCTACAAGAGGAAAATCATGCATAGATAATATAATTGTAAACTTTTCATCAGATTTATATAACATAAATACAGTAGGAGGTTGTTTTGCAGACCATGAACCTTTAATATTAGATTTTTTACAGAAAACTATAAAACAATGTAACAACTCAAAAGAAGGAACAAAACAAATAATACGAAGGCAAAATGAAAGTAATATTAAACACTTTGTTGATCAATTGGTACAAGAGAAATGGGAAATGATAATGGACTATAAAATGGGCAAAATAAATGAGCAATTACTATTTGATGAATTTTTTAAGAGATTAGTATCTTTGTGGCATTTTAGTTCCCCATTAGTTAAGTGCAAACAAAACAATAGACATAAGAAAGGAAAACTTAATTGGTATAATGAAAAGTTAAGGAAACTTAGGGAAAAAATGCTTCTTTGTTTTTCTGTTTATAAGAGCTTACTCAAACATAAATCAAATAATTTGGAAAATGCCTATAGAACCTATATTGATTGTAAAAAGGCCTACAATCGTGAAATAAAATTAGCCAAAAAGCAAGCTTTTGAAAGATATATTGATAAGGCCCCCAACAGGTGCAAGGCTGCTTGGGAAGTTATATCGCATGAATATTCTCCTACATCAACTAAGTCGGAGGTTTTGGATGCTGACAATCTCAATAACTATTTTATTGAATGTGTTAATGAGCTAGAAAATGAAATCCCTCTCACCAACACACCTGCGCATGAGTTGCTGGGGACTCCCCCTATAGGACAATTACATTTCCAATGGAGGGAGGTATCATGGCAAGAGGTTAACAATGTTGTAGCTAATTTCTCAAATTCAAAAGCTATGGATCATTACTGGTTTTCAAATTATAGCATCAAACAAATAATTCATTTTATAAGTGAGCCTCTGGCTTTTTGTATTAGTAAATGTTTGAAAATTGGTTATTTCTCTGACCTTCTCAAAATTTCTAAAATTATTCCAGTATATAAAAAAGGTGATAAAAATCTTCCTAGTAATTATCGCCCTATTTCAATAGTGCCAATCTTTTCCAAAATTTTTGAATGTCTCATGCATAAACAAATGAATGAATATTTTGAAAATAATAATTTATTGACAAATTCACAGTTTGGATTTCGAGAGGGTAAATCAACAACTGCAGCTGTCTTAGAAGTAATTAATAAATCTTTAAATGCATTTGAAAATAAAGAAACTGTTTCATTAACTTTATTTGATCTTACAAAAGCTTTTGACTCTGTACCTTTTGATATTTTATTCAAAAAACTTGAATTTTATGGTATTACAGGTGAAACTTTAAAAATTTTAAAATCCTATTTAACTAATAGAAAGCAGTATGTATCTGTTGGAGGCAGTCAGTCTAACTTAAGATTGGTTGAAGTAGGTGTTCCACAGGGCTCGGTTTTGGGACCCTTCTTGTTTTTAATCTCGATAAATGACCTGCCGAGGAATGTTGATGTAGACACTGTTGTATATGCTGATGACACAACTTTGATTGCAACAAATAGAGATATCCATGAGCTTGATTTAATTACTAATGAATCAATAACATCAGCACTAAATTGGTTTTCTTCAAATAAATTGACATGTAATCAAGAAAAAACACAGAAAATTCTTTTGAGTCTATCCCCACTTGACAATGAATTAAAATCTGTAAAATTATTAGGCTTCCAAATTGATTCAAAATTAAATTGGCAAGAGCACATAGAAATCACTTGTAAAAAAATTTCCAGAGTAAATTATCTAATTTGGAAACTCAGAGATTTTGTTAGTAATGAATACCTTTGGATTACTTATTTTGGTTTTTTTCAATCTCATATTTCTTACGGGATTATACTATGGGGACACTCCCCCCACACCCATGAAATTCTTTTATTACAAAAAAAAGTCATACGAACAATCTGTGGGGCTGGCCCTGTGGATAGCTGTCGACTTCTTTTTATAGACCTTAAAATTATGACCGTTGTAAATTTGTATATTTTTCACATACTCCTCTACACTAAAGCCAATCTTCATCAATTCACTTGTAGAGAGAGTATACACTCTTACAATACAAGAGGCAAATCCAATCTAGATATCCCTGCTCATAGATTGGCCAAAACAGATAACTGCCATAAAATAAATTGCATACGGTTTTTTAACAAATTAGGTCTGGCAGCAAAACAGGTTCCTTTTAATAGGTTTAAGTCTAAAATGTTTGAGTGGCTCATCCAAAATCCATATTACTGTATAACAGAGTACTTAGTTTCTGATGTTAATATTAATTTTTAATTTAGAACCCACTGTATTTTATAGCTTTAGTTTTTATTTCTATTGTTGACTATGTCTATTCCTTGTAAAAGGTCAATGACAATAAAGATCTTGATTCTTGATTCTTGATTCTTGATTCTTGATTATTTTTACTTTATCAACGGCCTCATATATGAATATGAATGGCTTCTAGGGACCTATAAACAAAAAAGTAAATCGGTTTCAGGCTTAAGTCTTACCACGAGACCTACGATAATAGCTCATTTCCTGTATGGGAAATTCACTAAAAAAGGTATTGGATAAAAACTCATTTTCCTTAATTATACAATTTACTTCAACAGACTGCCATCAAGCAAAATAAACAAAAACTCTGGAATACAGTTAGAAAATCCTTACAGTAGCCTAATCTATGATATACAGTATAACACTTTTAAAATATTCACAATCAACAAAAAAAATATAATTCCAAATCTGATCTGACAATATACATTAAACATGGTATCAAAAATATCGTGCACTAAGAAAATTTCATCAAATTTTGACGCAACTTTTAAAGCTTTTAAAATAATTAAATTTGTTTAAATATTCTTATTTTACTCAAAAACATTTTTAAACTGACAACAAAACTCAACACAGATATGCTAAAAAAAGTAATTAATCAAATTGCAAAACATTTTGGGGGTGAGGTTTTTTTTTTAAATAGTTCAGATAATTACCATTGCACAAATAAAATGTCTTTTAGTTCACATTACAAAAAAGAGGTCATTATTAATCTTAATTTAACAAAATAACTTTCTTTTGGGTTCTCGCTTTTTTAACTAGCTCCAAAAAAGAAGTCTGAAAACATTTGTTCAGACATGATTAAATAAATTACAGAAGAACATTGTTGCTTAAAAAATATGTATATATACATACACACCCTACACAATATTTTCATAAGAAACTAATAGTTGGCCATTACTATCACTTAAAACCAACACAATATTTATGATCATAGATATCCCAATTATTTACCTAAAAAGAATTTTTTACAAAACATGATTCAATAATTTGAAAGTGTTTGAATTTACTAAAACAAAACTACACAAAATTATTCTATTGTTTGGTTGGTGCAAGGTATGTAAAGTTCAGAACAAAATTATAAGTTATATACATAATTAACCTCATAACAAAATGCACCCTCCATGAATTAATACATTAGTACACATAGTTTTCTGTTACAATAAACAGTAAAAAAATAAAGTTACAAACTCTCATTAGTTTTGAATCAGTTATAGTAATTTTTGTGAATCTGGATCCTGCAATTTTGTATTTTCTATGACTCATTCCATAACACAAAACTAAAATAGGATAGGTCTTGGTACTCACATATTTTATCAATAAATTAAAGGACATACCCAAAAGGCCAAAAGTAATAACTTAAAAACTATAAATAATTATAACACTCGTGATTGTGATTATAAATAGCCAAGAATATAATTTGATTCATGGTATATACATTTCAGATGTGAATAAAGATGTATGATCAGTCCAAAATATAAAAATTAAATCTTTAAGAATAAATTGATATTCTTAAGTTTACTATACAATGATCTAATTATATATTTATAAATATATATTACACGACTATGCAACTGTACACACTAATGAACTAAAACACATTATCTTTCCTCTAGCCTGATTCTCTTTGCATCATCTTGGTGATCGGAGGAACTCGTCACTGTCTCTTCTTCACCCAAACTCCTTTTCAAGGAATGTTGAGCTTCTTCAGCTACAGTTTCCTCACCCGCGAGATGCTGCTCATTACTGATGTGTTCAGGCAAAGGATCAGCTGGGTGAAAATCAACTAACCTACAACTCTCTATATCTGTGCTTTCAATTTGGACAGAGTTTGCCAGATTTTCACTTTGAGTGGTTTCAACACTGTTTGTGAATGACTCACTTTTAAAAGTCTGAGGAGCTTCAAGAGCTTCCCTCAAAATGCCACTGCCTTGGGCTGTCTGTGCATCTTCTGAAGACATCTGGTTTGCTTCCTGAAGTACAGTAAAATGCATGCTCTGTGAAGCGTCTTCTTGCTGTTTCTCCCCCTGTGTGATCAGTTGGGATGTTAACAGATCACTAGTGACAACTTGGTATGTTTGTGGGAGGACGGACCCACTAGCCCCCGAAGTCATTGTCACCATACTGTCATCTAGTGTCAGTTGAAACGATGTCTGAGATCCAGAAGTCAAGGGAATTATATTATTTGACGAGTCTAACAAGAAAATCGGTTCACCTCGTGTCTGACTCGTCAGTGATTCTTCAGTCAACAAAGGCATTGAGGGATGAATACCTTTCTGTTTAGTGTTCAGTAGGTTTGATGAAATATAATTAGACGGCAACGCTGAGATCTGACCGAGACTCGGGGACACATTCGAAGGTACCTCGAGGGGAGTCATGATGGGTTGTGTGAGAGTAAGTGACGTCTCTTGCACAGAGTGTGATAAGGAGGGTGCAGGGTAGTGTGGCTGCTCCACAAATGAAGCAGAGGCGAGTGAACTTGAATCTACAGTAGAAACTAGAGCAGAGCTGACATCCACATCTGGCATTATGGTTTCCTGTTGAAACACTTGAGTATTTGCTAATGCTTTGGCCAGGATATCTTGAGCAGGTGCAGGAGTCTCTTGATTGAAAGATGTACTGGATGTAGGTGGTGCTATGTTGACAAGCTGAGTCATTCCTGCATCATCGATGGTTAGAAAAACATTACCGACATCCTGAGGCTGACTACTCGCAGGGATGTAAATAGTCTGTGGAGTGTCAGTAGAACCTCCTTCTAGGGTCAGAAGTGATTTACTATCTATCTGTCTGTAGTTTCCAGATTCATCGATTGTTAAATAAAGCATTCCATCTGAATTCTGTGGGATCTGTGCTTGGACAAGGGAAGGCTGAGTTATTACTGGCAAACTAGTTGAAGTGGAAAGAATCAAGGGTTCTGATTTTTTTGTGGCAGACTGAGCTTTAGAGCGACCACCTCCTTTAGGACCACCAGCTTTAGGACCACCAGCTTTGGGACCACCGCCTTTAGGAGCACGGGGAGTAGATTTTCGTGGAGGTTTTTGTAAAATGTTTGGACTTTGTCGGGATTTTGGCGCAGTTACTTTCTTGACAGTAGGAGCTGGTTGTACAGACATGGGTTGAATCTTTACTGGTTGCACAGGTAAAGAATGTTGTACTTTGACCATTGATGATGGTTGAACAGAAACAGGTTGTTGTACAATTTGTTGAATGGACACGTTTGACTGAGGCTGCTGAATAACAATAGGTGTCTTAACTGGTGATGCTGACATGCGAATCTTAGTTGGGGATGTAATAGATCCAGCTATTGATTTTGGAAGTGTCGCTGTAATAGTTTTTGTTGTAGTAGCTGCTGCAACGGTGTTTGAAGATATTGTTTTTGCCACTAAACCTTGACTTGTTTGAATGAAAATAGTATTTCCTGATGATTGCCCCCTCAACCCACTAATCAACTTAATTTGTTGACCTTTTGACTGTGTATCAACAGTAGTTGGTTTTTTTGGAGAACCTTGAACAACAAACCGAGTTCCACTTAAAGGAGCTTTAGAGGATACTATTCTCAACTTTGAGTTTCCTGAAATAATCTGCCCACCTTTACTAGCTATCGGTGTTAATATCATACCCTTACTTGAGGGTAAACTTTGAGAAGTTATTAGAGTAGTGGTCTTATTGCTTGAAGATACATTCTGAGATGAACTTGGAATAATAAGACCTCCTTTGGTGTTTAAAATGTTATGGGCAACAATAGTTTGTCCTTTACTTGTTGCTAAGTTTTTAAGTCCTGAAACTGTTGAAATTATTTTACCAGCGGAACTATTGTTAATAATTACACTTTTTGACACATTTGTTAAAACTCCACCTTTACTAATTACAAGTTTCTGAGTAGTTTTTGATGGAGGCCTTGATGTACTGGTTTTGTTGCTGTCATTGGAAGGTGGGGTTGTTGTAGCGACTACTTTACTAGTGAAAACTCTTGTACCCGGAGCCAGTTTACCTCCAGTTAACAATTGCTGTTGTTGTGGATTTAGTTTTATTTTGTTTTGTCCTGTCATTTGTGGATTATTTACAATCAATATTTTATTGCCATGCTGAATCAGATTTAAAGGTCCTTGAGTTTTTTGGATCGTTCCTTTATCTTGACTGTCTTTGCTACTTGCAGTCTTCAAGATCAACACTTGTTGATTGCCACCTTTTGGAAGAGATCCGAGATTTTTCAGTGCAGAAGCAGACAATTTAATTGTTTTAGAAGTAACTTTTGGGGATCTTCCACCTCGTCCTCCTCCTTTTCCACCTTTACCAGGAAGTGATACTACTGACTTAATATTTTGAGTGGATGAAGATGGTTCGCTGAAATGTACAACACTCTCAGGTTTAGATGAAGTAGCAACATTGACTTTGGGGCTAATTACAATACTTTCAGAATATTTAGGTTGAATAGGAATCAAATGTGGCTTTGGTTGTTCTGACTGGATAAAATCTTCTCCCCCAATAATAACAGGCATTGAATTAATATCAAGTTCCATGTCCTGAAGACTTTGGGACATAGTTTGGTTAACAGTACTTCCTTGATCTGGCATAAGGATAGTTTCTACTTGTTGCTGGTGATAATTGCTAGACCCAGTGTTAGAATCCTGATTAGAGGGCACTATTATCTGTACATTGGCACCTGAATGCGAAACAACATCTTGGGTTACAAGTTGTTCATTTGAACTAAATCCAGATATACAGTGTTCTTCTTTAATAAGAACTTTGGTTTCTTTGCTAGTTGGAATCTCCTTTTTAACGTCAGTATCCATCGTACTGATGTCAACCTTATTTTCATCATCTTGCACAACAGGATCAGAAATCACATTTTGTTCACTTTCAACACTAGCTGTTGGAGTTGATTCACTTTTCTGATTAACAGACATTTCATCAGGCCTTAGCTCTGAATCATATTTTTGGCAACCACTTACAGATTCATTGTCTGATATTTTAGATTCTGTCAAGATTTTTGAATTCAATTCAAACGAAGATGAGTCATCATTGACCAAGCTAGCATCATCATGAGACTTATTAGGTGTGTCAACATTTTCAGTTCTCGTGTGTGTATCATCATGAGAAGAATTTGCAGTGTTATCAGTCTTATTTTGGGTCGATTCGTCTAAGGAACAATTATTTACGTGTGGTTGATCTTTTCTATCAAGAAATCCCTTTGAACCTTCACAAGTCGATGTTATCTCTGTTGAAGTTGAATCTTCACCACTAGCTTTACCATCTGTTGGAGGAATGGGTTCTTCTGTTTGAGAATTTAAATTAAGACGAGTGGTTGAGGCGTCCCCAGAAGATAAAACTTCAGAATCCGTCTCGGCACTGGGGACTGCCGAGACTTCCATCATGTTTTTTTGGTTCTTACTGGTTTCCAGATCTTCAACAGAACTTATATCAACTTTATCTGATGTGTTTACTTCTTCGTTATCAGAACTAGTGCATTCCATCAGTGATTCACTATTGACCGAAACTGATTCTTTAGGTAAATAATCCAAAATCATTTTTGAGCCTGAATCTCCAGAAGTGTCTGTTATACGAACTAGATCGGTTGATGAACTAATGTCGCTTGTCTGGTCACTAAATGAAGAGTTCACACTAGCACTTGCATTGGGTATCTCTGGGAGAACAGGAACAGATGTTTCTTCAAGAAGAGCATTAAACGCTTCTGTCAAATCAGCTGTGTCTTTTTCCTCATCTTTCTTTTCACTAAAAAGAGGAGGTGGTGGAGTTGGGGGTGTCAATGATTTAGACTTTGGTTTGCTTAAAGGCTTTGGAGGCCTAGGCTTTTTAAATTTATCATCCGTAAACTTTTCTTGCTTATTCTTAAGTCTGAAATTTATGTTCACAGGCAAACAATCCTCTGAATCATCAAACTCAAACACTTTAGTTTTAACATCATCACTTATAGTTTTACTACTAGAACTATCATTTCTAGTTGAGGTTTTACTTTTACCAGATGTTTTTTCTTGGTCAACTGTCTTTTTTATCTTAGCAGGACTATCAATCTCGTCATCTTCAAGACTTGAAGTTGTTGTTGATTCCAGAGCTTGTTTCAGCCTTTCCAGTTCTACTTCTTCTTCATTCACATCATCATCATCCCAATCTTTTAATAGTGTTTCTTTCATGGCCTCATTTTCTTGTTTTATTTTTGCTGCAATTTCGGCCTTCTCCTTAGCTGATTTGCGCTTTCCAAACAATGGTCTTTTAACAGCAGTTTTTTCAGAAACGACCTTTTGCTTTTTAGGAGATTTTTCAACTAGGATTTCAGTTGGAGACTCTGTCGTCTCTTCTTTGACTGGTTTACCGTATGTCCTTTCTTTTAACATTTTTGGAGGTGGTTCGTCAGTGTAGTCCATTAACTTCTTAGGCAGACTTTTTACCCTGCCCCGGCTTGTAACACTTGTTGGAGTTTGTTCACCAAGAGATATAGGACCCACAGAAACTCTCTCTCTTTCTTTCCCTTTTAACTTGGCTTTAATGGAATTTTGAGCTTCAATAAAGCCGGCACTGTGGGACTTATTGTGTAAAACTATGACATTCAATCGGGCTGATTGAAAATCGCATAAATGACACTTGTATTTCTTTTTATCAGCATTCATGTCAACATCCTCTTCATCGTCTCTTGGTAAAGAGATTTGACATCTTATCCGGACTTCATGATCTGACTTCCCTTCCAAAGCTTTAGTGATAAACCGCGGATGAGTGATTGGTCTAGGTATAGTGGCTGGTAAGTTAGAAAAACTTTTACGATTGTTCCTGACAGGGGATTCACTATGACGCCTGAACTCTTTTTTAAGGGCTTCAGCTTTACCTTTTTTCCCCGATGACTTTTTAGCAGAACCAAATAAGTCGCTGTAGTTAGTCTTTTCTTCGGGAGCAAAAGCTTCACTCTCTAGGATGTTTGGATCTCCTCCAGTGATGTGTTCGGCCATCACTATGTCGTTGGGAAACATGCTCATGTTCGATGGCACTTCTCGGGTGTTTGATGATCTCACCATGTCTGAAACAGAACAGATGTTCAGGAAAGTGCAACTGTACAACTGGTTTACGTAGATTTTTCCTGACGTTTAAATATGTAAAACGTATGTAACAATTTTGTGGATGGTTTTGAAAACACTATGATTTTATTTTGAGACCAAAGAGGTTGTCTACATTTTGCATTCTCTGTTCTGTTTTAACTGACAAATAAGAGCATAGTTATTTCACATATTCCTCCTGTGGGTAACTATGAACAAATTATGTTAATTATTTGCACAGTTATACATGGCGTAGAATAGCCTATAACTTACTACTTATATTTTCTACTTAATATCATCTAGAAAATTTACCAAAACATAATTAAAGATTAACTGATTTTAAAATGGTTTAAATGAATTAATAGTTACTAGAGGTCGAAAACTCGAACAAAATATGTAATGTACAGATGCCCTATCTTCTTCCCACACTTGTAAATAAACCATGCAATTTGAAGTTCTTCCATTTGTTTTGATTTTCTGTTTATATTTTGTTGTTATTTTGTCACCAGCACTGATAACCCATTATATCCATCTGAATTTTTTTTTTAATTTCAAATTATTATATTAGCTTATTTTTAGTCTACCGTATTTTAATTTATAAAGGGAATGCACATCCACAGGAAAATATCTTTCTAACAGTATGTGTAGATTTTCCCTGTGATGAACATGAGCTGAGTAAAAAGGTTTTAAAGAAACATGCTTGGCTATATAGAGGTATATAAATAGTTCTTTGAAGCATAATCTTAACAAAACCAGACTAAGTTAATCTGAAAAGAAGCTACAATAATACGTTAACTACTAAGCCTGTTTATAATAATATAGTTACCTAGACCCTTCTTAATAAATTCTTCTTTCCTCCGACAATTGTAGTGGTAGATCTGGTTTAAATTCTTCACATACTCGCTGCAAAACAAAATATTATTTAATTTTTACAATCTATACTTCTATACTATTATATAAAAATCAAAAAACTACAGAACTGTCTGGGCTTAAAATTAAAAAAATATATAGCTTCTAAGGACTATTGCCTAGTTTATGACTATAACAGCTTTGGTACTGACCGATGGCTTGACAAATAAAATAATATTTGCATGAACATTGATATAGGAATGAATAAGATTCTATTCAATTTTATCTTTTTAGTGAGCAAGTTGTGACCAGTGCATGAACCGTCAATGAGAAAAATTAACTTATTAATGTTTAGTTGAGCAATGTATACGCAAACCTGTTTCCCAATGGTGTGTTCCCAATATATATATTTTTTTTTTTTAAGAGGTTGGCGGCCTCTTTCAACCTTGCATTTGCCCGTCCACATAGACTAAGCGCCCGTGCGTGGATCGTACAGCAAAGCAAGGAGTGAGCCGGTACAGTACAAAGGTGAACTGTGCTGATAAATTTTAGTGGCAGTGACCAGGATCCAAACCCACGACATCGCTGCCTTGGGCCCGAAGCCCGTGACGCTACCGACTGAGCCACCGACTCACATTCAATGAGTAGAAAAATGACGGTGCCTTATTATTCAAGAAAGAAGGAAATTTGTTCAAGATGCAAAAGTGCTAATAAGAAGAATGACATACCGTAAGTTAAGAACAAAGTGGGACTGCTTCATCAGAAAATACTTGAGAATTAGAAATATTTAACAAAGAGATTAAGAATTCTGGATGCACAAGTTTTAATCACTTCAATCATGATTGTTGTAGGCTACTGGTACTCAGAAATTAAAATTCTAGGACTATATCTCATCCATTATTTCAAACCTGAAATTGTGGTGTTATTGGAATGTAGAAACATAAAAGTCTCTGTAATACAAACCATCTGTATATGAAAAAGGGTAACTAATAGAGTAGGCTAGTGGCAACCCCCAAAGCAACTACTACCAAGGGTGACAGTGCGACATTGTCGCAAAAAGACGAGGAGGCCTGCAAAAGCTTAACCTGCCCATGTGGTTGTTTTTTATACATTTTTATGTTTTTATTTGAACGATTATTAATATTTACAAGCAAAGATAGGGCTACATGGCCCTTTCTTACATTTAACCTGTATAAGTTTCTGCAGAAAATGCTACACAACAAGTTGGAAAATTATTTTTTTTTTTTTGTAGAAAATATTTCTTAAGGAAGTTGACAACTTTATTTTCTGCTGAAAAATTTCCCTTTCTACAAACAGTTACGCTACAGAACGCCATGCATTACATAAACAAAAGCTGCGATGTCAATATTTGGTGTATCAATAGTGAGGAAGAACAGATACTGTCTAGGTAGAATAACCGAATGACCAAAGTGATTCAATGTAATAACAGTAGGCGTTTTTGAACCGATACGAGCTTTTGAAAACTTATAGTAGCCTAGTTACAAATTTTTATCATAACTATCACACACACGGTTTATTTACACGCAACTTGGATCGTGTAAGGCCGCAGAAAATTTTAGGATTGTTCCAAGTCCATTACAGAAAGTTTAAAAACATTCTGCTTTGGGGGTGGCAACCCTTCCAAATATCTCGGTCCCACACAAAATTCACTAACAATTCACAGACCAGGTCATACATAACCACCAGTTGGAGGGTTTTGCTGGACATCCTCAGATGTAGTCTACTAATTTACAAGAGAAAAGAGACGTTACTCACTAAGAGTCTTCTTGAAAGAACTTGACGACAGCTATCGGCCGCTTGCGCAGGTCGTGTGTAATCTCCTCTGGTAGCTTGTCGTAGTCCTGGACCTGACTGGGCCACCATAAGGATCCCAGCTTGACCCACACCACATCTCCGGGTGAATACGTCACTTCAGTCTGGTCACACATCCTAGAGGCTCAGCATGCCTGCAACAAATATAACAACTCAATGCGAGATGGTACCAGAAAATAAAAAGTAGAAACAAAGGAAACATAGCTTACTTGTAATGCCTGATTACTCCTAAATTTCTATATTCAATTAAAATCTAGGCTATATATTTTAGCCCCTGAGGAGCTGATCCAGTGTTAGTCATCAATAAAGTTGCCTTTTTCAATCAGCTCCTGCAGCATAATCAGGCATTCCACTGTAAGACGTTGTTTACACACCAAGACATAAATGTCAAACGCACTATACACATAGCCTACTTAAAAATACTACTCCGCTGTCTATAATGTCACTGCTCTATTTTTTATATGGTTCACGTTTTGTCATGGCTATGGCTCTGCTGGAAACCTGCAACACTTTGTCGGCATTGGTCATGGGAATTAACTTTCTCAGTTTTCCCAATTTTAACTAGGGTACTGGTTTTCCAACTTAAATTCAGTGTAATTTTGAAGACTTTACCTAGTTAGAAAAGCAAGTTACTGGGGTAAGGAATACACTGGCAGCACTACAGCCAATTCATCATTATTAGTCTAATTATTAGGTGTATTTGTTTTTGTCTATCGTTGAAAACTCCTAACCCGAGGCCAAATTTCTGTGAAAATTTTAGTTAGGACTTAAGCTCTTGTAATTTGTTTGTTTGTACCTTAATTTTGTGTTACTGGGGCTTTCTGGCCTTGGAAAATACTTTTGTGAAGAGGGTAACAAAATCCCCCAGAGCTCCCTTTAGAAAGACTTGGGGTTTGCTTTTAGGATAGGGCTGTTTTTCACCTAGGCCATTTTCTCGTAAGTGTACTATTAGGCTTATTAGCCTAATTATTTGTCTTAAGTTTGAGGTGGCTTCATTTTAGTCACCCAATTAGGCTAAGACAGTTTGGTGCTGTCAAGATTATTTTACACGATGAGTATTTTGTGTTTGATTTTCTGGAAACAGGATGTCTAGCCCAAACTCATACACCCAAAAGGTTCCCTTAATGCTTAGGATAGCTGTTTGATGTTTAAATCCTGTATTTGGGTATTCATAAAGTTTTCCAGGTCCAATAAGATTATTTCAATTTTTGTAGAAATTGAATTGAATTGAAAAATTCTTTATTGTTCTTTTCAAAATACAATAGGTACAATACAATATCTCTTTATAAACTAAGGTTGTACATAAGTTATTGTAGCCTATTTATTCTAATATAAACGACAACAAAAAACAAATACTCTTCACAACATTGAGCAATAAAGCCCTGAGGTTACAGAACCTGTGCGGGAAATAACAATTTTTAGTAGGTAATTGAAGCAACTTGTGGCTGGGAAGTCCAGCCCGTCTCCATTACCACTGTATTTTTATTACAAAATTAAAAACAATTTGCAAAACTAGGCACAAACAATAGCTTTAACACAGCAACCTATCACAACAAAACCTTATCTACCTATCCATTTGAAAACTAACCCTATAGGCCTACTGTACAACTGAACAATAAAGCCCTGAGGTTACAGAACCTGTGCAGGAAATAAAAATTGTTAGTAATTGAAGCAACTTGTGGTTGGGAAGTCCAGCCCGTCTCCATTACCACTGTATTTTTATTACAAAATTAAAAACAATTTACAAAACTAGGCACAAACAATAGCTTTAACACAGCAACCTATCACAACAAAACCTTATCTACCTATCCATTTGATCCATTTGAAAACTAACCCTATAGGCCTACTGTAATTCGTCGCAATTAGCCTACAGTACTATTTTGGAGTGTCCTGAACTTACAGCTTATTTGAACTAAACGAGCATCCCTGACTTAATAAGTGCAAGATTAATAAAAATAACTATGCTATGTTGTTAGACAAATGAGGTAAAAAATGTGTTTATACTATCTATTTCAAGCAAGTAGTTTCATGTTAATTTACTAAATACATTTACATTTTCACTTGGTTTGATGAGCTCGGGAAGGAGGTTGTAAAATGTGGGAGCCAAATGTAATTTGAAGAATTTGTTAAACATTGTTAGTCTAGGTTTAGGTAGGTACATTTAAACGTTGTTTTTACTTCTTAGTCTAGTATGTCTTGGATTTGTTCTATCAGTAACCACATCTATTGAAATATATTTTCAGAACTTTGTAAACATTTAGATATTCCTGATAGGTAAGATTTCAATAGCCTAATTTTGAAAAGTGGAGATGAAGGTTCAGTTTTGGTTTTATTTAACATTACTCTAATGAAAGATTTTGTAAAGTAATGATTGGTTTTATGCTAGTAAAATATGTCCCACCCCATATTTCTATTCCATATAGTAATCTATTTTAGAGTTAATAAATGCAAGATAAATATGTTCTCATCAGTTGAGTAGCAAACGGACCTAAGGACAAGGCAGGACAAAAGTGGCAATGCTACGGACCTAGCAGACTGAAACGGTTGCACTTATAACTTATAATGCAGCGTATGTGCATTGTTTATGTTTACAAGTTTTATATTCCTGTATATATATAAGTTATAGCTGTTTATATAAGTTATAGGCATGCCGTTGTGACATTGCCACAGCAATTAGAGGACGGAATTAGAGTTGGAATTAGATCGTAGCCTTGTATTAGAAGAGGCTTTGGTGTCATGCATCATGACCCGCAACATAACACAATAAACTAAAAACTTGCACGTAGCTGAAAACCCTGAAAATCATATGAAAACAAAACAACAGAGACAAGACGGTTCTTTAAAGGTTTCAGAAGGCGAACTGGCTGTTAAGCATCTGCCAACAGAATTCCAGTTAGCAAACCGTTTCACCAAACCACAGCACAGACCACAACTTAAGACAAAAAGTGTGTGAAGTAATGGCATTGAAATAAATGAAAAGAAAAATTATAGGCTAAATTATTTAAACATGAGGAAAAGTGTTGAGATTAATAGCCTAGTAGGCAAGTTATCTCTGGTCATGATTCTATCATTCATGTTTCTAACAGTCTGTTTTAAATATTAGGTCTAATTATTGTTTATCAACAGATGATGGCTGCAGTTCCGTGAGGGCTTACGATATATTATCAGATGATTCCGTAGGTTAATCCGAAAAGGCTCTGGTCCCAAACATTTTGGACTATTGGGACTGTAAACTTAACCCTCCAAGTGTCTCTAGTTTTGGTCTTAATGTTCACCCATTTATTGCGCAATCGCAGGGATTTATTAAAATAAAATGTATCTTAGAAACTTAAAAACAATGTAAAGTATACTGTTTAATATAGGTATCATTTTGTTTGGAAAATTATGGGCTTCAATGTAACATATAAAACATTACAAAAAAAAATTCAAAAATTTTTGTGGGGTTAACATTTCTCAAAAATTATAAAATAAATTAAAAAAAAAAATGTATGTTTGCGCTCAATATAATTTATAGGTCTACAAATTTTTTTAAATAGCCACTTTGTTCAGAATATTATGAGGATTCCAAAAATATAATAATATAAGGAAGTAGGTAAGCAAATAAATAAGTTATGGGCAAAAAACTTATTTTGGTACATAGCGTTTAGCTAAGATTGCATATCCTAACCATAGCTAGGAATCTAGCTGATAATTTACATCAATATCACTAGGCCTACCTACTTCTTCAGGATCATCAACCAGCCCTTCAAAATCACTTAAATCTTCTTATAATGCACCACGTATATCACTACTTTTGATTTTTAACACTAAAACAATGATGAACGTAATAAAACACATCAGTCATCGGTGCGAGGTTAACCAAGCTGTTAACAAATACGCACGTCCGCTGTCTGCTACAATATTTTCGTAACTAAAATGTAAAGCGTATAGAAACAGACATCAGGAGAAAGCTCTGAATCTCCTGAAAAAAAAAAACGATTACCTAACTCGATCCAGTTCAACCCGATTCAGTCAGTCCCAGAGCCGTCGCCGTAAACAGTGTTTGTGAGTCGCAAAAGCGACACATGACACTCGGAGGGTTAAGTAAGTTATCGTTAACTTATTCATCCGATGTTTAAACTTAAGTTCAGTAGGACCTATAAATTAAGTTCAGAATCTGTATCTTAGCCACAGATGATTTGAAAACAATAACTTAGCCTAGGCTATGTTAAGTTAGTTTTGAAGTTTAATTTGGATAAACAGCATCGCTCAGGTCTTTGTTTATACTTAGACTACCTAATTAAATGTGCTTACTTAGGCAGATATTTAGTTTTCTATTTAAGTTAGCCTACTGTAAGTTAGTAGCCTAACATTTCCCTCCGAGTGTTATTTGTCGATGCATCGACACATAACACACTTTGTGTAGTGTTTTGTGTCGATGCATCGACTCACAAACACTGTTTACGGCGAAGGCTCTATGACTGACAAAATCGGATTGAACTGGATCGAGTTAGGTATCGTTTTATTTGACAGATTCAGAGCTTTCTCCGGAGGTCTGTCTCTAAGCGCTTTTCATTTTAGTTCCGAAAATATTGTAGCAGACAGCTGACATGCGTATTTGTTAACAGCTTGGTTAACCTCGGACCGATGACTGATGTGTTTTATTACGTTTATCATTGTTTTAGTGTTAAAAATCAAAAGTAGTGTTATACGTGGTTCATTATAAGAAGATTTAAGTGATTTTGAGGGGCTGGTTGATGATCCTGAAGAAGTAGGTAGGCTAGTGATATTGATGTAAATTATCAGCCAGGTTCCTAGCTATGGTTAGGCTATGCATTCTTAGCTAAACGCTATGTACTGAAATCTGTTTTTTGCCCATAACTTATTTATTTGCAAATCTACTTCCTTATATTAGTATATATTTGTAATCCTCATACAATTTAGAACAAAGTGGCTATTTTCAAATATTTATAGGCCTATAATTTATACAATTTCATTAACCCTAGCAGTGGCCAATGTTAGAAGTGGGGAATGGCCAACCCATTTTGGCGATTTTGCAGACCATTTTTTGAAAATTCGTAAAAATTCAACCGTACAAGTAAACCTAGCCAACCTCATATTCATTTTGTTCGGAAAGAACAGGAGAATCTAGAAATAGTAATATCATAATGATTTAGACAGTGTATTTTATCGGTTAAGTGAAAAAAATAAAAAAATTTGAATTTTTTTTTTTGAAATTTCAAAAGCGGCCTCTGCATTTTTTTTCTACAGATTTTTTTATGGGAAATTCATTATATACATTTTGTAGACAATCTAATTCCCTACATAGAAATATATAACATGTAAGGAAAATATTTTTTTTTATAAGTTTTTGGGGCGAAATATAATGACAAACGGAGAACCGAAAAAATTGAAAACCGTACAGTGTTAGTTTATGTTGTAAAAAGTTCTATAATATATGTGTATACTAATAATGATATATACATGTTTGTAAAGCTAATGAAGTAAGGAATCAAAAAAAGTCATAAAGTTTATGGTAAAAATAATTTTTTACCTATAAACATACGTATATAAAATAATGTTTTTATATTTTAGCGATTTCTCGAGAAAAAAAATTCACAGTAGGCCTACTTAGTATACAACTTTTGTACCAAATTTTTTTACTTCAAACCAACATAATAATCTTGTAGTGTATTCAATTACCTACATAAAAATGTATAACATGTTAGAAATATTTTTTTTGTAGGTACGTAATAGGGACATAATAATACAATAACCGCAAAACCGCAAATAAGTGTAAACTATAGCCTACAGTGTTTGCTTGTGTTGTGAAACATTATGTAGGCTGATGATATGTAGCCTACATATTTGTAAAGCCAATGAAGTAAGGAATCCAAAAAAGTCATAGGCCTAAGTATGATGGTAAAAAGTTATTTTCACCTATGATTATGTATCAATTTGAGAACGTTTTGAATTTTTTGCGCATTTCGAGAAAATGGAGTATACAGTATTTAGTAGCCTATATAATTTTTTACCAAATTTTTTACACTCAAACCAATATAAACATGTTGTAGTGTATTCATTTACCTTTATAAAAATGTATAACACCTTGGGTAAATCATTATAAGCACCTCTGAATGTCAGAATTTTCATTTTTGGACATGATGCTAACAAAATACAGTAGTAGGCCTATTTAGTATAGGCTATAACTTTTTTACAAAATTTTTTACCCCCAAACCATTATAAACATGTTGTAGTGTAGGCCTATTCATTTACCTTTATAAAAATGTATAACACCTTGGGTATATCATTATATAGGTACAACAATCTCTGAATGTCAGAATCGTCATTTTAGGACATGATGCTAACAAAATACAACCTTTTATGAACACTATTCCACACAATTCAGTAATATTTATGCATGAAGATAACTATACACACACACAACACTTCACTTACACTAACACTACGAAATAATAACATATTTCGTAATAAATCGCGGATAAAACTATTGCAAAAACACAAACAAACAATGGCAATACAAGACAGCTGATAGACTGTAGCAGTAATGACTCACTTCCGTCGTCTACATGCGAGCATACAGAAATGAAATAACCCTGAGTGCAGGGCTGCCACTCTCTGAATCTAAATTTCTTCCTCTTCAAAATGATATACTATATGACTAGTAATAATAACTTTCACTGTATATAATTCGTATTTTCCATACTGTCACCAGACGACTGTTTGCCATTTGTTAGAAATTTCGAAAACAGCTGTTTTCATAAAATTGTACCGATTGTGCAATCAATATTTAGTTATAAATATCACTGCCACAATGAAGATAAAATCAATGGCTATCCAGTGGTATCACCCGCAACATCCCAAGACGAAAATTACGCGAGCAGGGTAATGCCAAACAAGACGTGTTTCGCCAGTTCCCAAGTGTCGGCTGCAAAAGTCGTACCGCGCCAAAATTTCATTTGATTTCTAATCGTCGTGACATTGTTATATACCTGCTACAGGGTTTGTTTATGTAATCAAATGAAAGTTCAGGATGTGATCTTTCGAATGGTATATATATTATTCTAATCTGAGTTGATTGTAAGTGTTTTTTTTACCGTTAAAAAAATTTCGGCCCATACCGTAACCAGACGACTTTGGCCATTCTAAGCATCAACGTCATACCGTAACCAGACGACGGTTGGCCACTGCTAGGGTTAAGCGCAAACTTATTGTTTTTTTTTGAAAATTTTTCAAAATATTTTTTTTTACCTAAAAAATTTTTTTGAAACTAATGTTCCTTGTGTTTTATGTACTGTATAATATTGAAGCCCATGATTTTCCAAACAAAATGGTATATAAAACAGTATAATTAACATTGTTTTCAAGCTTCTCAGATCCGTTTTAATAAAACCTTGCAAATGCTGAGCAAAAAATAGGCAGACATTAAGGCCAAAACAAGGGACACTCGGAGGGTTAAATAATTTATTCTCCGGACATTCAACACAAACTAGGCCTAGGCTATCGCTATCCTAAATTTTAGAACTAAGTTACCTAAGTCTAGACATAGGCCTAGCTGCCTAAACTTTCGGTCTAGCCTATTCCTGACAGGAAGAAGCTACCTATGATGTTTTCTGGGGGGGGGGGGTTTAATTAACCTATACCTACAGTTATTTTGAAATTCGTCCCTTGGCCTAGGCCTAGCTCACGATAACATAGCTGCTAGCTGGTTTTTTTTTTAAGTAAAATTGCTATGGTCGAGTAAAAATGTCGCCTATTAACTTAGCCTAGGCCTATTGTTATTGTTAGTTTCGACAAGACCTAAAAGTTAATTTTAGGTCGACTTATTAACTTTTAACCTGACAAGAAAAGAAAGTAGGTAGGCTAAATTAAGTTTAAGTAGCCTAGGCCTACCTACCTAATTAAAATATCCTCTTAGGGCTATTTTTCTCCATTAGTGGATAGGCCAAAAACAACAGACTATTGCAAACTGAAATCGGGGTTAAGAAAATAAACAAGTTATACATGAAAGACAAAAATACAATCATCACCTCATAAATTAACAGAATGACAAAGGCAAACGCACAAGCAAAATCCATTTTGTAGCCTGTCCCCAAATAGTTCTCTACGACATTGATTTCACTATCCACTGTAAAGATTAATTTACGATTTACGCACCTTACAAATCTGAGGAATAATAATAGTCACACTAATAAATGATCCACAAAATAAATAAATAGCTAAAAGTCACAACTAATTTCCGACATTTTGATAAAACATGGATCTTATCCCTTCCATTCTTCTCCAAACTCCATTCTCCATTCCACATCTAACATTCTGCAAAGTTGCCACATTGAACGATTGAACTACCTGTAACCACTGAGCACAGTACTGTAATAAAATATCACAATAAACATATTCAAAGATAAAACTTTTAAAAAATTCTTAGGTTATTTCTTAGGTTTTTTGGTAAAACATGCTTCCGTAGTCTATGGTTTGTTCTTGGGCCTCAAATAGCTCTTCAATTGTTAGCTTACTATCTATTAAGTACTAGACGCCAGAGCGCTGTTAACTGCCAGGGCAGTTAGGATTGTGTCCAATTCTGGCCATTTGGACCACTTTAGGCCGTTATTTATTGACTTGAAGATCCTCACCGTCTTCAGTCAGTACATCTACAGCATATTAACTATGCTAAGAGTAAACCTCGAAGACTTTAGAAAAAGAGGGAGTAACCATGACCACGGTACCCGCAGAGCTGGTGATTTGGACATACCCCGATGTCGTCTTGGTATGACACAGCGAGCGTATCCTCAGTCAGCCCTGAAGATTTTTAATGCTCTACCGGATGAGGTGAAGAACCTGAACCCGAAGGCTTTTAAGAAACGACAGAAGGATTGCTTAGTGAAAAGGCCGCTCTACTCTCTTCAAGAGTTACAAGATGGGTCTCTATTTGAGCAGTAAAAAGCCTCAACACACTTCTGACGCAGTCTATCCAATTTTCATTGGTCAACGACGAAGACGACAAGTATTACAAGTAAGTAAGCTGATGCTTATACGGTTCTCTATACTCAGCAGATCCCGTGATTGAGTACTAACTAACTAACAGTGTAGTTTGGTCGCCTCATCAATTAAGGCACGTCCAATGAATCGAAAAGGTTAAAGATAGATTATTAAGAAAGAATCGTTTTGGAAATCTTGAGGGGCTATGCAGTGCGGCCTTATGGCTATGCCTTCCAGCCAGGCATCTACCTCGTGCCTCTCATGGAGGGATGTCTTAGGCTGGTTCCTCTTATCAAGAGATGACAATTGCGTCATTTAATCTTCTTCCAGAAAATTCTACTACGTCATGGAATAGTATGTCACAGTCCTACACCATAGACTAATTAAAACAATTAGACTTCTCTTTCAATTGTAAATTATGAAGGTCGTTTTTCGTATCTAGCTCATGCCCGGTACTCCGGTGACACTGATCAGTGATCACTAGTGTCGAAACAAACTTTGTTTCTATTATTTTAGGGTTAATTTCATTGTTTGTGCTTTACCATTTGGTTAAATAACCAGGGGACGAGTTAATATTGTTTATGATTAGATAGTTTTATTTGTTTTAACGAGGTTTTAAATTTCCGAAATAACAAGAAACATTGTACAGTAAACAAAATACAACCTCTACAGTGCACCGGACGGAGCTAACAATAAAATTTGCTTCAGCTGTTCCATAAGGATGAGAAATCTACCAAGGGGTATGTTATATCGTGGTTATATAGTTTTATCTAGGTTATATATATAGGTTATATCTGCCTCTACCAACACGTCTTACAATCTCATCGAGCTCCATGTCCCCTGGCCCCATGCGTTCGTTCACTGAATACCTTCAATCGCAGGTCCTTTTAATTTTGTAGGATATCTATGTTGTTCTTTGTTGTTGATAATTCCAATTAATTTGTTGGAATGTATTTGTTATTCTATCGGATCAACAATCTATTTCACAGGAAGCAATAACAAAACCTATGTTGTTTATTCCGATCAGTAAAACATTTTCCAAAATAGTTTTTTTGTTGTTGATGCGAATATATCTTTATCTGGTGCTTGCTTAGAACAAAATGTCTTGGGGTGTTAACGATGTATCTTTTTTCACATTTTTGGTATACTTGAAACGCTCGATTTTAAATATCGTAGGGAATTCTCTAGTTTATGGCTATGTGGCTTGGTAACATTTGAGGAAGTTTCCCTTTATTTTTTAATTGTGGCATAACAATTTCCTCTCTCCTATTACTAACCTGTAAAGTATGTGAAAATTAAATCCACCAAACCAATAGTAATTAATAGTTTTGATGTAAAAATAAATTATTAATATACCAAGGATATAGACTAAGTTATAGCATTAGCATAGATAAAACATACTCGTTATAGCCTATAATCAATAATTATAGAGATTCTATGACAGTTAATTTACTATTATCTTCTATGGCTATGTAATTTTCTGGCTTGTTCTTCGCCCTCTCTTTTCGTCTGTAGTGTAGGTAGGTTACTGACGTAAGTGACGTACTACATCCCAAAAAAAACATCCCAATCCAATGGTTGGTTGTAGCGAGCGAGTTGTATTATTTGTATTGTAAAACAATGAAGGTGTTGTCAATTTGATGGTTGATTACTTTATTACGTCCAAGTGTTTAAAATCATGGACGAACACGCATTTCCAGCCGCAGAAAGAATCATAAACGATATTGGATTGATTTTTAAAAAGGATCCGAAACTGTAAGCATCAACTAGGTTTATAAATGTGTCATATCTGTTTGTTTTAAGGTTATGAATGTAATTAATTTTTAACGACCAGTCTAATCCACCTAACGTTTGTATACTTACTTGGATTGGGTGATATTATATTAAGCTTACAATTTGGTGAGAATTTTGTGACAAAGACATAGCAAACCTCATGATTTTTTCATGGCTAAGGTCTAGACTTCTCAGAAGTTAAGTAGGCCTAGGCTACAAACATTATTGGGCGAAACTTTGCATTATCGAACTTAACATTATCAATTCGATCTGTAACTTAACTTAGCTAAACTCAAAATTAAACTTCCATATCGATTGTGACAATACAACATACATTTAACAAAAAAAAAAGTAGCGGGGAACCCAGAAAATCTCCCCAAACCAGTCAAACCACCTGAATTTTGTGAACAGACTATACATGTATGCAAAGAGTAAAACCCCCTTTTCTTCTAACCTAATCAACCCACATGATTAAATAGCAATAACAATTAATTGGCTATAACAAGTGTGGGTACTTCAGTATTAAACGGAGGCCACCTAACCTACAGAAATATTTCGTACCGGATACCAAAAATAACTACATACTTGGAATGAACACACTTTAATAGATTAACAGGTGAAGTTTAGAATTAATCCGACGCCTGGTTCTGACGTTGTGCAACCCAGAACGCAGCAATGTCGGTAGGCCACATTTTGTCAGCGCGCTGCGGCGGTTATGTTAGGTTGGGTTATCATATGAATCGAACGAAACCAGACGAGTTATACTTTCTATTATGATAACCCAACCTAACATAACCGCCGCAGCGCGCTGACAAAATGTGGCCTCCGTTTCAGACACAGTGACAGGCGATGACAGGTAATGGCGTGCGCTCCGGTCAACGACCCTGACCTTGGCCTACTTGGAGGGGATTCTGCGAGTAGACACATGACTCATCTGATAACGCTCGACTCACAACAATACTAGAATAGTTCTACTACAACATCTATAACAATTTAACCCTCTATAAGTGCCGCGGCGCGTTTCGTAATGGTGGCCTCCGTTTAATACTGAAGTACCCAAGTGTGTTATAATTTGTTACCTATTGCTAAAGCGGTGTTTACACTGTCGTGGGGCCACGGCTAAAATCAGGCGTGTAGGTGAGAAATTTTCTCACTTTCTTGAGAAGCGTGGCCACGTCTCGTGTAAACAGTGGAGACGTGAGAGCAACAGGCGTGGCAACCCAATACACCTGTTCCCCACGCCCTTTAGGACTAACCAAACCATGTTTGGTTACTACGCCTGTTGCAGGCGTGGCTAGACGTGGTAAGGAGTTATCGTCTTCCATCTCGTTGTTTTGTGTTACTACGAGTTTAATGTTCTTTAAATTCATTGGTTGTTGTCTTAGTTTTTAAGTATGGTACCATGGCAAAAAAAAAATCTATAACATTGACACAAGGCGAATAAATTGAAATGGCGAAAAAAAGCAATCTTTAAAATAAACGGAAGGTCAAACAATTTAGAATGCTTGAACTGTATCAAAGTGAACCTTGTTTATTTTATATGAATAAATATTGAAAGCTACAGCTTAGTTTCATTCTTTTAATAACACTTAAATGTTGTGCTATTTCTTCAGATAAAATAACACTCAATGCAGCACAACCTTCAATACTGTAATTATTAATCTGTTGGCGCAATCCGTAACGCACCCGTATACAAAAATGAACTCGCCTTAAATAAATACGCTTCTACCAGAAAACTGTTTACACTAAACGGCTGCTTGTGGCCGTGGGACGGTACCGTGGCGCCACAGTATTTGCGTACGGCTGTCATTTGGCGTGGCGACCACGCCTGTTATGGACGTGGTAAAACGGCAGTGTAAACACCGAACACCGCTTAAGATTCATTAACTTAATTGGATTGAATCAATTAATAGCTGCGGGCCCGTCCTACGCATCGGAATAAAGTGTTTGGTTAAAACTGCTGTTTCAGAAACGGTAGGTTTTAGAAGTTTTTTCTTGTCCACACTTTTGGCTTCCTAAACTTTTTTTTGACTGTAGAGAAACTGTCAAACACTGGTCTTGTTAATTGATTGGTACATAGGTTAACGATCTTGCTTGGAAACGAACCAGCAACCTTCAGATTTTAAAGAATTAAGTTATAACACCCCAGCTACCTAGACAATCAAGTCCGGAATTTTTGAGAGTTGCAGACAAAACATTATCACACAAATATTCACAAAGCCTACATTAAGGCAAATTCTGACATTTGTCACGCAAAAATCGTCCAGTAAAATGTCACATGTCTACAAATTATTTTACCATTTTTAACCAATTTTAATCATTTTAAATCCAATGAGTTTAGAATAAAACCCCAGCCTCATAAAATTTTAGGTAATAATTTGAAGTGAAATTGGGGGATAATTTCCACACTGGTCAGTTAGGCCTACACACCATCTTCCATTGGATATGATTATTACCTTCCCTTACCTCCGTAGCCACAATGAGTTTTTTTTTTTTTTTTTTGCTTTTTGAAAATTTGTCTACATTATCTTCTATTACCTGCCTCTTTTAAGACCCTAGTCTGTAGGTGCATTTCCTTACTTGGGCTTTCTCCTTCACTCTTGGCCTTCCAAGTGTTTGTTTACTTTGTGGTACATTGGAAACAATCAAAGTATCTTCTCTCCCTCACATTTGACCTATTCTTATTAGCCTTTACTTTTTGCCAGCGTCACGGTACCTAGGTGTTCAATTTTTTTATTATGTTGTTTTGTATCCTCCAACCTTCATCATCTTAAACAGGTCCACATATTTTTCTTAGCACACTATTCTCAAACAAAAGCTTTTTCAGATTCACTGGTCCCCACCTACGTTATTGAACAATACGGTTAGTTGGTACTGGGACTGGGATAGTTGGTATAGTAGCCTATAAATCGATTTTTGTCTCTATCGTTAACCATTTAGACTAGGCTACAACAGTTTTAACCGAGACCAATATTGAACATTTTCAGGTTTAAATTTCCATTTTCAAACAACACTATCATTTTCAAAACAAAAAAGTAAATCAGTCCAGGGTCCAGGTATACGTTAATAGCTTATTATTTGGTATAGCTTAAATAGGAAATTTGTCAATAAAAACAAACTATCAACAAGCAAACCACGTATAACCTTTACAATCCAATAATCCATTGGTGGTTTGCAAAAAAAAAAAAAAAAAAAAAAAACATTTTACTAACATGAGTTCAAATTTTCAAAGCATAGCATAACACAAATTAGATTTCCTATGACAAAACTTGATTAGCCTATATAAAAAATGTTTGGATAAATAGTTAAAAATTATACAGTTTCTAAAAAAAAATCAAAACCTATATGGTAGAAACAAACTAAATTCAGTATGATCTTTAAAAAAATGCTAAGAATCAATATTTTGTGAACAACTTTAAACGTTACCACTTCTGTGACAGTTTGCAGAAAGTAAACCAGGACTCTTCCGTTAAATTAAATTATACATTAATTTACACTGAAACAAACTTAGAATTTTAGCGTCAACTGCTAAACTAATTCAAAATTAAAATTAAATTTCTGAAAAACCAAAACCCAATATTAATAAATTATGGCTAGCTATAATTCCCTACTCTCAAAATTATCTTCCAACAAAAGAATCATCAAAATCCGTCAAGTGGTTGGATCAGAATCTGTGAAAAAAATAAAAACCCTTCCATGTTTTAGTTATAAGATATAAGAATCGTTTAACCAGTGGAGTATTTGAATTGAAATTCTGTTGTTCAATTAATCATTTTAGTCAGTCTATTGTTTCATTTCAGGAAGGAATTCCAAATTCTACCCGTGTCTTTGAATGAAAATCGGTCACCAGTTCACCACGTTAACAATTGCCTCGGGCTAGAGTCATGGTGTGTGCCGCATGTCTACTGTTACGCTTATAATTTATTAATGGATATAAGACAACAGAAACGTAGAAGAGAAGGTAAGTAAATTGAATTAGGTGTTTCTTAAACTATGAGTTACGGTATGAAATCAAAGTCTGAACATTTTCTGGGTCAGCAGGAACCAAAATTTCCATCGAGCTAGTATCATACAATAGTGATAAAAGTGATTTTTAACACTTTGAACGAGAAATGTTTAAGATGCATATATGTTGGAAACCTGTATTCCAGGTGAGATTTAACATTATTCCAGGGCGGGATGCACTTATCTCATATTAACATCAACCTACAAAGTACTAGCATCTCCTAATAACGTAAATTTGTTTGTACTGATCAACAAAACCTAGATACAAGGGCTATCCAGAATGTAACAGACAATTTGGCTTGGAGCGGCAGTAGGTGGGGCTAGCACCGCTATCTTGGCATCAGGCGGTTCCTAGACTCAGTATACAACCAGCCGTGGTAACTAGAGCATTGTATCTGTGCTTTTTATGCATTGGAGTTTTGAAAGGGTCGCAGTTAAAAATCCCACCAGCTGTAAAATGCGTGGTGTGATAAGGTTTTTGTTAGCAAAAAACTATGAAACGATTGAAATTTATTGCCAGATTTGTGGTGTGCACAGCCAAGGAATGATAAGTGAAAGCCGAGTGAGGCAGTGGTGCATTGATTTTAGAAATGGACGTACCAATGTTTATAACGAGAATCGCAGTGGTAGGCCTAGTCTTGCGACTGATGAATGGGCGGTAAAAATTTATAAAAAATCTGTGAATATCGTTGTTTTATGATTACGGAACTCTCAGAACATGTTCCCCAAATTTAAAGAAGTTTAGTTTATCAAATTGTAATTTGTAAACTTGAATAGGCTACTACAAATTTTGTGTAAGGTGGGTTCCGAAATTCCTAACTAAAACCATCCACTTTGTTGATAAGCCACAACAATGACCTTATTGATAGAACAGACAAAACTAGAATTTACAAGTTTTGAATGACTGTCCAGTTGATTGATGGTGGTGGCTCTGGAAGACAAACCAACTTCATTGTTGCTTTTATTTTGTAACCTCTCACTACTGAATATAGCCACACTCAAACATCAAGATATTATTAGTGATTGTTTCATTTAAATACTGAGGTGAGAATATTTTAATTTTCCAGACACAGAATATACAAACCATTTGCTGATGGGGGCCCTGCTGCTCAATCCAGAGGTTTCTGTTATGTGGAATATGCGTCGGGAAATGTCAGGACTCGAACCTCAATCTGAACTGCACTTTACTTCTGTCGTTCTGACCAGAAAACCCAAGAGTGCAGAAGTGTTCGACTACAGAAAATGGCTCATCAAGAAGCTGATGAAAGGTAATTTACTTAATAATTTTTTTATTATCATTAATGAAGCTTATACTTCAGATGGGCCATTACTAAGCACATTTCAGATAGACTGTCAAGAGCACATATTAACACATTGAGTGCCTAAGATATTTAACGTAGTGCGGGACTGGCGTGTGTGGCGGACTACGTAGCATTCCTAACTCCAAACTATTGATCCAGTGTGAGCTCAGCCTCGCACGGGGAACGTTGTTTCGCTTGCCGCTTTTGCCAGTTTTATACTTCAATCTGGTATAGTTCGTTTTCAGATCAGACAATGAGACAATGTCATCGGTGGTGGGGACTGTTCCAAATTTAGAGTAGTGTGGGGTTATGTCTTGGATTTAGTAAAAATTGAATAGAATAACGATAATTACTGTAGTGTAGCAATGTGGAATTAACCTAATCTCAAATTCTGCTTGACACCTTTTTTTGGTATTTTTTGATGGCGTATCCAGGTTTTTCGCCCCTGCCTTTTTCCTCTATTTGGCAATATTGAGGGCCTACTAGCAGTTTTTTTAGTGCTGCTATCTGTCGTGTTCTTTTAAAACTACGTCCACATCTACTAGAACACAATGCATGCTGCAATAAGCTATTATTTGGAAAGAACAAAATTTAAACGTTTCCCGCACTCAACCACGCAGTGCATTAGCCACCGGCAGCGGCCGGCCATCGCGCAGCCGCACTTAACGTGTTAAGGAAGATTTTCGTGAATAGCTATTGTTTAAATTATCTTTGGACAGATTACGTTCCTAGTTGCTTCCCAGTTCCCCATCGTAGTTGGTAATAATTAGTAGATACATGGTAAATCAATTCAACTTAAGTTTCAGTTCTTTTCACTGCTTTAGGTAGTCTACCATCACAAAGTTTGTAAAACTTGCCAATGATTTTTTCAACGAATCCTGGATTTTTATACAAACCTGTGCTCTTTATATATTCAACTGTTTAACGTCTCAAACCCCCCTTTTTTTGTGATAGCTGGTATTTCGTCCACTTTATCCTATCATTGAAAACTTCGCTATTTTTATTACATTTTCGTTTTACTGTGATCACCAATTTCAAAACTTGCTCTTCAGAAGGGGACGAAATCCATAAAATAGTGAAATAGTTGCTTCTATCCTTAAACTTCTTGTGCAGTAATATTCTCTGTTTGATCTTGCAGTGTATCCATGTGACCCAGCGCTGGTCGCCTCTGAAGTACACGCATGTCAGTTAGCAGCTGAGTTGTATCCCAACAACTACTACGCCTGGAACCACCGTATCTGGTGTCTCAACCTGCTTCCATACGACTCTGGCTCGTACGTTTCCTTCCTCGTCTCCGAGTGGATGCTCACTCACAAGTGGGTGTCCAGTCACATCTCGGACCACAGTGGCTTCCAGTACCGACAACATTTGCTGCAAAAGTTTGTAAACTTACCACCCGATGGCTACAACACCGTAGGAAAATGTACAACGGACATCGAACAATCTGCCACCTGCTCTTTGCAGATGTTTCTCACATCGACAGAAAACAAAAAGAGTAATTTTTTGACAGAAATGACAAGAACTATCCTAACAGAGTCTTCTGGAAGCAAGTGTGAGAATATGCAGTCTATTCCACTAGGCTTAATACTGTCAGAATTACTCCTAAATACAGATCTGATCGTTGTGTATCCCGGGCACGAAGCCATCTGGTATCATCGGAGGTTTTTGATTCATCTGTTGCGAGAGTGTATTAGCAATTTAAGGCTTGAGGCAGAACACAAGGACAGGAACGGGGTTTCACCTGAGAAGACCAAGCGGGTAGAGAGCATCGGGGAAGGTCTCTTAGAGAGAGTTGTGAGATTTGAAACAGCTCTGTATAGCAAGTGTCGGACAGATAAAGACAGACAAGCTAGTTATGCTGAAAAGCATCGAGCGTGGTTAGCGTCCATCATGAAGATCAACCTACATCTTCCACTGAGATAGCTAGTGTAACATTTACAACTAAAAGAAAAATTTTCTGATTTTGTTAATAGTATACATATTATGACCTGTATTAAAGTGTGAACTTGTATTTTTATAAATTAATATAATACTGTATTTAATAGTATTTATTTCTACTTTGTAAAGTAACTAGCTTTTTACTTTAAAAAGGAGGTTGTTTTTCTTCCTACCTCACCTCACCTTATAGCAATATGAATAACTTTCAATTTTTGTCTGGTGTTTACTAGTTTTTGCTGTACACAGCCCTAGTTTATGTACCTCTAGAAAAAAGTCTGTGTGATTTGTTGGATCTTGTTCTTTAATTTTGTTTAGGTAAATTAAGTTTGCAAAAACTTGGACACATGAGCATAAATGATACAGCCCTGTTCATTACAGTAGACTCCCACTAGTTCGGCTTCGGTTGGATCGGCCGTCGGATGGTCCGGCCCCATCTCAGGGGGACAAGTCACGGGTGAATGGCCTTCAACTTGAATGTTAAATTTCCGTCCATAGTAGTCAGAATTCATGTCAGTTTAGTTGACAGGTGCTTCTACGGATAAACCGTTGCATTTTGCCTATGTTAATCTGTTGTGAACAGTGCATTTTGATTTGTGATTTCATACGTGTATGGTTTTTCATTAAACAGTGTGAAAGTTGTGAGAAAACGTGAGTTCTGTATGGTTTATTGTTTGAAAAATTTCTTCTAAAATGAGTGAAAAACGTAAACATATGTACAGTATGAGACAACAAATTATCAAAGATATAAGTAGAAACAAGACGATACTAGAAAGGGATGTCAGGAGCTTACTTACTTACTGCCATGGTCACTTGTGCCCAAGCTGGTACTTGGCCTTGGCAGTAAGTAATCTTCTGACATCTCTTTCTTAGATGTCAGAAGCTTAATTTTGCTAAATAATGTTTTGAATGAATGATATGATAAAATAATGCTATTTGTAGATTATTAGTGATTGTAACTAATTTGATAGGAGTACTGTATTTTAACCTTTCATAATACATCCAGTTAGTCCGGCAAGTGGTGTGGTCCCGAGGTGGCCGAACTAGAGGGAGTCTACTGTAAGTTGGGTTTGTACACTTGGAAAATGTACCTCAAAGCAAAAAATAATAATGTACAAATTGTATTTAACTGACTCAAACTTTAAGTACATCATGAGAATGAGAAATGTTTGGGCAAAGATGCCAAAAATGTGTGACTTAATCAATCAATTAAAAATAGATTTTGTAGACTACATGTATGGCAATAATTTAAGCATTAATTTTATCACATGCTATCTCGAAGTGCTTTATTGATGTGTTGAGTAGAGTCCTAGACTCTGAAACTTGTGTTTTAAAATATACCGTGCTTTCATGGTCATTTCCAGTTTTAGCTAGTTTTTAACTTTAGTAGTAATAATTGCACCATAATGGATGCTTGTATATTGGCATTGATGTTTATTAGTCAATTACTAATAAAGTACCTGAATTTATTTAATAGCTTTATTACCTCTGAAACCGTAACTTTGCTACAGGCTAAAATTACCTTTTCCATTAATTTGTTGTCTAATAACTGCTGTTAAGGAGTCATTAAATCCATTCATACAGGGTTAGTAAAAAGTCTGGAGACCCCCTATTAATTTTTTAACGAACGGCCCATACTAGACAAACTAAACCCGGCACACCTTTATGGCATGTTATGAAAGACTTTTTGGGCATAACCGCCACTTGGTGTACATCCCCAAAATGGGGGATTTTGGGGGAAACTCAAAAATTTCAAATGGCAAGACCCATCGAGTGACCCCTCATTTTGAAGGTTCTGGTAAAAGAAAACTAACAACGCAAACTAGAGGTCTCTATCTCAATCCAGTAAAAAGTGACAGCCAATTGAAATTCTCACTGTAACTTTGTAACGGCTCACACTAGGAAATCTAAACCCAACACATCTTTATGGCATGCTATGAAGTACTTTTTGAGCCTAATTGCTACTTGGTTCCCAAACCCGAAATGGGGGATTTTGGGGAAAACTCAAAAGTTTTAAATGTTAAGCCCCTATGAAGTGACCCCTCATTTTGAAGGTCGTGATAAAAGAAAACCAACAACGCAATTTAGAGGTCTCTCCTACTGATGTGAGTAATGTGTTTAATGACCTTGTCACAACTGCTGTTGAAGAGCTCATATTGCCGAAAACTGGTTTAACGTATGATCAAGGAATTCTCACTCAAACAAATGTGACAGCCACACCAACTTGTTTTAAATTTTAAACAATAACTGAAGAGCAGCTTAGAAAAACCCAATTATTAAAAAAAATCACTACCTGTCACGGAAAAATATTTGACATACTTAAAATTCCTCTCTCATTTCAGACATATTCCCATCCAAATTAAAATTGGCTAAGTCATTCCCATTTATAAAAAAAGGTAATCTCAAAGACCGTCAATGCTATCGCCCTATCTCAATTTTGCCCACTTTTTCCAAAATATATATGAGCGTATATTTCATACCCGGCTTGTTAGATATCTATAAATTAATTAATTACTAGACAAAAAGCGACAAGGCTTTCAGAAAGGAAAATCCACAGTAACAAATGATAAGAGTAAATATTATGTCTTAAAATTGCATCTACATTCCAAAAAGACCATAAAATACAGTTTTCCACTTTTCAAGTTTGCTGCCATTTTGGAAATAATAGAATTAATATTTTCCACATATTTTATGGTCTTTTTGGAATGTGGATGCAATTTTAAGACTTAATACAGTATTTACTCTTCAAATTTTTGCTCTAAACTTACTCTTTTAGGAGCTACATGATGCAAAATGTATACCAGAAGTAATTTTTTTTCATAGGCTGTAACTCCTAACAAGGGAGTTTATAGAAAAAATGTCAAGAATAAAAAGTTTTTAAATTGCATGTTCTATTCGAAAACACTATAAAATATAGGGTGTTTCATAAGAAATTTCTAAATTTGCCGCCATATTGGAAAATGGCGGATGAATAAAAAACTAAATTCGAAATTCATATTTTTAACTGCTACAAAAAATAAAGGAATGAGCTGCCACTAATATGATTTTGGAAGTAGAGAAATAAAACAAGGGCTTATTTTTGGCCCACAAAACGTATCATTCAGCAGGCATTAACATCAAAGTTACATACCCAAAACAGATAAAAACATTATTAAGAATTAATTTTTTTAGCTTTCCGATTTAATTGCTGAGCTGGTAGTTGGATGGTACAGATCATTTAAAAAGAAATGTTCCTAAGACCGAATATATACTATGGGTCAAATATGAAGTTTAACAAAGAAAGTTTTAATTGTTTTATTAGACAAATACAAGCTGGGAATAATTCACATAAGAGAATTAAGATCAAGTTATCAAAACACAAAAGGTCTTATATGAGAACAGGTACAGTTTCTCAACTAAAATTGAATAGTACTTGGTCCTTAACAAAAACAAGAAACCGTCCTATAGTTAAAAAACACTCAAATAAAAATCTGAGCCTTGTCGTGTATAAATCGGTGGAAGGACAATTTTCCAGACCTCAGATACAATTTTGGTCAAATACGATACTATATTTTAATCCTGAGCGTATATCACTGCTCTTCTTCCTGTCATGGTAAGATTTATTTTAACAATATATTAAACCAAAATTTGACAGTAAAAACATTAAAAACTCGACTATGGAATGGTATTTAAATGTACAAAATAACTCACAACAAAATATGTGTAGTACAACTACAAATACATGAAAATGAATTGTCGTGGTGGTGGTGTAGTGCCTAGCGCCTGTAGGGGTGGAAGCTAGGAGTTCCCGGTGTGTAGCTGTTGCCTCTCTGTGGTCCTGGAGCTCCGGAGTAAGCTGAGTCTGGAACCGTAGACAGAGCAGTGAGGTAGGCTGCCTTGGCAGTGGCACTGGGGATGGGACTGGCATCTGGAAGGGACAAGGATAGGTGAGGGACATGGGGAGGCAACAAATATTTCTGCGACTATCCCATGAGATCTAATAACATAACTATGTTCTTTATTGTTCTGGTTTAAGCGGCCACTGAACAAAGATTTTAACTGCTTCACTTTGTGAACTTTATGGGATTATGGTAGTAATTTCAAACTTTATTTCACAATTTTAGTGAGATATTTTGCATTATAGAGCCTACTTCGATTTACACAACTGCCAAGCACAGTCTTAACACATTTGCTCCGACGTGGTGCACAAATTCAATTTTTATTCTAAAATAATATGTGTAAAAGACTTATATGAGCCACAGACCAAATGTGTTACCACAGACTTCAAAAAAAAGTGTGTTTGTAAGAATAACTAAATATAACGAAAACAAAAACTAATCTATTGTGGTTGTAGTAACAAAATAAGACATGAATTATGCTGATAAAACAGTGTACCAATCGCGGCTTGGTTTGTTGGCTACTCATCACTAAATTAAAATTATACACAATTTACTAAAAAAGTGTGGAGGTATATTTCGAGTTTTCATCAAAACCCATCTTCAGCCTCACAAACCAAGAATAACATTAATAATGCCATCAAGAAAAAAACATCCCGGAATGAATTACTACGTAAAATGCAAGTTTTAATGACACCTGCTTTTGTACAGTAGTCTGGGCGCGCAGAGCCTTGTGTACTAGCCGTCCTGAGAATTACGGCTCTCACCCCCACAGCCGCTGCACTGACGGCTTGCCGTGTGGGCCAGATGTTTTTGGAAATGAGCAATAAACACTCCCCTCTACAGTCTACCACATGTTAGACATGTGTCTTAGCTAGTTGATGATTGGGCTGCTAGAGCCTAAAGAGACACAACATAAGGCACCTACACATGAAACGGACATGTTTGGTTTTCTTTAGTGTTTAATAAACCTAATTTTAATTTGATTTGAAAAATAAATTATTTTTTTATGATTTAATCAGTTGTATGTTGTAATGAATAAAAGCACATTATTGTGTAGCTCAACTCTACATTCCTACACCTATACTCATACACACAAGAATTAGACGATTCCCTGTCTACGAGGACAGCGAAGAAGACAACGATGGTAAATGCTGTAGTATTTAAACCCAAATATAATCCTGTACAACCTATCGATATGGTTCATGGCTCTTTACCAAATATGAATACATACATAGTAAAACTAATGACAGAAACAGTTTTGAAAACTTAACTTTTGAAAAAAGTAGCTTAACGAGTGCCTCACACCGTGTTTTTAAAACCTATAAAAATTTGTCGGAGCAAATGTGTTATGTCACAAAATACAACACAAAACCCAAAACACATTTACAACTTACTTGTTGCTTTGCTTTTTTACACTTCATGTCATTAGTTAACAACCCCCTCCCCTCCCCAGGATACTCAGCAATCAAAGTGGATTTCCATTGGCTTTTTACTAAAATATTTCACCGGATTTATCCCCTAATTTATTGACATTAGGTTAATCGTTAGTTTGCAACCACAAGGAATGTAATAAAGTGTAGTGTTTGGTGAAAAATAAAAAGCTCTTTATAAGTTTACATATTCTCCATAAGAATAACCTGGGAATTTTAAATTTGTATTTTTTTAATCCCCTCCAAACCCTTAGGCAAGTTTATTGTTTTTGTTTTAATTTCTACCTAATGGATCAGATATAAATTATTCTGAAATGTTATCTTTTGATGGTCAAAAATGAGAAAACCCAATTCCCATAAAACGCCCATATCCCAATCATATTTGTTCGAAAACTCATTCCAATGTACTGAAGTCTACAAATTCATACTAAACTCTTTAAAGCCATAATGTAATTTAGTAATTAAATTTAAAATATACAAGCTAATACATGTAATAGGGACCAAATATCCTGATATTACTTTTAAAACTAAATTCTACAAATGGCTTTTCAACAACCCCTTTTATTCTCTAAAAGAATGTTTTGATAAGGCTTGTATTATTTCTTAAGTAGATTTGAAAAATTTACTGAAAATAATGTTAAATTTAGTTAGTTATACAAATTATTCACTTCCATTATTCTGTGTAAATGAAATATTTCAACAATTTTAATGCCAATATATCTCTGTCTTTGACTGTTCTAACTCTTGACTGTCTCTGACTTTTTCAATACAGTATTTCAGTACAATATTCTGTAATTTCAGTTAAGAATGTTAAAAAAATTTAAATAGCAACAGATACCATTTTAATTTATCATAAACATTGCTAGAATATTTTTGAGTGTTGAAAATTTCTAATGGGCTAGTAACACAAATTTGTTAATTAATTGATATTTAAAAAAAAATAAAAGACTAAACAACCCAGACCTTGAAAACTCCTGGAACGCACCTAGTATTTAGAGTTGTAAAAACTTTCACATTTTGAGTCCGATCTCATGAACAATTTTTAACAAATTTAAAACTCCCACTTTCTTCCCATAACTTGTGACATGTTTTGGGTAACATTTTTAAACTTAAAATGTAGAAAATTTGTACAAAAATTCATGTCACAAAAAAGATTTGGGATGTGGATGTACTAAATTCATTATTCTTAATGCATGCAAGAAACTTGTATTGATATCCAACAAAAAGGTACATTTTTAATTGAATTGCAAACGACAGGGGTTTTAATGCTTTCTGAAAATTTAAGAACATGCATAACAATGAATATGTTGATGAAATTTGGGTACAACAGTTGTTGCCAGCTAACCAATAGCTTTTCTCGGTCTATTTTTCATTGGTAGTTGGTTGTATTCTTTAGCTTCACGTAAGATGGAAAGTCTTCAGTAAAAAAAAAGCAATGTGCCAGTGTGAAACTTAATGTCCTTTCTAGGTTTGTTATTAAGTTAAGATCAAATCTTTTTCAGTAATCTTTGCTATCAACTATGCAGACTGGAGTGGCTCAATACTTCATTCTTCCTCGTGATCTTTGTGTAGAATGTTAGTTGTTTAGGTAATCTCACACTGAGGGCTGCACTCTTACAGCTTAGTAAGCTTACCTTTGCCGGGTGCAGCAGGTTCTGAGGGATAATATCCTGGAATACATACAATATCACTTTCACAACATCATCACCCAACGTGCTTGTTCCTTTAACTCTCAGAAACCTCCTCCAATTATTAGCAATGAAGATTCTTATCTTGATTCTTTTCATACAGAATATTGTTTTTTATTCAAGTCAAATAGTCAATTTCATAATCTATTTTTTCTCTGTAGTCTAGGTTAAAGTTCATTTAACTTGATTGTTCTGTAACACAATCCTTCGGTTAATTTTTCTTTTAATAATAATCTTTGAACTAGGTTTTACACTTTATTAATGCAGATACCCATTACTTCTGCTTTGAAATTATTTAAATATAAATGTAGGCATTTATGGGATGAATTGTGTTAAGTAATTTGTTCTGGATCAGTTAACTAGTCCAATATGCTTGAAGGAACTTGCAATGCCTTCTAAGATTAAGTTTCTGAAGTAGCTAAAAAAGAAAGTAGCAATCATCAGGTCTATCAAAAACACTTTCAGCTACAACGATAAATTTAACTATCATATACAAAAAGAGGTACTAAAACACAAGATACAAACACACAAATGGCGAGTCCCGCTAAGTGAATACATCCGTCGAAGCCCCAGAAATAGACAAAAGTGTACAATATTACCTGATAATAGCTAAGAGGAGAAGGAATACGAGCAATGTGACAAGGATATGGCAACACTGCAAGTACAACATAAAGCGTCCCCTTGACTGAAAACAACGCAAAACTAACGATTTGGAAATAACAACTGACTGATTTGAGAAAAGAATAAAAATACGGAAATAAAAGTAAAAGAGTTACTTCAACTTGTCCTTAGATGAGTGCTTGCAATGTTGCAGACAGGATGGGCGGGGCGAGGGCGCCAATCAGACAACTGAGTGTGTTCTCATCGCCATATAATATTGGTTGATAATATTGCGTCACAGTTAAGATAATACATAATACAACGTCTAATAGGAATTTTCTTATTTTAAAAAGCGTCAAAACGTGGATCTTTAAAACCACAAGTACTACTATAGAAAAGTTACAAAATAAACTCTGAGAAAGTAAAATAAAAACAAACAATCGTATAATTATATAATAATTAATAATAATAATATTAATATAAGATCGAACGGATAATTACAAAGGTCGCTTCCAAAAACTTGGAAATTCTCTAAAATTGTACTTTCTTGTCCAGTCAGAATTAATAGTTAGATCTAAACCTAAAGTTAAACCTTACGCCTGAATTAACCTATTTATCTTTAAATATGTTTCAATAATCGTAATCTATTTTATCGTTTTAATTTAATGTATCCTAAGTCGAGATTTGTACATTCCTGCAGTAAATATATATTAACAAAGATATCCACTAAACTCTAGGTAAAATTACTTATTGCTTCGTAAAAAAACAACTCTCTTCTTAAAATTAATGACTGTTTTTCGTTACATATTATTATAAAATAGTAAGGGCTATCGAGGGGGAAGTTTTTTTAACATCACATCGAAGGGACAAGTTCAAGTAACGTTTATGTTTAACTAGACACTTAAATTTAACTTTGTTTTACTTAAGAAATTTCCTATTACCTGTATTTACAATCAGTCGATGGTTTAATAAAAACTAAGCGATTAAAAAGACACTTTTGCACAGTCCTCTAATTACTCCCTAATCTCACTGATCATTAACCGATAAAACGTTGGCGTTCAGTCACCAATCAAGAGGACGGCCATTCCTTTAGACAATCGTACTGCTTGGAGTACCCACCTCCTGAGCCCTGGGCCGAGTCTGGGCCTGCGTAGCTGCGACCTCCGCCGTACGAGGACGAGTCCTGCAACAAACAACCATTCTTCGCAATCAGAACAATAAACAAGACCCATACTACAATACAAAAGTCATCAAGGATAATAGAATTAATTTCCTACTGGAACATCAAATATTAATGTTTATTGACATTCAAAGCAAAATATTATTTGATAACAACAAGTTGTAACAATTGATTAAATAATGTGAAAAAGGTGATATTCTTGTAGAAGAGTACTATTTCCCATATTATAATGTAAAAGATGTTTCTTCTAATTATTAATATTATTTTAACAGTAGGATTAAAGGTGGTTCTAATGAATTGTCCACAAGGATGCAAGGTTATCACTACTGAAACCATACCAACTTAGCAATGGGAAGTGTTAAATTAAAAACATTCAGACGAATGTAGAGTATCTCTGTGAAAATACATATGCAATAACAAGTATTTTCATGGAAAAATACACATTGCTGTATGTTTTCTTTACACCTTTAATGTCAACAAGGCAAAAAGGGAACAAGAAAACAATAAACAATCTTAATCTTTAAAATCTTTTAGGTGTTTTACTATACCAAACCTCAAGTAACAAGATAAACCGGGATAAAATAAAAACACTAAAATACATCTTTGACAAAAGAAGAGAATGTGAAGGGACCAAATGAAGAAGTAGCACAGAGTTTGGAGTTAAGGTTGTTTGCTGCTAGTGCTACACAATCCAAACTACTTGCCTTTTGGGGAGCTTTTACATACTGAGAAAAGGAAATAATCTTTTTAGTTTCTCTTTCAACATTAAAAACTCAAGTTCTTAAATGTTGTTATAAAAACAGTAAAGCCAAAATCTAATAAACGTACTGGTATATATTGGGCCCATGCCTGTTAAAATAACTTGCAACATATACTTTAGTTAAAAATACCTTTATGATATAAATTTTGGTGGCGAGGAACCCCTCCCCCAATTTATTTTGGGTAAGACAAGTTCTACTGTTTTACATCACTCTTAAAAACAGCAAAACAGTGACAGTAAGGAAAGAAACAGTACCCAAAACAAAAACATCAAAATAAACAATTGGCACAGTACCTGTTGGTAGCCAGTGTAGCCGCCGTAGCCAGCGTAGTCGTTGGCAGCCTTCTGAGGAGCAGCGGGGGGAGTGGGACCGGCTGGTGCTGCTCCGGCGGCTCCTCCTGAGTACATGTCTCCTGAAACAAAACAACACTCACTCACACACTCAAACACAGCTATAGATTGGACAAAAATCTCCAATCTAACCCTTTGGCATACAAATGTTGTGTTAATTTCCTTTGGTGATATCTATTTACATTCTCCCCTGAAACAATAGTGCAATTCTTTCCTAAACAATATTTCAAGTCGACCTAAAGGTAGGCAAATAGGCCTTAATGGCCTCGGCCTTCTTTCTAAAACATGAATATACCTGACCTGTCCTCTGAAGGGAATGGTGAAGATGGTAGAATATGCCAATAGAAAGGGAATTTCCCCCATCGGATGCGTCGCTGACACTCACCATACCATCTGGGGAAGTTTGGATACAAATAAGAGAGTTAAGGACCTTAATAAATCCACTTGGAAATTGGTAACGGTATCGTGAATAGTTCGTCACAAGTCGATGTTAATAAAAATACAGTACCTACGTCAATATCTTGTAGCCATTTCGGGAAACTATAATGATGTTTCTGTAATTGCTGGGCGATAAACAGAATTTTGTCATGACCGCAGAAGACAGTGATGATGTTTATGTGACCGAGAAAGATGTTCAGGATTTCACAGCGATCGCGAAATATGTTGAAGATGTCTTCATGACCGTGGAAGATGATTGTAATATTACTTTGAGCACAGCTTGATTGGAAATCTCAGGCTGGCACGCTTCTAGTTACTCATACTCAATTTGCTCATACTTAAGAAACGCAACATTACGCCTATTCAAATATGTCAAATTTAACACCCTTACAATACAAATAGATTTTTAATTTTTAAAAATCATACTAGTTATGGTTGTTGTAAGAAAAATGATAAATAATAAATCATGGTCCATTTAAATAGTAATAAATCGCCAACGTTTGAAAATTCATCTAAAAAATAGTAGTTTTTACATAATAGTAGTGCAGTTAGTAAGATACTATCATGGTCCTAACTAATTCCACTGTGTTACCGTCAACGTTCTTAGCTTATTCCCTGGGGGACATTAGCCAAAGGAGGTGCACAAATTGGTTTATTAAGAAAGACAAGAAAGCACGGCTATACCTGCGTAGCTGCTGCTCTGAGGACCCGGGGCCCCAGCAGCGGGAGGCCCGCCCTGGGCCGTGGGGCCATTCTGGGGCATGTTCCAGTTCCAGTTGTTACCGTACCCGGTCTGGTTAGGCCCTGTCAACAATACAGAACATTGACGGCAACTGGACGGAAACTTTCAAGGACCATGAGAATTGTGGCCAAAATTTAACTTTAGTCAAAAGCAATTTAATTTAGTGTAGGACGTATTCATCAGATCAGTTAGGGAATTTAAAATTAGTATTCATCAGATCAGTTAAAGGGAATTTTAAATTAGATCTTGTGAAGTTAAGGTTTAAAAACGACCGATTGAACGACTCCGTGCTTGGCAGGTACATCAACGCGGTTCTATCTTAAATCTATTTGTTAGATTCAAACGCATTCAATGAATAGTTATCTAAGCATTACACCACATTACCTGCCATGGTTAACCCTCCATAAGTCGCATGTGAGAACTAACAACAGAAACAAGCTTTGGACACTTAATGATATACGGCGATGTCACCTGGCAGGGAAACGACACCTTAACAACTTATTGTTTGATACCAATACAGTACCCACAAACAAATAAGTCACTGTGCTTGTCAGGTTCAGTCTTCAGCATTTTTCTTGATTATTGCTTGCATATTCAGTTTATAGTAGATCAAATTTGATACTACAGTGACCCCCTCTTATTCGGACACCTTTAAAAAATACTGTATACAGTATGCATTTTAACGATACGTCTTAACAAGTTTTTGGGGACGTCGGTTTAACCGGAAAACCCGTTATCCGGACTGGACTCGGTCCCGAGTCCAAATAAGAGGTAGTCTACTGTAATAACAATACAGATCGTCACTGCAAGGGTTAGTTAACTTGATCAACTTTCTTGGAGATATTTTTGAGAGTAAGAGAATGTCAAAGCCATAATTTTCATTTTGGGTTCTTGTTTCGTTGGGAATTAAGTTTTAAATCGTTGAGATTGCTTCAGTACAAACAGCTGAGGAGGTTTTAAACACCGCTGGGAGCGCCATGTAGTTACGGAGGGTCTATATTTAATTCTTTATGTCTATTATATAGGTCAGCTGTTTGATCGTCAGTGTTACTTTTTAACATCTTACTAAACAGTGCCCACAAAACTGACTTATATAAATTCCACTTTAACTCACTGTACTTCCCGCCAGTACTTCAAGAATCCTCGATATTTCCACAATGATTCATTTAATGCTTAAAATATGTATAAAGAATTACTAATAGTTTCTATATGCAGGGAATGGTGTAAAACACAATAACGTATTGATATTCAGGATGATATTCACAATGAGATTAGCAAAAACCCTCTGATGTACTGTATGTCTCCGTTGTTCATGGAAACATTATTATTGACGGCATAATAATGAACATCCCCGTGGTCACTGGACCGCAACATTGTCTGCCGCAGTCACTGCCCATTATCATCATTTGCCGCGTTTACAGAAACTTTATTATTGCAATATGCGATCACAGTAAAATCATGAATATCTCCCACCTCCATATGGGCATCATGGTTGTCTTTTGTGGTCACGGAAACATTATCAGTGTCAATCACGATCGGGGCAAAATCTCAAATACCTATCAAGGCATTTGAACACCATTAACGTCTTCAGTGATCACAGCAAAATCCTAAAAATCTTTTGTGTTCAGATTTAATCACCGCCCGCAGTCAGGATTGCTAGTCGGTATAGTATTAAAACCCTAAATATTTTTTTTAATTGGAATTTTAAAATATATATGGCAAGCCCCCCTCTCCCCCACCCACAAAAAATTGAAAACCCCCATTCCATTCTTAAACCACTTCCACTGAGCTAAAGACTTAACATTTTTCATAGTTACCAGTCTTTGGTTCAAAACTAAGCAATAATTTAGAAATAGTACAAGAGGTTCTACCTGCGAATTCACGGGTTTACAGAAGCCACTGTTAAATTAATTTAATTAACTTTGACTTTATATTTCATTTAAGGGCCCAAGTTTGAGAAATTGTCATCCGAAAGGATGTTAAAAACAGTGGAAGGTGGCCGAGGTGGGCACTAGTAATGGACAAGACCCGAAACAATGAGATTTTTTCAAAATTTATTTCATCTCGAAGCTTCGGGCGGGATTGAAATACTAACAGGATATTCTCGAGACAAGATAAAAAAAAGAATTTTAAACTGCTAAGTTTTTTTGCAAAACGTAAATTGCAAACTTTTAATTAAAAATAATTTTTTTTTTATTTAAAATGTTTAAAAATTAAATTAAAAAAAAAAATTAAAAAACAAACTTTTAGTTTTAAATGTACAAAAAATTAAATTTTAGTAGAAATTTTAAATAAAAAAAAATTAACACAATTTAAAGTTTAAAAAGATTTAATTGCAACCTTTTAATTAAAAAAAAAACGTTATATTAAAATATACAGCAAATACTTTGCTAAGTTTATTTGCGAAACGTAAATTGCAAACTTTTAATTCAAAATTTTAAAATATTTTCATTTTTTAGAAATTTAAATAAAAAAAAATAGAATTTAAAAAAGATTTAATTGCAAACTTTTAATTTAAAATTACATTTAAAATTTTAAAAAATCAAATTTAAATTGAACAAATTTAAAATAAAAAAAAAATTAAATTAAAATATAAAACTTTTAATTTGAAATTTTTAAATTTTTAGACATTTAAAATAAAAAAAAAACAACAAAAATTTAAATTAAAAAAAAAAATAAAAAAATTTAAAATAAAAAAAAAAATTAAAATATTAAAAAAAAACTAAGGTTTCTTTGCAAAACGTAAATTGCAAACTTGTAATTTAAAATTTTAAATTTTTTAGACATTTCAATTTAAAAAAATTAAAATTTAAAAATTTAAATTTAAAAAAAAGTTTTTAATAAAAAAAATTAAACTTAATCTTAAGTAACTTAGATTTTAGAAAAATTGAAAAAAACATAAATTTTAAACCTTTAATTAAATTTTTTTTAATTTTTAGACATTTAAAATTTAAAAATCAAATTAATACTGTTGTTTTTCATATTTTTTTATGTTGAACTATATACTAACTGACATCTCCACGTTTCAAATGCCAAAGAGTTATTTTTAATAAGTTATGCCTTATTCATATTTTTTATATACTGATGTTTTTATTAATGTTTTTTAATAAAATATTTTAAATATTTTTGTCTTTTTTTGCCAAGTTTTTTAAACTTGTAAATATTTCTGAACTTAAAAAGTACATATTAATTTTTTTATAACTTTTCATTAAATCCCGTCTAGCGGGAATTTAAAAAAATCTCGTCTTGCCTCGTCTTGAAATGAAAAATCTTGTCTTGTCCATCACTAGCGGGTACGGTTGTACCTGAACTTGCGGCTCTCTTTCACAATGTCTTAAATACTTTTCAATGAAATGGCAACCTGTTTAAGATTGGTGACAACCTCTTGGAACGAACAACATACATGGTTTGTTAATCTCATATTCATCGTGTTCCGAACACCTTTTATCACTCACTTGTATCAAACAGCTACAAATCATTTTATTAAGTTACATTTTACTAAGTTACATTTAGCTTCACTGTCCATTCACCACACCTCTTTTAAGAACATAAAAGTAAATAATAAAATAGGTAAACAAAAATGTAAACAAACTATATTGTCAATTGTATTGGCCAGCTGTTGTTCACTAAATTAATCGAATATAGTTCAAAACATGCAATGCGCAGCCTGTGGAGCAGAGCCCTTAGGGAGTTCGTCAATAACAACACTTTTCAGGAAATCTACACACTCTAAGCTTCATTTTGATATGCCATATGCCTATATTTCTATTTGGTAAATGGCCTTAACCGTTTACATAAAATTTGATTATATCACTTTTAGGGATGGACGGGATTGAATTTTTAGTTCGGGACGGGACGGGATTTTTATTTCCTTCCCGATTTTCGGGACAGGATGGGACGGGATTTTTTTCTGTGCATAAAAAGAAAGTACTGTATTGCAGTTACCAAAAAAGACATACAAAATCAATTTTTACTATTTGTGGCACTGATCTATAAAAACCAAAAAATGGGTAACAATTTACAGGTACCTATAGAAACTTGTGACTCGCGGGTCACGGGGCGATCGTCTGTATGACTCACGTTCAACGGTCATGGCGCGATCGTCGTCATGACTCGCGGTCACGGCGCGATCGTCGTTATGACTCCGCGGTCACGGGGTTATCGTCGGTATGACTCCACGGTCACGGCGCGATCGTCGTCATGACTCGCGGTCACGGCGCGATCGTCGTCATGACTTCGCGGTCACGGCACGATCGTCAATATGACTCGCGGTCACGGCACGATCGTCGGTATGACTCGCGGTCACGGCACGATCGTCGGTATGACTCGCGGTCACGGCACGATCGTCGGTATGACTCGCGGTCACGGCACGATCGTCGGTATGACTCGCGGTCACGGCACGATCGTCGGTATGACTCGCGGTCACGGCACGATCGTCGGTATGACTCGCGGTCACGGCACGATCGTCGGTATGACTCGCGGTCACGGCGCGATCGTCGGTATGACTCCGCGGTCACGGGGTTATCGTCGGTATGACTCCGCGGTCACGGGGTTATCGTCGGTATGACTCCACGGTCACGGCGCGATCGTCGTCATGACTCGCGGTCACGGCGCGATCGTCGTCATGACTTCGCGGTCACGGCACGATCGTCAATATGACTCGCGGTCACGGCACGATCGTCGGTATGACTCGCGGTCACGGCACGATCGTCGGTATGACTCGCGGTCACGGCACGATCGTCGGTATGACTCGCGGTCACGGCACGATCGTCGGTATGACTCGCGGTCACGGCACGATCGTCGGTATGACTCGCGGTCACGGCACGATCGTCGGTATGACTCGCGGTCACGGCACGATCGTCGGTATGACTCGCGGTCACGGCGCGATCGTCGGTATGACTCCGCGGTCACGGGGTTATCGTCGGTATGACTCCGCGGTCACGGGGTTATCGTCGGTATGACTCCACGGTCACGGCGCGATCGTCGTCATGACTCGCGGTCACGGCGCGATCGTCGGTAGGACTCCGCGGTTACGGCGCGATCGTCGGTAGGACTCCGCGGTCACGGCGCGATCGTCGGTAGGACTCCGCGGTCACGGCGCGATCGTCGGTAGGACTCCGCGGTCACGGCGCGATCGTAGGTAGGACTCCGCGGTCACGGCGCGATCGTCGGTAGGACTCCGCGGTCATGGCGTAATCGTCGAAATGACTTCGTCTCCTGCGTTCGCGGACCTATCTCTCGCAATAACGGCGTTATCGGCACTCGCGAAGCGGAAAAATCGCCGACGATCGGACCAAATCCCGTCCCGAAAAATTCTCGAGTCAAATGTAATCCCGTCCCGATAATCGGGAATATTTTTTTCCCGAAAAATTCCCGAAATTTCGGGACCCATCCATCCCTAATCACTTTAATAATATAATAGATACACAAAAAAAATATATATACTAATTAAAATGGGTTGTTATTATTTTAAAACATTTTATATCTTTTCAAGTGGCTTTAACTAAATGGAGTTGATTTTACTTGGTGTAGCTAAACAATATCTAAAACTTTCTTTGCTGATTTTGTTTAGTTTCATTAATCAATAAATTGCAAAGACAAAGACAAATTTAAATGTCATTGGTTGAATTGTTGTTTTATTTTATTGGTAAAATTTATAGACCTATGATGCTCAGAATAATTAACGAACGATTTTTGATTATCAATCACTTGTGTCTGTACTCTAGCCATTTATTCATCATAGCATCATTGATTCTACATACAGAGAAACTGCATGCTAATTTGTAGTGAATATAGAATATGTTAGCAACAAGGACATTTACTTGAATGGAGTGTGTCTTTGATTTTGTGAGGGGTTTTTTAAGGCATTGTCAAGCAACTTTCAATAAATGTCTATAGTGGCAGTTAGTTTTGGCGTGCGGACTCTTGTGTACTAACCGTCCCGCACGCCAACACCATGAGGACAGCGCTGAGGCGCTGAACAACCCCCAGAGAGCCGTGTGGGCCAGATGTTTTTGGAAATGAGCAATAAATACTCCCCTCTACACCCCCCGCCATAGTGCAGCCGCGCGCCTAGACTAGCTGCGACTACTGTACTTAACTTTTAAACTTTAAAAAAACATTTTTGGTCATTAAGGCTATGAATAGCCTTTGAAGGCCTATAAATAGCGCTTATCGAAATCTAATTTTTTGTCTGCCGGTATTAACACAATATAATAAGTAATAGGTTACACTGTCATACCGGACATTATGTTGAAATAGAAGTAAAAGTAATAATTTCACTTTCACACTAAGTAAAAATATGAATGGATACATTGTTGATGCTCAGAAAGCTATTAACGAACGATATTGAGTTATCTATCATTTGGGGTCTGTACTCTAGCCTTTAATTCATCACAGCATCATCACATTCAGGTTAAGAAACATCCAAACCAAGCTATTTTACTCTGGGTCAGGTCTAAAATACTTTGTTATGATTTGGAAAGTATTAATTTTGAAACATATTAATTGTAACACTAGTCACTTTAATAATATTGTACATTATCTTTTGCAATGGCGGAGATAGTGAATATTTTCTGCTGACACAGCAAATTTTAGCAAAATTGTTAATATCTTCTACGGTCACAATGAAATTAAGAATATCTTCCAAGGTAATGGTAGGTATAATTTTTATACCTTAACATTTAGTAGTAATGATGAAATTGTTCCAACACAGAAAAAGAGGGAACATCTTTCTCTTCCACAATCACACCAATTCAATAAATATAACATGATCATGACAACATTTTTATCTGTTGAAAAAATATGATCTCTGCCCGACTCGAAAACCTAACCACCCTTACACCTATGACCCGCCCTAAAAATTTTTACTGGAGCTTGATGAACCAAACCCTTGAGCCATCGGTGGTCCACCCAATTCGAAAATATCGGGAGACTCGCAGACTACTAGTTTGAGATTAAAGATTTTGTCAAAACACTCACCATAAGATCCATAGCCTGTCTGCTGAGAAGGGTAGTTAGGCCCCCACTGCGGGGGTGCCATCTGCTGACCCTGGGGTCCTGGTGGGGCTCCCCAGTTCTGGTAGCCTCCTGGTCCTGATGGTGTTCCGTAGCCTACAAACATATCTTCATCAGCAACACTAACCTATACCCTCATCTGTGACCCTAATATTTAATGATTTGATTTAGTTTTAACTTTGGGGTGACTGTGAGAACCTCATCAAAAAGCAGGATTTAGGAGTATTGCAAAGCACAAATCCTTTTTAAACCAAAGGCCTTAACAGTTTTTGACAACTGCCTCAAAATGGGATCCATGTTAAACTCGTCTGAAAAAAATGAAACTTTGAAATTAAATGAATCATAATAATGAGGTGCAACAAACAACATTTTGATCCAGGATGACTGAACTACAAGGGTTTTGTTAGAGCTCTGGTCTGTAAAACCTTATTAAAATCGAGTAGTAAATTTTTTATTTATTTTAAAGCCAATTAATGTACTTATGTTGTTCCAAATATTTGTCAGTGACTGGAGACCAGGGCCCCAACAGTTCTAAGGGTTCACTACTTCACACGAGACTACTCTAAGACACCACAGGCTGGACCTACCATTCATTGGAGGTTGGTTTGATGGGCCCCATTGCCCTGTAATAATAAACCAATCCGTCAGTTCCTGTACCCTAAAATTATCAACTACTTTTAAATCAGCTCTATTAATGTTAAAATTTAGCCGATTTATGTTAATATATACTCAACAATACTGGTAAATAGAACTGACATTTGTTGTTAAACCAAAACCAGAATAATGCTATTAACCATTTTAAAATTGTAGGCCTATAGAATGTGACAAAATGGCTACTACATTTTGTACAGCCAGTCGGTCTGAATGTCTCAAATATGGGGTGTATACAACTTAAAAATCATTTTTGCAGATGACCATCTAAAGGTACAATGTGACTTAGAATCAAATCAGAAGAACAATTTTTCATCAACAACCTTTGACATCCAAAATCAGGGCCAATTATAGAAACAGATTACCCATGGTTGTCTCATTTAGTATAATAACATCTCTCCAGGCAATTTAGTAATATTGTACCACACACACATTAGATAATGTCATTATCTTTAGATAAGTTGCAGCCCAGATTAATATTTATAATTTTAAATAGAGGTGTGTGGGTGCCCAGAAAATTGGCTGAGATATCTAAATCCGACCCGAGTCCAAATTTGATAGCCAACACAATCCGTCAAATATCCGACTTTATATAGACTATACACATTTGTAAGTTGTGGGCTGAAAACTACATTTTCACTTCATTACCATAATTAGTTTCCCAGGACGTAATTTCAATATTACCTACGTTATAGCGATCAACCAGTAATCGTTTATTAGCGTATTTGTCGTGAAAAATAAATCAAATCAACAAACAAATACTGTAATAACACTAAGTAACATGCGGTGCTACTTTACAATGAATCAGGAACAAGGCAGTTATTTTAATACGTACATTAGACATGTTTATTAACACATTAGACAGGTTAAAAAAGTGCAGTTGAGCTCAAGATTAACAAAGTAACGCCAAAAGCTAACTATTAACTTTCTATTAGATTTTTTCTAGAGTTTTACTACAGCCTAGGCTAAATATTTATGAACTCGAAGAAGCCATATGATGTACAGTAGAGTCCCGTTAGTCCGAAATGGTTGGGACCGGGCCCATTTCGGATTACCGAATATTTCGGATTAAACGTTTTTTTTGTTTTTTTTTTATTTTTTTAAAATTTTAGAAGAAAAAAATTTTTACTTTTTTGAAATTTTTGAAAATTTTTTTTATTATTTGAAATTTTTTGGGATTGTTTTTTAGACTACTTAGACCTAGTGGCTGCAGCATTATCACTTCATAAAATCCATTTGTGATTTGGGGGGATTGGAACCCTGGACGAATATAAAAAATGTTAATAACAAAAATTGTGAAATATTTAATAAAATACTCAACAAAAAAGTCTATCTTGCCCGGCCGCTACAGAATACTTTGACGAGATACAGCTAACTGTGTTAAAAGTTTAATAAACAAAAATTTAAAAAAAATTCCTAAATAATTTCAAAAAAATTTCAAGTTTTCAAAAAAATTTCAAAAGTTTTAAAACAAATTTCAAAAGTTTTCAAAAAAATTTCAAAAGTTTAAAAAAAATAAAAAAATTTTCAAAAAATGTTTAAAAAAATCAAAAAATTTTAAAAAAAATTTTAAAAAATCCAAAAAAAATTTTTAAAAATTTATTTTTTGGTTTCGGATTAAGCGGACTTTCGGATTACCGAAGTTCGGATTATCGGGACTCCACTGTAATACCGAAATTGCATTTGGTCGTTTATCGGCAGTTTGCTTATGCTGGACCAGGGTGTCTAGAGCGTCCCATCAAAATTAAACTCAAGAACAATTCCAGGTTTACCAAGTTCAAACTTAAAAATTACCAACACAACACTTGCTGCTTAAAATAAGCACAACTTCTTATTTATACCAGCTAGGGCATTAAAACCTCCCTTAAATGACCAACAATAACTCTACATAACAAATAAAAGTAACAATCAAAACTAGAAAACATGTATCCTTTAGATACTGACGTCAAATAAATACCAAAAAAACTTTTAAAAAATATATAAATGGTGACATTTAAACTGACCAATAACTACCCAATGACAAAAAATATACATATTTCACCTTGTACAAAGCTATTGTTCTTTAATTATTTGCAAGCTTATTCATTTAATAATTCAATTTTTATTTTGGTTTTTGGTTTTGGTTATGGTAACTACAGATAATATTAGAAGTCAGAAATTTAAAATCTGATATCCTAGGCCTAATCCTAAGAATTTAGTCACAAACCAAGAGCGCCATAAGTTTAGATGTGATAAAATACAACAAAGAACTTTCTGAAATAATCGGTTGTTGCTGATCATTTATTTGACTTGAACTTTGGTAATGAATAAGCGGGAAAAACAACTAAAACTAGGAAATTCGGAAAATGAAAATTTGTTTAAGGTTACATTTAAAAACATATCTTAATGTAGGAAATATTGCAAATAGTGGGAGTTCAAAATTGGTTTTAGTTTTAGTTTTTGGCATTAGCATTATTAAGGTAGTTTTAATAGTTTTGGGACTGTAAAAAAGCGTGTAAAAAGATTTTCATTAATAGTGATGTTCTATTTTACTAAATGGGGATGTATACTATTATTATTTCTTGTTTGCCAACTTTATGAGTGATGCCACAAAATATGATCTATTTTTAACAAACTCTTGCTTGTATTGTTTATATGCTGGTATTATAATAACCAAAAGGAAAGTACAAGAGAAACAGATTTATTCCACAACACCACACTAAAGCATAGCTGAACATGAAACACACATCAAAACAACAAGAGTTTACAGCCTTCTTGCAGTATCCTACAATGGTCCTATGGTTCAACTTTGGTTAGGAATAAAAAAATCTATCAGAATGGCGTGAATGGAAGAAATTTTGAAGAGACAAACTATTTATGCCACCAAATTACTCTTAAAAAGATGCACACAATTCTAATTCAGTTTCTTGCCTTATCAACCAACTGTTGACAACATCATAATACGGCATTTACATTCATTTACTGACATTTTAGGCAATGAGAAACATAAGAATGAGCATGAAAGATAAAGAAAAAAAATCCCAACCAAACCTGATTTTTGCTAAAGAATGAAAACACTTAAAAATGACAAAATGTACTTAACTTAGCATTTGCAATAAAAAAAGTATTTAAAAATAGCTACCGGTAGTTAAAATTGTTTATTAATAACATATTTTTGTTTTACCAAATAACATCAGGATTAGGGATGAAGGGGTCAGAACTGAATAACGCTCTGCAAGAACGCAGTATGAGATTTGGTAACAAATGTTTAGGTCTTAATGATGCAAGGTTTTTTCCCCAGCAAGGCTGTTCAGTTTGCCAAATCACCAAACTTGAACAAATGACAGTTTGGGTCCAAAATGGCTCAAAAAACTTGAAACCAAGATGTTACCAAGTGTCGTCTGCTCGTCTGCTCGTCTGTCTCGTCATCGCCTCATCATAACAGCTCATATTTATTAATTTTGAAATCCAATTTGGCACAATAAGACAATACAAGCAAGCCATGAAGAAGGTTATTACCTGGGTATCCTCCGGTCTGTGGGGTGGATCCCCAGCTTTGGTAGCTCTGCATCATGTTGCCTGGACCCATTGGTCCCATACCTCCCATGGGGCCTCCCATCTGGCCACTAGGGGTACCCATGCCCATGCCCTGCAAAACATACTACTTGTTAAAACAGCTACTTCGCGAAGAGTTCAACCAACTTTCCTGTAAAAATAACAAGTCCAGGGGGTTGTGAGTACACCCTTAAAGGTTATACACACATCACTTATACGACATCATAGTAAAAGTTCTTCATAGACCATTCGATTATATGAACCCCAGTTATCCGATTTGATCTATAGTGAACTAATAGAAATAACAATAAATAAAATAACAGCAGGAGTGCTTGAATTGATGATGGGTTGATTCATGACTATGAGAACATGAGCTCTTAAGTAAAAGTCAGCTGTATTCCTCCTACGCGATATTTCCAGTGCAAAATCTCAACATTAAAATGAGTTTAGTATGTTTTTAAAAGAGGAACTGTATTTACTGTACTCAATTTCAATTATGTAATTTCAATATACTTTTCAAAGTTCTCTACTGGTATGCGATGTGACCTTTTTGGTGAACCTGTGAACACCTCGACTTTTTATAACGTTCCCAAGTTAGCTTACTGAAATCAATCCCTCCCCCCCCCCATAAAAAACCCTTGAATAATAAAGAATTCAGTTAATACATCAATAATTATTCAAAATTATCATGTTAACTCCTTTAAAATAATTCTTGTGGCAGTGCATTACGCCTAATGCTGTTCAGTCGCCAAAATCATCAAACTACAGTAGTAGTTTTATCAGTCCCAAAGTGGCACAAAAAACTTGTCACCAAGTTGAAACCAACAAACATTTACCTGTCAGTCTCGTCATCGACTCATCATAACAGCAAAGGTTAATTGCCTGCTAACTACCTTACAAATAATATCAGTAAATGATAAAGAAAATTACAATTTGTTGTTGTTGTTTAACAAATTATTTTTTTTTTACACATACCAAAATCTTTTTTTTATAATTCCCTAATAGAAATCAATTAATATTGGTAAGCCAAATTATATGTATAAAATATAAATAATAAAATAAAGGCTCAATAGAGCAATAAGATACAATCAATTGACAAATAATTGACTATTCATTCACTGACATGGAAAAAGCACAACTATCGACAGCTCTAGATTAGTACATTTATAGCTCGAAAAATAAAATTCCTTGGTTAAATAAATTGTACTAAAGAAGTGCTTTGTCTGTGAATAAAGTCACTTTCAACAACTCCACGTCAGTCTCTATCCAGGAACTGTAATTTCTCGAATAGTAAAACAATCTTCCTAACATAATCATTCGATCGCCAATTAGTTCCCAGGCCGTTGTCCAATCAGTATGTGAGTACAATGAATACATTTTAATTTATTTGATGGGTTTTATAACTAATCTTTTGTTGCATTTCTATAAAAATACTTGTTGACCCAGTATCAAATGTAAAAAATTCAGATCCTGAACGAGTAAAGATGTTCCTAAATAAATATTTATAGATAGTACTGATGTTCTCCATACCATTTATGCAATTCAGTTTTCAACAACATTACTATCTAATTTTAATATTTTTTTAGTAAAATCGTGTATTTTGACCATGAATGAAAAAAAGACAATTGTAAATTGTATGGATGCCATATTGAGGTGGGGTATGCACAAGTTACAATTGTTTTAAACATGTACTATCTTTGCATAAGTAGACATAAAACTCTATTTAAATCAGTTATTTATGGGGGGGACTGGAAAACCGATTAGAACAACTGAACTGAAACCGACCCATCACTACTAACTCAAGTTTGATTTCTAGTTCTTCATGTATAAAACAAACTAAATCTTTTAGAACAAACAAACCAAGACCTAACCGATGAAATCAGCAAGTGACCCAAAACTACTTTGAACTCAAGTATGATTTCTATTTCTTTATGTACAAAAAAAACTGCAAATGCAAAAGATTTCTTACAATCCTAGCGATTAGCATGGCTTCAAGTTAAAATACCAATTAATCCTTCGCATACTTAATAGGAATGATACAACAGTTGAGAAGCGGGAGGGTCAATGTGGTTTAGCACGGGGCTTTGGCTTTGAGGCCCTGAAACCAAATCCCACCAATCACCAAAATGGCTTAAAGAATGTGATAATGTCGTGACACTATGGGCCTAGTCCGCCTAGTGTATTGTAGGCTAAAGCTTAGTGTCCTAGAACAATGTTACTTACTCCGCCCATAGCCATGTGTCCAGCATTCTGTGGGGGGCCCCACTGATTGGCCCCAGAGTTGTCATTCATCTTGCTGGAGTCTCGTGGCTCTGCCTTCTTGATCTCAACCTGAACAAAGTTGAATATTGTGAACCTACAATGGTCCATCACTGTGCATAAAGATCTTGCGTAACAAATGATCAACTCTGAATTTATCTTTATCGTTTAAGTCTAGAATATGTAATGGAAAATCTTTGTTGTTAATTTGTTTGAAATATAGCAACTTTATAAACTGTGTCATAAAATGTACATAAGATGTATTGTCAATGATTAATTTATAATTTCGCTTATTTTATCATCAGGAGGTTTAACTTATAAATTATCTTTACTTTAGCCACAACTTGTACTTAATACACAATTTAAGGCTCAGAGTTAATCATTGTTGATGGACTTGTAATGAATGATATATTTTACAACTACAAATATGTGACAGAGATGATAGGTTTTCTGATAGGTATTGAGCAGCTATCTAGAGATGTACTAATTCTTATATTTTATTTTATTTTACATGTATTTAAATATCATTTTTACTTCTTTTTACAATTATGTCTACCAGTTGCATAATTGGGACAAAGATATATTTGTTGAATTGTGTTCTCTTTACAGTACAACCCCACTAATCCGTCTCCTACGTTACCTCCTATTCTACCATCATGGTCAGAACAGTGAAAAGGTCAAATTAACCCAGGTGCATATTAATTGCCCAAATTAATTGCTTACCTGACATCTATTGAAATTAATTAAATTTACACATCTAAACTCTTAAGTTTCAATTTATTGCATTTAAATTTGCATTTTACTACATTAAATCTTAAATACTGTAAAAGTTAAATGGTAATACTCACGTTCAATCATTCAACCTAAATAAACAATTTGATGAGCAGTATTGAAGTGATTTGAAAAACAATAGAGAGATAGAGCTTTTACGACTGTAATGTAATCACGGAAGACAATGACGATGCCTCTGTGGGTGCGTGAGACGTTCAACATTTTACCGCAACCGCAGGGACGATGAACATGTCTACCGACTGCGATATACGTCCTGGATTTTGCCACTATAGAGGCTAACAATAGTTATGTTCAAACACTTCTGGGATTTGAGTAGGACTTTGGCACAATCATGGAAGACGATGGTGTGTTTTCTAATACCGCAGGAAATATTCAAGAGTTTGCCGAGATCACAGATAACGATAAAATTTTTATCAACGATGATGATGTGCCCACGAGTTCAGATTTGTAGACAATAATGTTTCTGTCACCGCAGATGTCATACATATGGCCAAAATTGTTGAGAATTTCTGTGATCGTGGCTAAGAAGATAACATTACTGTGACTATGGAAGATAAACAAAGCTTTTTGCGGCAACTGTGGGATATGCGATACCCAATATAGCGATGGCATGGTCAAATTAAACGAGGAGATTGACTAGCCTAGGTTGGATTAGCGAGGTTCTGCTGTTTTATTTTCTGTTCTAAAAATTAAAAGTAATTACTTACACAGTCTGCAAGTAATAAATTTAAACTGTTTCAGTTATAGTTTTGGTATGTAGTGAAACAAAGAGGGTTATTTGGTAAAATAGTTAGGGTTAAAATTATGCTATTTTAAAAGTTTGGTCTGGGATAGGCCTAATAGCTTTTAAAATTTTAATAATTTCTAGAATAACATGTTATAATTTGTAGGACACAATATAAACTTAAGTAAGATCCATCACCAAGATAGCTTATTACTAATGAAATCAAAAACGATTAAAATTAAAAATAAGGGCATAAAACCAAGTAAATATATCCCAATTATAAACACTTTCCTTGAATTAGAAAAAGTATCGACTGACACTAGGCTCAAACTTAATTTACAGATGGAATCTAGACTAAGAATAAATAGTTTACTAAAAACACAAGGAAGACAAAACTTTTATATATTTTATGATTTAAAACTAACTAGGCCTACAATTTTTAAATTTGCATTAGGACTATTTTTCTCAATAATGAAATTCTGTATATAAAAATTAATGCACATCAGAATAAATTAACCTTGTAAGTTATTCTAAACATAACCCATTAAAATTACAACAATAAAATACTATTGAATCATTAAACAAGGATCCAATCTTGTTTTATGTTATTCTACTAACCAACTGATGTTTTTTTCTTATTTAGGCTACCGGTACTTCTAATGCTTACATATTTAGTAGGACAATATTTTATTTTACGAGTAATTTAAGTTATTCTAACTGGACATATATTTTATTAATTCTAACAGACTTAATCGTAAAAAAATACACTATGATTCAAATTGTACCTACAAGTTAACATTGTTAATCTACATAAAATAAAAATTCGGGAACAATTTATAGGCGTATTTCATCAAATAAATCGTTAAAATTATTTTTATCATTTAATCGTTTGAAAGGCAAATATAATTAACACTTGATTTCTGTTTTAAGTAGGTTATTTTTTTATGTGAGTGGATTAATTAAATGAACAATACGATTTCCTTAGAGAATTAAATATTTATTTAAGCAAATTTTATCCTGGCAAACTCAAATAGGATCATTAGTTTTCAGTTGACCCCATTAAAAAAGAGTTATTAGCAATTTTAAAGAACATCTATAGTAAACGAACGGTCTTAATAATAAGCTTCATCATAATGTATTATTTAGATAGCACAGTAAAACTCCAACTTTCTGAACGCCAACTAACTTATGCAAATCGCTGATTATCCGGATAATCAGAGATAATTTTAAAAAAACTGAAAACAACAGTATTAAGAGTTGTTATAAAAAAAAGGCAGAAGCCGTGATCGAGCAAAATCCAAAACCTCTCTTGCGGTTGTGTAGACATCATCATCGTCTCCTGCAGTCAAAGAAACATTGTCATTGTTTTTGGCGATCATGGTAAAATCTTGAACATTTTCTGCAGTCTTGTAGACATCATCGTCGTCTCCAGCAGTCATGAAAACATTATCATTGAGTTCTGTGATCGCTACAAAATGTTTAATATAGCCCATGATCATGTGGACACAGCATCATCTCCCGCGATCATGGAAACTCATCTTTGTTTTTCACGATCGCGACAAAATCTTCAACTTCTTCAGCAATCTTGTAGGCATCATCATCATTTCACACGGTCATGGAAAGTTCATATTTTTCCGCGATTAAGACAAAATCGTGAACATCTGCATTCTTGTAGACATCATTATTGTTCCTGCTGTCCCAGAAACGCCGTCATAGTTTTTCGCCCTTGCGGAAAAATCTTAAAACATCTTTTGAGGTCTCCACCCTTCTCGGATGCGATCGCAGCCAAAGCGTAAACCTTCTGATCGCAATAATAAAAGCTTGGCATGACTCTGCCTATTAACTTTAAAATACCCTAAATTTCGGTAAAAATCCAATCATCCAAATTTTTGATCATCCAAATGGAGTCCCGTCCGAATTGATTCGGATAATTGGAGTTCTACTGTACATCCAAACATCACAGTTTTGTACTTTGTAAAATTGTGCTGTTTTTTTATAGAAAATATGCTTAATTAGGGTTTTTGTAAAAAGATAGTTTTACAGTTTAGTGTGCTTACCAGATGGTGTATGCCGGCACAATGCAAGGACCAAATGCGTAATCAATAATATGTACCCCATGCCAGTCAATTTAAAAGCACCCAGGTAATTGATTTTTCTTGAGTAGAAATTATAAATAAAAAGGTTTAGACGGATAAGAGGGTTGATTTTTCCTAAACAATAGTATCAATGAACAAATTAGACAGAAACCAAAAAACAGTACAAATTGTGCATAAGCCCTGAAAATGAAGACACCACAAGTAGTGTAAAAGCTCGAAACAAAGCGTGTTAAATGTACTGTGGGATTTTCTTGTTAAAGTGTATTAAATTTAGTAGGTACTAAAGAAGTAACTTAAACAAAACATGAATTAATTTTCATCATTAACGGAAAAAAAACTAATTTTCAAGTGATAAATAAAAATGAACTGGGTGATTTACTGATATATTATGTTTAACCCACTCACATTTTTTGCACTCCTGACATAGCTTTTCTCAAAACTCACTTTAAATGAACATACTTCAGTAAAACCTCAATAAAAATGAAAAAACAACCATGTTGGCCAAATAAACTAAAAAAATTCCAATGAAGCAAATGAACATGAATAATATGAGCACACAACCCACAACCTGAAACCCACCTGAAAGATAGGACCAAACTTAGCATGCTTCTGTGTACATGGAACTACGTTAACACTATAAATCAACAGCTGCATCAACAAATCTCTGTTACCAAATTCATATCATACGAAAATTAAAGAATTCGAGAATTATAAGAACTTTATTACTGATACTTATTTTACTAAAATTGTTTAGTATAAAAAATGAAAAGCTTTTATTCTCAGCTTATGCTATAAATATGGTTTCATGAATTTGGTAACAGACAGGAAGTGAAACCGCAATAGAGTGGCAGTGTTAAGTACCTGCTTGCCACTAAGGTTGACGAAATGTTCACTAACGCATCTCTCCACTGATTCTTCATCTTCGAACGACAAAAAGCCGAAACCTAAACACCAAAAATGACGTCCGTTGCTGGCGAGCCTCACTGCTGCCTGCCTAACCTACGCTATGCTACCTTAACTAGATACTTGTAGGCCTACCTATGTAAACTTATACGGATTTACTTCTAACCATTATAACAATCAACCCGACATACCTTATGAGTAATTCTAGTAGTAAGTAACCGCTAGTTTAGAATATTCTGCTAAAAATTTTATATTCTTAAGTTTACCTTAAGTAAAATACTAATTCCAACATAAATGTTAACTGGTAGGCCTACATAAAATTTTGCTATAAAAAATTCAGGTAACGATACCATTTCACATATACATTACTTTTAAATTTTAAATGTAAGAATAATGCTACACCATATTAAGTATGTATATGTAACTTAACATAATGCTAGTGTGGTTTATTAGGATATTTAAGGCAAAACTAATTCAGTCAACCGCCAATAAGGGCCATGCGAAGTAACATTTCAAGGTTTGGATGGCAGCAGTGGATTTGGCCACAAGAATACAAATACTAGTTATTTGTTTAGACCTAAAGACAGACAAACACATATTATTAAATGATTATTATCTGAAACAAATACATTTTTATTACAGCAATCAAGGGCTATGTATAAGACCAAAACATTTAACACCTTAATGACCAAGCAATCTAAGCAGAATACAACCTATTAAAAATACACTCTAAAATTACAGAGTCAAACTATTCTAGAGCTTGTAAACAATTAGTAGATTGAAATAACAGGAGTAGGTTGATATGATAAACATTCATAACTGAACGTATTATATTAGAACCGATGAATTATATTAAATTAATATTAACTTAAAATCTGTAAAAATTAAGAGCTCCAGTAAGCGCTAAAATTAATTTAGAATACGCCTAAGTACATTCTAACAATATTTTACCTAGCCTTTATAACAAATTAATCAAAACTTAGGAATAGATACTTAAGAATTAAGAGTTTTGTTATGTATTATTACAGGATCTTAAAATAAATTTTGATTTTATAATAGCCCATGAATCAACAAACTTAAAAATGCATTATCTAAAATAGAGAATTTCTTATGCTCAGGCGTAGAGTACCATTCTGAAGCGATGCCTAATATGAAATCAAACTCTCCTAATGAAACAATGTTTCATCATTGCTGACCAATCTGTCAGTCAAAAAGAACATTAGCAACCAACACTCTTTAAAAATGACAAATTAGTCAGTAAGAATGAAACGTTCTAATCTGTCCCTTCTCTTAGGAGTGGATTTGATCTCAAAAAAGACATGAAGGACTAACCAACAGATGGTTAGCCAGGGGAAGTGGATTATCTCATTATGATCAACTAACCTAAATTGTGTGCATTAAGCCTACTATAGGACTGAAACTTCAATATCACAAACTTTGATACCTAACATTATTTATTTAATTTCATTTTCACCAAGCATTCCTAGATATTTGACACATTTAAGCATTTCAATCTTGGACAAACACTTTGGTCATTGCACATCTTACCGTTCAGGCATGATGATGGCTCATACACACAGCTTTAGATGCCAGACAAAAGTACTATATTAAAACAGCCTAGCTGAAATTACAATAATTTTTGGTCAACCGCCATCTTTCATTAGAGTTATAATCTAGCTAAATGTCACATTTTAAAATATCATGACCTAATCCAGTGCTTTTCACTCTTTTCGGGAAATTCATGGAAATCAAATCGATTGTTTGTTGTCCAAATGAATACTATGATAAAAATGTTTTATGCCAACTTCAACTACCATAATTGTTGACATAGGCCTATATTTAATATTTTCCAGTTTTCATGCAAGTCAGAATTTGTCAAGACAGGGAAATTCAAATGTCCCACTGTCTATGTTTATTCACCCTATAAATGTCCATGAACAGACTGTTTTCATATCTATAATCCCCTAATGTTTCAGAATGGCAGTCCTGGCCTGAACATTTCATAACAGCTGATCCACTTACCCCTTGATTTCTTCTTCTCTTGGTCATACATGATAACGACTTCCATAACCTTGCCAAAGCGCATGAAGTATGTCCTCAGGTCTGTCTCCGTGACATTGGAAGGCAATCCCCCGAGGAAGACCTTCGGATAACTACTGCTACGCTTTGGTTTTTGCAACGTTCGAGGGTTGCAAGGTTTAGGATCAATCTGGAAAAAAATTTGAATTAGATGTACGGTAAATTAACAATTTCAAAAGTATTTCATTTTAACTTCACTAAAGAAGTTTGCTAGCATACTTGACCTTGATTAAATAAAATATTAACCCTCATAACAACACAAAAAAATTTTTTTTTTGTTTTTGTGCCAGCTAGTATGCTATACAAGAGTAGGCTTATAACATTTAGCAAATTTGAATTTCAAGTCTAATAGAGTATATATAAGGTTTTATTTTCAGTTTTAAAATATCAAACACACATTATTGTATCCATCTGATTAATTGATCATTTATCAAGTGCTGATGCCTCAGAATAAGAGGTGGAATTGCATTAACAACCAAACAACACTCAATTACTAACCAGTTTCTTTCAATCTCGTAACAATAATAAGATGATGAGTTTTTGCAAATGATTTGGATCTTAGCCTATACGTAAACCTCTTTAACACTTTTTTTAATTGATCAAGAACATTTTTGACGAGTTAGTTACATTCATTAACTCACCGTTCTACCATCAAGCTGGTGAGGCCCATTTTGTAGCACAAGTGTGACATTGGCGGGGTCGGCAAAGGTGACAAAACCGAATCCTCTTGACCTTCCACTTTCACTGTTCTTCATGACAACACAGTCAATGACCTCCCCATACCTGCTGAAGTACCTCTGCAGGTTTTCTGTTGATAAATGTACAGCATTAGGTCTCAAATTTAACAATAATAAAATGCCTATAATACCCATTATGCCTACTTTTTAAATGTCTAGGTATTCATTAGATTGTTAGTTTCATTTTTCATGCTGCAGAGAAATTTGAAAGGTAATAAGGCTATTGATTAAGTTGTGCTAGAGGCAATAGCAGTAGGTACACTAACTCAGAAAAAACGTGTAGGACTATTTTTCAAAACCTATTCCTACCGGTACCTTAGAAGTCAAGTCCCACAAATAACTGTGTCAGGTTTGGAGAAGATGAAATTGTTTTAAGTACAGTATGCATATTTTATAAATTTCTTTAATATAAAAAACCAAAACATAATGATCAAACTTTAATACTTTATACTTTACAATGAAATGGCGACCATACAAAGTAGGTATTTTAAGCCAACCGATGTAATGGATAGAATTAATAATCATTAACATTTATACAACTAACACCATACACTTACACCATACCTCTATAGTGGAATTCCTTTAAGGCATGTTAGGGAATTTCTCTTAAGAGTCTTAAGAGGCTAGAGCCATTGGATAATTTTAAACAGCTGCTAAGGAGTTAGTTATTTATTGAATGGAAATATTTTTTCAAACAGCAAATTGATATAATTTAAATATCTAGTAAACTGTGAGATTAAAATCTTCGTACTTTTGAATTGTTCTCAAAGGGAGCCCATAGAAGCTAACGGCCATCTTGGATTTACCCGCCATAAGAGCAATGTTAATAATTTTGTTAATTTCAAACAGCTGCTGAAAAGTTATTTACGATCTCAAAATATTTGTTCAAACACTAGAGTGATTGTAATATAAATATCAAGTAAATTGTGAGAAGATATTTTCTTTGTAGTTAAAAAAAATTGATTTCCGAGTTAGAACGTCTAGCCTCCAAGGCCTTTTAAGGGAAGTGCATTACAATTGCATGCAATTTATAGTTCATAGCATTATACTATATTCCCAAAATATTATTTTGAAATTGGCCTTTTATGCTATTTTACATAAAAGCTGAAAATAGTATTCAGTAATGATAAATTTAAAGAAGATTACCTTGAGTTGTTTCCCAGCTGAGTCCTCCAACAAATAGTTTCCTGCAAGATAGGTTACAATTAAAAATGTTGTTTTTTAATATCTAGGCCTAGTCGTAGGTAGTGCAATAACAATAAATGATATTTTACAGGGATGCTTTGCACGACGTATAAGTGCCACGGCGTCCAAAATATAATTTTTCAGCAGTTTCACGACGTCCCAATTTCACAATGTCCAAGAGTATAGTAACTGCATTTAACATAGTCTTTCTACAAGCTCTGAACGTCATGAGATTGGTCGTCGTGAAACAGCGCACTTTTCTGTCTTAAAAAAGTAGCACCTCCAAAGCCACTGCTAGTTGCACGACATCTAATAGCTCAGTGCTGCCCCATGATGTCCAGAGCGCCTGCACACTGTGAGTGCTGTTTTGCCGTCTGTAGTGCATACAGTACTAACCTAACCTATCTTAACCCTTCCCAGACGGACAAATTTTATGGCCTCGGATGGACGACTTTGATGGCCTAGGACAGGCAATTTAAATTATACGAATAAAAGTGAATTTTCATTATTTGTGTTTTTTATACCTGTAACTTATACATCAAATAAACACAACGGAACCTCTCATACTATCTAAATAAATTTTTACTATATCCGCCACCCATCTTAGGATGAGCAGATAATATGGCCATTTGACAAGGATAGGCAATAAATAAAGAACAATATGTTATTATTATTTCATGCTGCTAGACAGACAACAACTGTAGCTTTTAGCACCAACATAGTCAACGTGGTGTTGCGTGAGCAACATCGTGGGGGTGGAAGAGTGCGGGAGAGGGCGGCCGGTGTGTTGCTTTATTTTTGATATCGTTATTTCATTGTATTTCACTCACTATTTAATTGTGCAAAAACAGTCTGGAAGTTGCGAGTCGGTTCATTATAACCTAACCTTTAACTTACCTAATCTAACCTCACATCAAAGGACTTAATACAGTCACGAATCCGCATAAAGTCCGACCTATCTTCCTCACATGCCTTTTCTGACATAAAATGTGATTTAAACATTAATATTAAGGTTGGGTTGGTTGGGTTGGGTTATGTTAGATTAGATTATGTATGTAACATCATTTATTAGTTGCTAATACATGAAATTATGCACTGTGGCACGTTTTCACTTTTAGGCACAATGGGATTATGTACTATGGGATTATGCACTATGGCACATTGATAAACAGACGTTGAGGAATGAGGACGATCATGTAGGCAGTGGCCTAACTTCTATTACTGCTATTTTACGTGAATTAATTCTATTTTTTTATAATTTATGTTGATGTGATTAATAGTTTATGTATCGTAGTTGATTTATTGTTATTTTCTAAACAGCACCAAAAAGTCAATTTTCTTTTGAAAATCTAGTTATTGCATATTGTAACTCTGATTTTGCTCTCATGGCGTTGTGTGTGGTTTTGTCTGTTTAGTATCGAATGTAAACAACTGACAGCTGTTTCCACTCCACAAACCTTCCACCCCTTTTAGTGTTAGTCGCCACTAGAACTTGGACTCGTCCATACCACAAATATGTTAATAAATCAACAAAACTGAAGTTTAATATTCATTATTTAACTGTACGGCCACTTAGGAATCCCTCCGACAAAAACTTATTGCATTTATTATTGCAAGCATCTAAAAATTACACGATAACACATTGTAGAAATATCAAATAATTACCTACAACTAAGGCGCCTTACAATATCCTCTTTGACAGATTTCATTGTGGTATAATGATACAATAATTCAACCAGTCATAAAAATAAGACAAAGCATGTCTATATCCTAGCACGAGTCACCGCCTTTTTCTGTTTTTTTTTTTTTTTTTACTTGCTGGCGACTGCGGGTGACTTCTTCTCGACAATCGTTAAGTTGGTGAAGAGGCTGTCTGTTCATTCTCGTATCAGCTATTCCTTTCGAAGTTACTTGTTTTAAGTTCGTACTATGTCATGACAAATTCGCGCTATGAAAGCTTGAGTTTGAAGCGTTACATTTACAGTTTTGTAGTAAAATGTGTACATCGTTTTATATATTTCATCGTTTGGCGAGTTGGTTGTGTGCACATTTTAGTTGCATTTAAATATTTTTCTACCTGTTTTAGCGAGCCAAACTTTGTCGTAATTCAAAGGCTAGGCCTGACTTCAGTCCTAACTCTATCATACGCTATCGCAATTTAACCAACTAATACTAAATAGGGAAATTGTAGTTGGTACCGCCCTTTAACGTTTTAAAATCTGTATTGGGACTTTACTTTTGATTTTTAATCATTTTAAATTTAGTATGACAACCCCATGTCCCAGCAGACAGGTTTCTGCTTGCCTAGTTTGGCAAAAGTTTGCTTCAAGTTGTCCATGTGAGGAGGTGCAAGTTTTAGTTTGTTTTTACATTCAAACAGCAGTTTAATTTTCGTTTCAAATTTTCATTTTTTTCCTTTATTCACTGGCAACTTAATCCGACTCTGTGGGAGCTAGGCTAGGCCTATCTTAATCCTTGATTGTTTCAGGTTCTCACGTGAAACCCTGTAGGTAAGCAGGGTGAAACTACATAGTTTATTTCTCATTTAAGTGGTTAGTAGTATTTTAAGTAGGTAGAGATTACCCACAGAGTCACGTTGAAATTATCGGCCCCCCACCAACTCCTCTGACTAGGGTGGTGTCTAGGGACACTTTAGTGGGGGGCTGGGTAGCTGAGTGGTTTTAGTGCTCGCCTAGTAATCAAAAGGTCGCCGGTTCGATCCTGAGAAAAGTTAGTAGCTTTTTGATGGTTCGAAACTGGACCCAGCTGTTCCTGATCATTGGGCTTTAAATAAATGATCCTGACTAATGAAACCGCGGATCTTAGTCAGTAACAAAGCTACACAGGTCATCACACACCATTCTACACTCATCCTTCACTCATATTTGGGTTAAAATACGCACCTAGGTGGCGTCCCCATCTCAATAATTGATTAATTGATTGATTGATTGATTGAGCTCTGATTAACCGACACTCGGTATCAATACTAAGGCTATCATAATCACTATCGTCTCCTGGAAAATCCCAACAACCCGATTAATGCGATTCCTGGGACATTGACAAAATTTTTAAGGTGGCGGAATTTCCCTAGGAACCTCAGAACAGAAATCAGGTCTTACCATGAGTACTACAGTAATAGCTTATTCCCACTTATTGATTGAAATTGCGATTTAATTCAAAAAACCGATGATTCAAATTGGTTGTTTCTTATTTTTCTAACTTACTTTAGATTATTAAAAAATATTTAAAAAAAAACAGTAGATAGCCTAAGTAGGCCTACTATACCTAAGTTTCTTTGCCTAAAAAATATAGAATTTCCCATTTTTACCCATTTGACCAGTGATAGCGTGTTGGTAAGTTGATAGTTTCCAAATAAGTTAAGTTACTTTACGGTATTCTTAGCTAAATTATCGCTAAATGTGCGAAATGCGTTTTTCACCCATAGGCTAGGCCTAACTTATTTATTTCCAAATTTAACTTACCTCATTAAGTAGAAATTAGCGATTAAGGCCTAACTTATATCTTTGGAGTCCCCATAAAATTTTGACCAAAGTGGCTAGCCTATTTTAAAATATTTAAGAGCCTATAAATTATGAAATTTTATTGAGCGCAAAACTAACTTTAATTTTTTTATTTTGTGAAAAACGTTAACCCGACAAAAGTTGTTGACGTTTATTTTTTTTTTTCTATAGGATATTAACCCATTTGCACCGTTTAATTTATAAACCAAAAATCCCAATATCAAGGAAACATTAAAAATAAAAATATATGCTTTTGACTATTTTTTATGATGATTTATAGTATTTTATAGCTGAAAATAATAATAAAATAAATATTTTTATATTATTTTGAATTTTTTATGTATATGTATTTAGGATTAGGATATTTTTATACTAGGCCCTATTTTATATATCTCTAAAAAAAAAAAATAGGTACATATGTACCTGCCAGAAAAAATATTAGGCCTAGACTATTTTTTATTTTGTTTTATAGCATTTTATAGCTGAAAATAATATAAAACTATTAAATTGTATATGTATTTGTATGTATTTAGGACACGTTTTCACTATTTTTCATCCTATTGATAAAAATAGTTAAATAGCTAACTGTATTACTAAATATGGAATCATTCAAGGAAATAATATTTTGTAAGAATAAATGGTTCATTTTTTGAAAAAACCAAATTTTCAAATTTCATGAATGACGTACTAGTACGTCAGCCGTGATACTGTACATCACTGACTTGACGTACTAGTACGTCATCCGATGCAAATGGGTTAAGGCCTACTATTTTCCTAACAAAATGATAGCCTACAAGTCATAAAATGGTAAGTATACTTTAGATCCAATAACGACAACCCAGATGATACGTGGAGGCAAAGTGAGTTGTGCGGTTGTGTTTGGCGATGCCCTTAAAGGGTCGCATACGGAATTTGTGGGTGCAGCGTGTGTTTGTTAGAGTGGCGCCTTTAAAGGGCCACGCCTGAGCAGGCAGATAGTGTGTGAGTGTTCTGCTTATTATTTTTATTGCTTCAATATCCTTGTTGGTTAAATCTGATTAATTACAAAATTTTGTTTTTCTCGTCTCTTTAAAATAATTTTTATTACACCGCATGTTTCTCTATTAATATTTTACACTGCATGTTTCCCTATTAATATTAAACAAAGTCTTTCATAATTGCTCCAACTTAGTCAGAATCTGTTACTTATTTAAGCAATATTTATTTTGTTGAACATGACTGTTTTCCTTGTTATTTATGGTTAATATATAGGGCGATCGTCATTGTTATTGTTTTTGTTATAGGTTATTGTTGTTAGTTACTATATTATTGTTATTTGTTTTTGTTGCCTATGTCTAAGGGTCAAATGTATATGTAGTTGTTATTTAATATTAGCCATCTTGAATCGTACATTGCACTACTATTATATTGATATAGATAAGTTTGGAAACAAATAGCACCACATCAAACAAAATGGAATGTCCGTTGAAATAAAATAAAATAGTGTTTTTAAGTTTCTCAGATACTTAGAATACTTTGATAAAACCATGCGTTAACTTGGTGTTTTGGCATCGATAATGAATATCTAAATATCGATATTTTAGGGCCGATATTCGATATTTTTGCCCAATATTGGCAGAAACTTACCAGTATTGATATTTTTACTTTTTAGCACAATAATTTTTTCATTAGTTATTTATTTTTCAATTTTTAACCCTAGAGCTGACAGTCATTTTACTCTGTAGTGGCAAGGGTTTTATAAGCGCAGCGCAAGAATTTTTTAAAGTACATTTTTAATATTTGTAAATAACTTCTAGCAAACATATAAGGTAAGTTTTATATTATTTTTCAGAAAAAAGCAAGGAATAGGCTAAAATAAAATGTATTTTAATCGTGTAATTATTCTTTCAAATTTTCATTTCTATGTAATTACTACAAAGAGGAAAAAAATTTCTAAATTTATAAAATGTACGGTAACTTTTGTATTTATAAATTCTGATTTAACTTTTAGCAAAGACCAGTTTTTTCTGGATAACGGGTTTTCCGGTTAAACCGACGTCCCAAATCATTAAAACTGACCGTTTAAATGCGTACTGTATTTGTACATTTGACTTAAATTTAGAAGAGCATTGTATTTAGACACGTGATCACTGGTCTCAAATCTTTCCCACGAGAACAGTCGTTTCAGTACCGCCCAATTCCTGCCGATCTAGTCCGGTTAAACCAATGTGCTGAAAAGAATTGTCCAGTTGAAGAGATGCCATTTCCACCTAGTGTAGTCCGGTTAAACCAAAGTCCGGATAAGAGGGAGTCTACAGTACATGGATAAATACTTCTACTAACTTGTACACCACCTGAAAATACACTTCTTTAAGCTGGGTTTTGCTAGGTGCGGAAGCGGAGAAGAGATTAACACGGTGTTCCGCTCCGCTTCAAGGAAAACAGTAATAGCCTATTAAATTACCTAAGACAAGTGGAGTCCGCTCTCCGCGTCTAGTAAAACATGGCTTTACACTAAAACACTAACCTCTGATGAAAATTAGTAGGCCTACCGTACAGATAGCCTAATAAGTTAATGCAGCCGTGCACTGAAAACCTTATACTTAAATTCCGGCGAGCAGAACGCAAACAATTTGTTTTTTCCAGTTAGTCCAAAATGGCCAACTAAAAAATCAGCTGATTTAATAGCAGTTATATTGATCTGTTAGTGCTAAGTTACGAGGTTCGTTTAGGTATATAAAAAGTTCAGAATCTCCACTTTCCAACAATATCAAAATTTTTATGCTTCTGGATAATTTTTATTGCGTAATAACTTGTTTGAATAAAAAATGGCTGAACCGCCAGCAAACGGCGGTTGGGCACTGAGCGCACACATGAAACCGCCGTCTAACTTAAACGGCGACAGGCAGTCCTAGGGTTAAAGTTAGAGACCGATAAGTTAGTATCGATACCAAAGGATCCAAACGCTAACTTAACGATGGTGCAATAAATGGGCCAACATCAAAGACCTTCACCAACTTATTTTAAGTACCTAACAACTTAACCCTCCCGAGTGTCCATAGTTTAGGCCTTAATGTCCGCCTATTTTTGGCGCATTTGCAAGGTTTTATGAAAACGGATCTGAGAAGCTTAAAACAATGTTAATTCTACTGTTCTATATACCATTTTGTTTGGAAAATCATGGGCTTCAATGTTATAGGCTACATAAAACATACATAAGGAACATTTGTTTCAAAAAAAATTTTTAGGTAAAAGAACAAATATTTTGGAAGATTTTCAACAGCAAAAAATAAGTTCGCGCTCAATGAAATTGTATAAATTATAGGCCTATAAATATTTGAAAATAGCCACTTTGTTCTAAATTTTATGAGGATTACAAATATATAATAATATAAGGAAGTAGATTTGCAAATAAATAAGTTATGGGCAAAAAACAGATTTCAGTACATAGCGTTTAGCTAAGAATGCATAGCCTAACCATAGCTAGGAATCTGTCTGATAATTTACATCAATAAGTTATCACTACCTACTTCTTCAGGATCATCATACAGCCCTTCAAAATCACTTAAATCTACTTATAATGCACCACGTATATCACTACTTTTGATTTTTAACACTAAAACAATGATAAACGTAAAAAAAACATCAGTCATCGGTCCGAGGGTAACCTAGCTGTTTACAAATAAGCACGTCAGCTGTCTGCTACAATTACGATCGGCTCGGAGAACATAAAGCGCTTAGAGACAGACCTCTGGAGAAAGCTTAGAATCTAACGAAAAGAACGATACCTAACTCGATCCAGTTCAATCCGATTCAGTCAGTCATAGAGCCTTCGCCGTAAACGATGTTCGTGCGTCGAAAAATCGACGCGTGACACTACACAAAGTGTGTCGTGAGTCGATTTTTCGACGAGTGACGCTCGGAGGGTTAAAGACACTTGGAGGGTTAAGTAACTTAGGCTAACTTAGGCCAAGTTCTGGACTAATAAGTACAAATCAAGTGTTTGTTCGGAACTAGCCTATGAAAGTTGTCAAAAAGGCTTATGACTGATGTTAAAGGCCTATCCCCTAACTTATCATAAAGCTAAATAGGGCCTAAAGCATGAGGACTTCAACTTGAGCCTAAGTTACTTATTGGAACTGGACTGATCAAACATTGCTTCTACATAAACCAGTATTGATTTTCATCATTCACCAGTGAATTAGGCATTATTTAGAGTTCATGTTTGACCCAATTAACTTACAATATCATTGCCACATATGGGGAAAGGAAAACAGAATATTCATGGAGAGTCTAAGTTAATCGATTAAGTTAAATAATCTATTGGAGGAAGGAACTATTAAAGATAGAACTCCTAATTAACTATAATTAGCTAGTGCAAAACATTCTAAACCTAGAAATTGGTCCGTAATTAAAACGCGGTCTCCCTCCATGTTCACCACGTAAGACGAGACTTTCGTCGGCAAACGCCCTGAAAACGCTAAGCTCTGAGAAAACAATTCTGCTAAACTAATGAGAAATTAAGCCATCAAATCATATATACAGTTAATCCTTACCCTTGTTCATCTTCATCCAGCTCGTTCTTCACTCGCATAATGAGAAATTATCAAAAATAACGATTGCCGGTACAAGGGCGTCAGGCAACGTTCCGAAGAGGAGTTGAAGGAGGAGAAAATGGCCGTCACGTATTATTTTCGTCAAGAACCCACGACAGCGCATGTGCGCGGAAGGATATTTACACATTACGTGCGTCATCAATTGAAACACTGCCTTACGAACATTCTTCCTTAATTTAGAAAAACATCCACTTCCTGTGTCGTTTTATACTAAGAAAAATATATAAAAAAATTCTATTATCATTAATATTTTTATGTTTAGGTAATATCTTTGGATGCTGCAAGAAATTACTCATCCTATTGTGAAATCTGAAGATTATATTAGGCAAATGTATTTTTTAAGCTGAGTAACGCTTGAATACATTGCATCAACATAATTTAATTGTATACCTTATTTTCTTATATTAATTGCTCATAATTAAAAAAAAATTGGAATTACATCTAAATTACATTTCATCATTATCACAATAATGTTTTTTCAAATAACATTCCCAGCTGTTTGTCGAAATAACCTTGGTAGGGTTGGCTATAATATATTTAGCCGTTATTGCGTAATGCAATTAAACGATTGTATAGGGCCCGATCTCAATAAAACCTACAAATGTGAGTGGGGTAGTAGATTTTTATCCCCCTGGAATTTTACCCCCTGGGCAAAACTGACCTTTCAAACCAGGGGGTAAAATTCCGGCCACGAACTTTTGAGTTGCACATCAGTTCGATGGATTTAAACGTATATTTTTACGGTTGTGAATTTAATCAGATAAGGCATCAAATTATAAAAACCTAGAGTGTACGGGCCGGAATTTTACTTCCGGACTTTCACCCGAATTCACCCCCTTCATGAGGACAGCTCAAAATATACGGCCCCGATTTTTTTATCCCCGGAATTCCCCACCCCCTGAATTTTTACCCCCTGGACAGATATTTTATGTTACCGTATGAAATAAGTGAGAATGATTAATGATTTAATATAATAGTAAACATTTATTATTAAGTAGCCTATCTTAATCTATTTGTAACCTTAACTAATCAAGCACTAAGCAGGGTTTAAATTTTAATTTTGATATTCGAGTTTCGGGATTCGGGATTTTTGGGGCCAACTGTTGGTTTGTATACAAACATTTAGGTGTCTTTACAGTCTGTAGTCAACACAACAATTAATTGGTGGAATACATTGTACCGGATGCCTACAACTACAACTTCAACAGGTATTTCAATGACCTTCCTCAGCATGATCGGACTATGGGAACAGGGGTTTATGGAGGGTTTTATGGGGCAAAAATTGGTTTCTCCCATTTTTGACCCTAAAAACCTCAAAATTTAACATTTTCTTTCCAAACCATTTTGTAGAGCTTAAAAAACAAATAATTCAGTATATTGAAGCGTTATAATGCGCCTAATGGTTACGGAGAAAATTCCAAAAAATTTTAAATTTAAAATTCCCATGTTATTCTTATGGAGAATAAGTAAACTGTTGTAGTTTGCTTTTTTATGATCATATTTTGATCAAATTTGGAAAATGCATTCATTTCATACTAAACTATTAACATTTTACAAAAAAAAAACACCTTTTTACCCTCCCTGTTGCAGCAAACCTAAGTACTCGTTAAACTAATGTTATTTAAATAGGCGCATTATGCCTAATGGTTACGGAGAAAATTCAAAAAAATTTTAAATTTAAAATTCCCATGTTATTCTTATGGAGAATAAGTAAACTGTTGTAGTTTGCTTTTTTATGATCATATTTTGATCATTGGAAAATGCATTCATTTCATACTAAACTATTAACATTTTACAAAAAAAAAAAACACCTTTTTACCCTCCCTGTTGCAGCAAACCTAAGTACTCGTTAAACTAATGTTATTTAAATAGGGAATAAATGTTATATTTTTAAGGAGACATTTTAGTGTAAATACAATCAGGCAAATGGAAATTCGCTTAGTCTGCAGGTTTGCTGCGGCGGGGGTTTTATTTTTTACTTTAAATAGTGCAAGTAGGTTCCTCACCCAATTGCAGAGTCTGAACCTTGTGTTGATGCAATAGAAACGAGTGCACCAACCAAATGTCTACTAAAACTAACTACTTAACTGAAATTCGGCACATATCAGACAAGGATGCACTCAGGTTTAGGGCATAGCATAGGGTTATAGCTTGCTTAGGATCAGGGCACTTAGGATTAAGCACATGCAGTGGTGGACCTTGGATGATAAAAATTTCCCTCAGCTTACCTTTTCCTTATTTTTAGTTTTGTCAAGTTGAAGCTAAAAAAGTCAAGGGCTTGCTCATTGTGAGTACTGGGAGAGTGGGAGTAATGGGAGGCTAATGAAGTGTTTTTTAGTCAAATATTAGCAGCTTAGTATGAAATCAATTTTCCAAATTTGATCAAAATATTTCCATTAACAAGCAAAGCTACACAGGTCATCACACACCATTCTACACTCATATTAGGGTCAAAATATGCACATAGGTGGTGTCCCCATCTCACTGATTTATAATAGAACAACAACATACAATATCTATCTATCTATCTATACTATTATAAAAAAGAGGTGGTGTCTGTGTGTGTGTATGGGAAAAGTAAACGCGAAAACTACTGGTCAGATCGGGCTGAAATTTGGCATGATGATAGCTCACATTCCCGATTAACATATAGGCATATTTTTATCCCAAAAATCCTTTCGGGCTCCGCCCCAGTGGCTCTGGAGTTTCCCATGTTAACCTTATGAGAAATTAAATTATTGAATCTTAACAGCTGTTTCAATTAAACAAGTTGGTTCTGTTCTGTGATGTTCAATAGCATTAAAGTTACAAGGATTACCAACAGGGTGCAGCACTAGCACTATTATTTCTTTTACATTTATGACAACAGCAAAAGGTGAGTGAGCGTAGCGAACAAACTTCAACCTGGAGGCGAGTGAGCGTAGCGAACGAGCTAACCTGAAGGAAAGTGAGCGCAGCGAACGAGCTCCAACCTAAAGGTGAGTGAGCGTAGCGAACGAACTTCAAAAAGAACCGAAATTTCTTAAACCATGTCCTCACTCATAACTGCTATAAGCATTTGATACTTATATGCCAACCCCGTACGAAGGACGGGTACTCTGCTAGTTCTCCATAAAAATAACATGGAAATTTTAAATTTGATATTTTTCAATTTTCTCCTTAACCAATAACTGTATAAAAACGCTTTGGTATACTAAATTATTTGCTTTTTTTAAGCTCATGAAAGTGGTCTGGAGAGATATCGGGAAATTTTGTGTTTAGAGGGTCAAAAATGAGGAAAACCAATTTTTACCCGATAAAACCCCGCGTAAAACCCTGTTCCCATAGTTCGATTATGCTGGTTCACAAACTCATTCAAGTTTATCTGGCCTTACACCTTCAAACCAAATTTCATAAAAATCGGACAAAAATTACTCAAGACAAACCATGGTTTCGCGTTCATGTTTGTGTATATATATACATATACAAATGTTAACGAATTGTGTTTTTGGCCTCTAGGGACATCAAAATGAAAAAGTATATCGGTCCCGCCTCCAGGTTTTACTGTGCCACCTATGGTAATAGCTACTTCCCTACAGGGAAATTTGCAAAAAAAGTAAAACATTGTATTTAGAAAGATTTGACTTCTTTGTTTGCTCCTCTCAATCAGTGTGGACCTAGACCACATAACCATAGAATATATGAACATGAAAAGAAATCAGGAATACCATAATACCATTGTCAATACGTAGGCTATACATAACCTATAGCAATATCCTCCAAGTGTGTTCAATGCTCAAAGGTATTCATCTGCATGTCCTTTTCTTTTGTACTGTAATTTGCTAGAATATTGTGGATGGCTTGTCATAAACAAATGTTCCTTTGTTAACATTCTTGTAAAACCAGCTTGGCTACTTGGCAACCCATAAGGCTTAAGTGTGAGATTTTAAACGAAACTCAAATTTTTCTAGAATACAGCCTAGTATAGCTCTAATCTCAAGCTCTGAGATATGTAAATATATATAAAATTAAGGAAATCATTAAAGCTGTTTTAGAAATAAATTTTGAGAGCTCCAACTTTACTTGTTTTATAGTATATAGGATACATACAAAGTTTCATTAAATTGGTTGAAAAATATACTTGTAAAAAAACCTGATTTAATAAGCATTTTTGAAAAAAGTCTTACTTAATCTTTTAGTTATTTTGACACATAGAATCATATCCTGGGGCATAGCTATACATAGCCCTGTATAAATTTATGTTTACTGGAAACAAAGAATGAACTTCATACAATTGCAAAAACTTTAATCAGCATACTACAATACCGGTACATGTATGTAAAATTAACAAATTTCAAAGAAACTAACATTTAACACCAAATCACAAAAAACATACAGGAATTATGAGTAGGAATCATGGAATCATAAAATTCTTAGTTACCACCACGGAGGCGCAATACTAAATGGAGTGTTGACTCTTTTTGGATGTTGTAGTCCGATAGAGTGCGTCCATCCTCAAGCTGCTTGCCTGCAAAGATCAGTCTTTGCTGATCGGGAGGAATGCCCTCCTTATCCTGGATCTTGGCCTTGACGTTCTCAATAGTGTCGGAAGGCTCCACTTCCAGCGTGATGGTCTTGCCGGTCAGTGTCTTCACAAAGATCTGCATTCCTCCTCTTAGACGGAGCACAAGATGGAGTGTTGATTCTTTTTGGATGTTGTAGTCGGATAGAGTGCGTCCATCCTCAAGCTGCTTGCCTGCGAAGATCAGTCTCTGTTGATCAGGGGGAATACCCTCCTTATCCTGGATCTTGGCCTTGACGTTCTCAATAGTGTCGGAAGGCTCCACTTCCAGCGTGATGGTTTTGCCGGTCAGTGTCTTGACAAAGATCTGCATTCCTCCTCTTAGACGGAGCACAAGATGGAGTGTTGATTCTTTTTGGATGTTGTAGTCGGATAGAGTGCGTCCATCCTCAAGCTGCTTGCCTGCAAAGATCAGTCTTTGCTGATCGGGAGGAATGCCCTCCTTATCCTGGATCTTGGCCTTGACGTTCTCAATAGTGTCGGAAGGCTCCACTTCCAGCGTGATGGTCTTGCCGGTCAGTGTCTTGACAAAGATCTGCATTCCTCCTCTAAGACGAAGCACAAGATGGAGTGTTGATTCTTTTTGGATGTTGTAGTCGGATAGAGTGCGCCCATCCTCAAGCTGCTTGCCTGCGAAGATCAGTCTCTGTTGATCAGGGGGAATACCCTCCTTATCCTGGATCTTGGCCTTGACGTTCTCAATAGTGTCGGAAGGCTCCACCTCCAGCGTGATGGTTTTGCCGGTCAGTGTCTTGACAAAGATCTGCATTCCTCCTCTTAGACGGAGCACAAGATGGAGTGTTGATTCTTTTTGGATGTTGTAGTCGGATAGAGTGCGTCCATCCTCAAGCTGCTTGCCTGCGAAGATCAGTCTCTGTTGATCAGGGGGAATACCCTCCTTATCCTGGATCTTGGCCTTGACGTTCTCAATAGTGTCGGAAGGCTCCACTTCCAGCGTGATGGTCTTGCCGGTCAGTGTCTTGACAAAGATCTGCATTCCTCCTCTTAGACGGAGCACAAGATGGAGTGTTGATTCTTTTTGGATGTTGTAGTCGGATAGAGTGCGTCCATCCTCAAGCTGCTTGCCTGCAAAGATCAATCTCTGTTGATCAGGGGGAATACCCTCCTTATCCTGGATCTTGGCCTTGACGTTCTCAATAGTGTCGGAAGGCTCCACTTCCAGCGTGATGGTCTTGCCGGTCAGTGTCTTGACAAAGATCTGCATTCCTCCTCTAAGACGAAGCACAAGGTGGAGTGTGGATTCTGTAAATGGATCAAACCAATATTAGTCAGAAATCTTCTCATTAGAATTATAATTAGCCTATGTAAAAAGCTGATAATGGTGTTATGGTTATGTTTAGATTTTTACTGGACAGGCAATGCTCCTAAACTCCTCAAGTTTGGATTGTTAATCCAAGAACAAATAGTGTATGTTAGCTAGCATTAGTTAATTTTAACAAAAAAATTAAAATTTAGGAGAATAGTAGAATATTTTATTTGGTTTTGAAATTTGATTACACAAATAGTCTTATTAGGTTTATTTTTTTTACTTAAGGCAAAGAAATTATGACAATTAAAAATTAATATCTGTGTAGTTTTTTTTTTTTTTTTTTTTTTTTTGTCCTAGGACGCTAGGCACGAGTCTGGAATTGTTTTTCACATTACTTCAGGCTAGACCTAGGGGTTACGGCATTATCACTTGGATAAAATCCATTGATGATTTGGCGGGATTTGAACCCGGGACCCCAGGAACCGGAGTCCCGTGCTCTAACCACTAGAACAGCTCGCTCCCCAATATCTGTGTAGTAGGCCTAACATCAATTAGCATTTTCAGTCATTGCCTTTGCCATTCATCTACAATTTGCTATAGCTGACAGAATACATAGAGGATAATAATGTTAAAAACTATTTTCATATGTCCTAACATGGTATGTGGCATTTTAACATACCCTTCTGAATATTGTAGTCGGAAAGGGTTCGTCCGTCTTCCAACTGTTTTCCAGCAAAAATGAGTCGCTGCTGATCTGGGGGGATACCCTCTTTGTCTTGGATCTTGGCCTTGACGTTCTCGATGGTATCTGAAGGCTCAACTTCGAGTGTGATGGTTTTCCCAGTCAAGGTCTTAACAAAAATCTGCATCCCTCCTCGCAGTCTGAGGACCAAGTGAAGTGTTGATTCTGTAAAACATAAGAAAACCTATAAATAACAAAATAGGTAACACTCTGAACAAATCATGAAGTCAATTGTGTGATAAATTATTTTCTATTGATGATTTGGTAACAAGTTAAACTCCTCCTCTTGTCCCTCGGGTCGGGAGTAATATATATGATAAATTCCACGTTCAGGGCTATGCTCCATGGCCTTTTTACACTTTCCTCAGCTCAGCTAGTACAAACACCAAGGTCGAGATGATCAAAAGATTTGCCATAAAAGTTAACTTTCGTTCTGTAGGCTATTTAGAGAGTTTTGACATGTATCAAAAAATGTATTGATTGTAGCTTATTGTTGCATTCTAGTTGACTGTTCTCTAATTTGTTAATCCTATTTTGATTCATATCACAAAAGGTAGATAACACGTGGAACACGTCTAAATAGGAAATTACATGTTCACATTTAAACCAAACCTATCTGATTATTTCACAACTAATAAAGCACAGCTCAACTAAAATGACTTTTAAACCAAGTCTTATATGGTTGCCTGTAAACAGCAGTATTAAATTGAGTACCTAATCCTACATTTGGAGCAGGCTAATTTGCTATGGTCGTAGAGTAAACTATCACAATGTTATCAAGATTTGCCCCTTTAGTTTATAGGATAGTTATTAATTATTTTGGAACTAAAAAAGTGTGTACACAAACATGTTGTTTGGTTTACATTTTAGTATAAGAGCATGAATTTTAGGTGGACAAGTAGGCTAATAACATATTGTAATAAATATACCCCAGGATAACAAATAAAAATTATTACCTTTTTGAATGTTGTAGTCGGATAGAGTGCGTCCATCCTCAAGCTGCTTGCCTGCGAAAATCAGTCTCTGTTGATCAGGGGGAATGCCCTCCTTATCCTGGATCTTGGCCTTGACGTTCTCAATAGTGTCGGAAGGCTCCACTTCCAGCGTGATGGTCTTGCCGGTCAGTGTCTTGACAAAGATCTGCATTCCTCCTCTAAGACGAAGCACAAGATGGAGTGTTGATTCTTTTTGGATGTTGTAGTCGGATAGAGTGCGTCCATCCTCAAGCTGCTTGCCTGCAAAGATGAGTCTTTGCTGATCGGGAGGAATGCCCTCCTTATCCTGGATCTTGGCCTTGACGTTCTCAATAGTGTCGGAAGGCTCCACTTCCAGTGTGATGGTCTTGCCGGTCAGTGTCTTGACAAAGATCTGCATTCCTCCTCTTAGACGGAGCACAAGATGGAGTGTTGATTCTTTTTGGATGTTGTAGTCGGATAGAGTGCGTCCATCCTCAAGCTGCTTGCCTGCAAAGATCAATCTCTGTTGATCAGGGGGAATGCCCTCCTTATCCTGGATCTTGGCCTTGACGTTCTCAATAGTGTCGGAAGGCTCCACTTCGAGCGTGATGGTTTTGCCGGTCAGTGTCTTGACAAAGATCTGCATTCCTCCTCTAAGACGGAGCACAAGATGGAGTGTTGATTCTTTTTGGATGTTGTAGTCGGATAGAGTGCGTCCATCCTCAAGCTGCTTGCCTGCGAAGATCAGTCTCTGTTGATCAGGGGGAATACCCTCCTTATCCTGGATCTTGGCCTTGACGTTCTCAATAGTGTCGGAAGGCTCCACTTCCAGCGTGATGGTCTTGCCGGTCAGTGTCTTGACAAAGATCTGCATATTTCTGTTGAAAAAATGAGTAAGCTATTGTTATATGTCTACTTTTTGGCGACTGATTAACTTAATTAAAACTAAGCTTAGGCCTAAGTATAAGTTATGTCTCTGGGGAGTAGGTATGTTAAGAGGATAGGCAAGCCCGTTTTTGACCCTGTCAATCGTCCTAGGCACAAGTAATTGTAGCGCCCCTTTGCAATATATTCTAGGCCTACATGGTGTCCACCGACCAGGAAATGCGTGAGATGCGTGAGATATTTTAACCGGGAACTAAGCGTACATTTTTTATTTCTACCTAGATATTTCATATTACCGCGATTGTGCATGACAGCAGCCCACGGGAGACGAGAATACGTTAACAGCCACGGGGGATGATCAAAATCGTGCCGTGATCTCAAAAGACGATGATAATGTTTACTCGACCGCAGGGTAAGATCAAGATTTTGCCGAGATATCGCAAGACGATGATGATATTATCTAAAGAGCCGCGAGGGTTGATCAGAATATTGCTGTGATCACAGAAGACGATCATGTCCACACAGCAGCGGGAAACAGTCAGAATTTTTCTTTTTGATTTTCTTTCTTCTTTTTCTTGTTACTTAGTAAGAGTTCAGTAGGCTATGTATTGCCGTGGTATTACCCTCAAAATATGTGTAGGCTACCGTAAGTTACCCCCAATTTATAAGCTAGAATTTAAATAGAGCGATCGCTGTTCTGCTAACTTAACTGCCTCCCAGATTAAGATAAACGTAAGAACTGTTTAATTACAGTACGGGCAAATGACCTTTGACAGGATTCAACTTAAATATAAAAGTTTCCGGCAATAGAAGTAAACAATTCATGTCAGTTTAGTTGACGGGTGCTTCTATGGGTGAATTGTTACATATTACCTACCTATGTTACATATGAATGACCTATGTCACCTATGTTACTATGTTACATGATGACCTCAAAAATACCAAAAACATTTAGCCTAATAAATAGGGCTAGTTTTTCTTCAGTCTTATATGTTGAAAAGCAGTGTATAACTAAATATTTCGGACCATTATTTTAAGCGGTAGGTTCCCTCATTATTGTTTTTGAAACACCACGGTTTATTTGACAAAAATAAATTAAAGCAAAACAAAGAAATAGCCATCGTTAGCTTCAAGGTCAAGCTATCTGCTTGCACTGACAATCATCTGCTCTTTACACAACTGATGTTCGCTGTGCGCTTTCTATCTCACAAAAGTTTGTGATTGGGTGATTAAGTTAGCCCATGGCAACTTGTTGAGTGTGTGGATGAAGACAAACCAAAAAAAGAATAGAAGAACAAAGAATAAGCGGGGTGTTTTACTTCATCCGGTTATCTTTAGTCTATTTTACGACTGTCATTATTATTATCTTTAAGACTAAGTAGGCCTACTATGATTTTATACTGTTTTACGAGTTATTTAATGTTTTTATCAACATTCTTATGTTCTGAAACAACATTTAGTAGTAGCCTACTGACTACGGTAGCAGTAGCTTGTATGTTAGTAGGTACTAGACTTTCTATTGTTCTGTTCTTTAACCCTCCGAGTGTTATGTGTCGTAAAAGCAACTCATAACACATCCGCTGTAGTGTTATATGTCGCTTTTGCGACTCACAAACACTGTTTACGGCGACGGCTCTGGGACTGACTGAATCGGATTGAACTGGATCGAGTTAGGTAGGCTATCGTTTTTTTCAGCAGATTCAGAGCTTTCTCCTGATATTTGTTCTATACACTTTTCATTTTAGTTCCAAAAATATTGTAGCAGACAGCTGACGTGCGTATTTGTAAACAGCTTGGTTAACCTCGCACTGATGACTGATGTTTTTTATTACGTTTATCATTGTTTTAGTGTTAAAAATCAAAAGTAGTGATATACGTGGTGCATTATAAGAAGATTTAAGTGATTTTGAAGGGCTGGTTGATGATCCTGAAGAAGTAGGTAGTGATAGCCTATTGATGTAAATTATCAGCCAGATTCCTAGCTATGGTTAGGCTATGCATTCTTAGCCAAACGCTATGTACCGAAATATGTTTTTTGCCCATAACTTATTTATTTGCAAACCGAAACCTATAAAACAGTATACTTTACATCATTTTTAAGTTTCTAAGATACATTTTAATAAAACCCTGCGATGCGCAGTAAATGGGCGAACATTAAGACCAAAACTAGAGACACTTGGAGGGTTATCTTACATGATTTATTGCTGTAAGTTACACACAGTGTTGTGTAATTTTTGTTTTGCTTGAGTAAGTTAAGCATGATTTTAAACGTTACAGTTTTTATTAGGGCTACCGGTACTGAACCAAGGTTAATTCCAAGGTAAAGACTTTAACATATCACGATTGCGCAATTACCCTGATTTCACACTTGAGAAAGTACCGTTTGGGTGACGTGTGGGTCGTAAATTTTTACCGTCGGCCGTTTTGTAGTCCGGCCAGTGGTCCGGTCCCGATGTGGCCGAACTAGAGGGAGTCTACTGAACCATTGACTATACTCTAGTAGAGGTGTGGGTAATTATGTCGACCTCCAGTCAACGCTCTAAAAATTATTTTTTTTTTAATCTGTTCGTTTTTTAGTGCTGATTCCAAAAATGATATTCATTCTTTACGGAAACGTCCCGTTTTCCCGGAAAATGGGAAAAACGGGAAAAATCTTTTTTTGCCCAAAACCCATGTTGTGGGAACTCAAATTGTGCAAAATTTCCTCCTGAACAAGAATATGTAATTTTTATTACGATCGGACCACCATTAAGTAAAATATCACCGGAAAAGCGGCCGCTGGCTACTTATGTACTGCCGCATGGCGCTAGCATTGCGGGTGACTCTAAGTCATTGTAGAATGCGGGCTTTATTTTGGGTTAGGATTGGTTTGGTTAGGTTAGGTTAGGTTAAGTTAGTTTAAGTTTGGTTAGGTTAAGTTTGGTTTGGTTAGGTTTGATTAGGTTAGTTTATCAATAACATGAGTATTGTAAACGAACCTTAAATTGTGGAGTGCAGGCTTTATTTTCGGTTAGGATTGGTTAGGTTAGGCCTAGGTTAGTTAAGTTATGTTAGGTTAGGTTAGTTTAGGTTAATTTAGGTTAGGTTAGGTTAAGTTTGGTTATGTTAGTCTAGTTTAGGTTAGGATAATATTGGTTAGGTTAGTTTATCAATAACATGATTATTGTAAGTAAACGAACCTAACCCAACCTAAGCAAACACTCAACCTAAACTAACCTAACCTTACCAAACCTAACCTTAACCCTCCAAGTGTCCATAGTTTAGGCCTTAATGTCCACCTATTTTTGGCGCATTTGCAAGGTTTTATTAAAACGGATCTGAGAAGCTTAAAACGATGTTAATTCTAATGTTCTATATACCATTTTGTTTGGAAAATCATGGGCTTCAATATTATATATAAAACATAAGGAACATTTTTTCAAAAAAAAAAAATTTTAGGTAAAAAAAATATAATTTCGAAAATTTTCAAAAAAAAAATAAGTTCGCGCTCAATGAAATTGTATAAATTATAGGCCTATAAATATTTGAAAATAGCCACTTTGTTCTAAATTTTATGAGGATTACAAATATATAATAATATAAGGAAGTATATTTGCAAATAAATAAGTTATGGGCAAAAAACTGATTTCAGTACATAGCGTTTAGCTAAGAATGCATAGCCTAACCATAGCTAGGAATCTGGCTGATAATTTACATCAATATCACTACCTACTTCTTCAGGATCATCAACCAGCACTTCAAAACCACTTAAATCTTCTTATAATGCACCACGTATATCACTACTTTTGATTTTTAACACTAAAACAATGATAAACGTAATAAAACACATCAGTCATCGGTCCGGGGGAACCTAGCTGTTTACAAATACACGCACGTCAGCTGTCTGCTACAATATTTTCGGAACTAAAATGAATAGCGCTTAGAGACAGACCTCTGCAGAAACCTTAGAATATTACGGAAAGAACGATACCTAACTCGATCCAGTTCAATCCGATTCAGTCAGTTATAGAGCCTTCGCCGTAAACGATGTCTGCTTGTCGAAAAATCGGCAAGTAACACTATACAAAGTGTGGTGCTTGCCGAATTTTCGTCAAGTAACACTGGGAGGGTTAAATAAAGCCCGCATTCCACAATTTTAGGTTCATTTACTTACAAAACTCATGTTATTGATAACCTAACCAAACTTAACCTAAAATAACCTAAACTAACTTAACCCAAACTAACTTAACCTAACCTAACCTAACCAAACTTAACCTAACCTAACTTAAACTAACTTAACCTAACCTAACCAAACTTAACCTAACTTAAACTAACCTAACCAATCCTAACCCAAAATAAAGCCTGCATTCTACAATGGCTTAGAGTCACCCGCAATGCTAGCGACATGCGGCAGTACATAAATAGCCAGCGGCCGCTTTTCCGGTGATATTTTACTTAATGGTAAAAAAATTACATATTCTTGTTCAGGAGGAAATTTTGCACAATTTGAGTACCCACAACATGGGTTTTAGGCAAAAAAAGATTTTTCCCATTTTCCGGGAAAACGGGACGTTTCCGCAAAAAATGAATATCATTTTTGGAATCAGCACTAAAAAACGAACAGATTATAAAAAAATAATAATTTTTAGAGCGTTGACTGGAGGTCGACATAATTACCGAGGTGTGTATAGGTAGTCAATGACTGAACTTAGCTTTTTCATGTCAAGGATTGTCTAAGGAGGTAGTTTAGCCACTTATTTGTCATACAGTAAGTACTAAAACTCCTGGCTTTAGAATGGTCAATTGCACAAATTTGTCAACTAGGCCTAGGTTGAAGAAAATCTTATTAGGGTAGGCCTAAACTTAGTTGTTCCCACGATAAAAAGGATTTATGTTATTTAACTACTCATGATTAGGTTTACGTTGACGCCATTATGAACTGACACTAATCCAGCAAGTACTACCATAGCCAGAATGCCCCGTTAAGTTAGGATAATCGTAAGCGTAAGCATTTCCATACAACTACAACACAATATGGAGCGTAACTAACGTTATTCATATCAGTTGCCAAATTAAAATTAACTTTCTTACCTATATTTTGTGAAGCCAACTCCTAAGAAAAGATATTGTCACAAATCAATCAACACCACCACTTCGACAACACTCTCTCTCAAGCTCAAGTCTCTGTTCAGAGTGAGTAGCAGTGTTGCCAATCCACTATGGCCCAATTACCCCCTCCAAAGCAAAGAATTACCCGCTTTTTCTAAAAATTACCCTCAAGAAACCAAAAATTCCCTTTTAACACTCTTGCCTGTCTAAAAGTAACGAATAAAAACCCTGATAAATTAGTTTTGAGTAATCCCACAAATTAAGATATAGTAAAGAACTAAATATAGGACTTGAGACTTGTAATTAACCTTCATAATGAAATTTGCAATCTTACTGACCTTAAAAAAATAATTACATTAGTCCTACAATGATTTGGTTTTTTTATGATAGCCTATGTCATATACTTGTTTAATAATGAGTAAGTACTGTTAAAAATTTTATTTTTTATTAGTTTTAGGGAGAAAATAGTTATTATAACCGATCAACATTATTATTCCCCTGTTTTATGTTTTTCATCTTCTTTAGAAATAGACTAGTACGGTATTTCCTTTACCATGGTATCAGCGTTGACAGTAGCATTGAGTATAAACCTAACCTTAGGGGTTAGGTTTATACTCAATGACAGTAGTATAGTGACTAGTGAGAAGTGAGATCAGGATCACGGATCAGGCATTTAAGGCCAGGCAACCAAAAGTTTTTCCATTCCAATCCAAAAGAAAAGACTACAAACAACCGTACTGACTGAAACTGAACCGAACCGAACCGACTGAACGCTGTAGCCTACTCGCATTGACTTTATATCTACACTAGTGACTGAGTGAGAACTGAACCAAACTAATGAAGATTAAGAGAAGTAGTGTAAAACAATAAAAAGTCTGTGAAATAACTTTAATGGAAAAAAAACACAAGGAAATATTTTTCTTCTAGTGAAATAATATAAGTAATAATACGAAAAACAAATAATATTTGATCAGTTGTCATTTACCCGCTTTTTACCCGCATATTTGCCATTACCCGCAGCATTACCCCCAGGTAACTAAATTACCCGCTTTTCGGGTAATTACCCGCTTTTTGGCAACACTGGTGAGTAGTGAGTAGTGAGTAGTCTCAGTCACTCAGTCTAAAGCTCAAGTCTCCACTCCACTCCAGTCTCAGCCACAGCTCAGTTAACTGGGTCACTCCACTCCCACTCCATTCCACTACTCCACCACGGCCGCCTTTAACTACAGGCCGCGGCCTGGTAGAATTGGCAACGTCGCAAGTGGTGTTCAGTGACAGACGTCCCATAAGATAACATGGCAGACAGGTGACATCAGCTCATTAACTCACACTTTATTGATTTAAATTTATATTAATGAACACAAATTTATTAAAATATTGCAAATAAAACATACAGAATTGGAAACCGAAACAATATCAATTAAAATCTATATCTGTACATTTTTAAGCGGAGTCAATATTGTCATAGTCCAGTAACCAAACTTTCATAAATACACAAATACCATTAGCTTCTTCCAAACAAAAACAGCTGTTACAACACCACTTGCGACGTTGCCAGTTCGAAGGCCGCGGAGTTAAAGGCGGCCGTGACTCCACTCGTTAGGGACGTTGACTTGACATGCTTTGACGTTAGGGTCGTTCTCGTTCTCGTTCTCAGTTACTGGACCTGAACTGGACTGGACTCAGGTAGGGACGCTTACATTTTATTTCAGCACCGGTTCTTTAATACGTACAAAATGAGAGCATTCTTTGGCTGAGGGAACCATTACTGATTAACTGCAACGATAGACAACGGTGTTCTAGGTTTAATGGATAGAGCACTGGCAGGGATACTGTATATCCCCTGGAGCCAAACATCTTCATAAAGTCACTAAAAGAGTACTTAACAGTCAGACCCTACTACTCACTATCAGAATACACTGAAGAACATACATACCAACACCTCAAATAGGGCCCATCAATGCTACTTCAATCAAATATTGACGATTCCCCAATCACCAGATTGTGGAGAAGACATCGAAGGTAAAAAAAAAAAAAAAAAGGAGCCCTGGACTGATGTGCAGAAGGTGAATTCCTCCGCTGTGACATTAACTTTTTGTCAAAGATTTTGCTTATGCGATTACTTCTTAACTGTACATAATTAGTTAGAATTTTAGACATTTATAATAATTTTATTTTATGATCAGAACTATTTTTCGATTAGTAAACCTTCATTTCAATTTTTCATTATCAGCAAGTTTAGTTAGGTAATGACAGTTTAATTTTAAAATTAAAATTAATTTTATAATTTTTCATTTTTTAAATCTCATTTTGTCCGTATTAAAAATTCCCAGCTGAAATAAAAATTGTGCGGATGGGACTGGACCTGGCTGGTCACTCACTTGTTACACTAATACATTAATTTTCTTATTTTTAAGTTCCCTAGCACTTCACTAAGTGAAAACGATTGACTATATAAGACCATAGATAAAACATAAGACTAAGTGTGTTATATAGAGAATAGTTCCTGTCTCCTGTGGGCGTGGGTGGTCCTTCCTTTCCCCTTCTTCCCTCTTTGTGTCATCTTCTTTCTTTCTTCCACAATCCAATAATCCAACCCACATCCACTGACTAGTGACTCCACTTCACTACAGCAGTTTGTCTTCGTGCGCTTTCTCCTTTTCTTTGTCCTGATGGTTCAAGAGTTTAGCCATAGGCCCAAAGATGAAGTATCCACGATGGGTTTAGCCATATAGATGAAGATGAAGTAATATAATTATATTACTTCATCTATGGTTTAACTATGCTTATGCTATGACATATTGTTTTTTGTACGGATACTGTTTTTGTTCAGTATTTCAGATTCAGGAGTACAGAGTTTCAATATAAAGTCAATGGTTTCAGTTAGCTCAGCTCAGTTCACATTCCGCCACTCCGAGATACTATTCCCCCAAAAAAATGTGCGTTGTACGATAACATGTCAAAACATGGAGATCTATGGTACGATCTACCGAAAACATATCGCCCCTGTCAACCGAAACGATTGTTCGCTACTATTGACATTCAGTTGCAATAGTTTTTTGTTGGAGTTGGGCGATATTTGTTACTGTCCTTCCCTTCAACTTTCTTAACTTTCTTTTGAATATGTAATCAAGCTTTTTGGAGGATAGGTTAAATAATGCTACTAGCTGCAGACCTATTCAAAAGCTACCAGTACGAGTATTTCATTGATTCATTCGCCCGAATGTTTAGGTCAGATTCTGACAGCGACCGCGAATGTTGACAAAAATGTGCAATTGCAAGTGCAACCCGAACCACCCCGAACGTACAGTAATAAATGGTAATAAGTACACTATCGGTGAAATAGGTGTTAACTGTATGGCATACTATTGGAGCTTGGCAATGTAAATCATCCAACAAATGAGAAGTAGAAATTCATTCCAAATTAATTATTGATAAGGAATTGATTGTACTCTTGGCAAGTAAATTATGTAATAATGAACATAGAGATAAGTAGGCTAATATAAGTGTACTCCAAAAAGGAAGTAACATCTAATTTTGAAAAAAAAGTCAATTGTAAAATATAGAAATTCAAAAATCTTTTGGCGAATTCCCCAAGGGAATAAGCCATTACTTTAGATGGTAAGACCTGGATCCAGGACCAATTTACTTTTCTAAATATTAAGAATAAAAAAGCAACTACACTCGAAAATCCTTTCTTGCAGAAATATTCGGTATGTTATAGTGAAGCGATTGAAAACTAAAAAGGGTAAAAAGAGTAAATAGCAGCTTAGTTAATAGATCATTCCAACCAGGGTTCTAAGAATGACAATGGGACAAACCCCCTTTCTTATCTTTTTTTTAATTTAAAGTAAATCCACTCTCTGGTTTTACAAAAAAAATTAATTTGTAACTTTCATAAATATTGTTTGGTTAGGTTTGAATGCTTCTGTTCACTTTTACAATCAGTATATGCCACCATTGACTATTAATACAAAAATACCACCCAAGTGGGTATAACCATTGACTATTGGATACAGAAGTTGTGGTATTATAACAGTCAAATATATAACATCTATAGTAATTAATAATAATAAGCTAAACATGCACTATTTTATATTTACTTTTTTACATCAAATCCTGTACTTAAATGATTGCATGAAGTTACTTCAGAGTAAAATGTAACACCTGTGTTTGTTTATTTATGTCCAAATTAATACTATGGAAGTAAATCAAATTTATTGTATACCAGAGTTTCCCATGAGCACCACTAATTCCAAATTTCAGGCCAGAAACACTCCCATCACGGACAGAGGCTTGACAGGGTTACCAAACATCGGCAACACCTGTTTCCTGAACTCAGTGATTCAATGTCTCAGTAATACTAGACCTCTACTAGAGTATATTTTAAGCAATGAGTATTTGGGTGAAATAAGAAATCCAACCAAAAGTCTTGTGATAGAATGTTTTGCGGAGCTGATTCAGAATATTTGGAATGATCGCAAAAGTTCAGTGAACCCTGTACATTTGAAGCATGCGGTTGAACTGTACGCTCCTCGTTTTAGTGGGTACAGCCAGCATGACGCTCAGGAGTTCCTTAAATATCTGTTAGAAGGTCTTCATCAAGAGTTGAACAGAGCAAAATCTGTTCATGATTCAGATAAGGATAGCAACCACAGCACCACATCCTTCAGTGCTACCGAATCTTGGCAAACATATCTGAAGACAGACAACAGCAAGGTGGTCAATATATTCGGAGGGCTTCTAAAGTCAGTTTTAAAGTGTACTCAGTGTGGATTCTCCTCAACTGTTTATGAACCATTCTGGGATCTCTCATTATCCATTCCGATCGATAGCAGCCACCGCATTCAAAATCTCCACCTCAATCACTGCTTGAACCTTTTTACCAAAGAAGAAACGCTTGATGGTCTGGAAAAACCTCTATGTGAAAAATGCAAAATGAAGCAAATATGTGTCAAAAGAATCTCGATTCAGAAGTTCCCCAGTATTCTTGTTATCCACCTGAAACGGTTTTCTGGGAACGGAATCACTCGCAAAATAGACCAACACATAGATTATCCCCTGGTTGGACTCGATCTGGGTGAATACTCTGCTGACACCCAGTTTCGGAGCATAAGCTACAACTTGTATGGGTTGATCAACCACTACGGGACATGTCAGTTTGGACACTACACAGCCTGTTGCAAACATCCCTACTCTGGACGCTGGCATCGCTTCAATGATCGTTCCGTCTCACCTATCAACACCAACCAAGCAGACAAGGCGGAGGCATATATTCTCTTCTACGAGGCTGTAGTGTAACATCGCTTGCTTGAAAATTTGATTTAAAATTTACAGATAGTGTAATATCAGATGGACAATATTTGATATTTATCTTAGTAAGTGTCCTACAAAATATTTAAGCAAAGTAGACAAAAGTATTTACTTTTCACCAAACTATAAAATTATATTGACAAAATGTCTGGCATACAGTAGCCTACCAATATATTGTTTCTCATCCATAAAATATTTCCAATCTTATTTTTTAATTTATTTACTTCTTAATACATTTACCAAGCTTTGCAACGTAATATTATTAGTTGGGCTGGTATTCTTATTTTAAAATAGAGTACAATACTCAATACTGTAACTTATACCGTACTATTGGAGTCTTGATTTCTACTTCATTACCCAAAAGTCCTTGGTGGTATTTAATGAAAAAGTGAATAAAGCGTTCTTCACCTTAGTTGGTGAAAAATTACTCAAAATTGCTCATCACAAAACACACCAGATTCAACCAAAATTAATGATTCATTTTGCTCAAAGCAGAGGTCTGACTAATTTACCAACTTCATCCTAGCTTTAAAAACATTGCGGCATTGTTAAATCTAGGATGAGTCATTAGAACGCTCACCCTGAAGGTAGCGATTTTAATTTTATGAAAAGTCAAAACCATTCTTAAATGGTTCCTAACTGGATCTGGCTGTACTTGATCATTGTGGTTTAAATAAAAAATTGAAGTTGATCTATGAAAACGTCCTTGATGCTATAGATTTAACACATTCATAGATTTGTCTTCAGTAGTCCTTATGCATCATCTAAAGACAATTTTAATGTCAATTCCGTCCGGTGCCAGTAGAGGCATGTTTTTCTTTACAATTTGTTTTTTGCTATTTCGAATATTCCACAACTAGTTTACCCAAATAAAACAATCTAATCTATCTATATAATTAATACGCTACACGAAAGTTTGTCGGTTGAACTCCTCCGCCATTTCCTAACCGATTTTATCCATTGACGTCTCATTGGAAAGAGCACGTCGCGTAGATTTGCAAACTGACCTTACATTTTTGAAAAAGTCCCTTGGGCTCTGCCCCAGTGGCTTTGAAAGTTCCCATGTTATCCTTATGAAGAACATAATTGTTTACATTTTGATCAGCTGTATAATTTTATTGCTGTTATTTACTTTTCAATTCAATGAAACACATTGAGTACATTTATTTACTATTTGAGTTTGTGTAAACATAACCCCCAAGACGGATCGTGTTAGTATGGTTGTATCTTAAATTTGTGTATTTATCGTTGTTTTGTGTCGCTATGATGGATTGTGTTAGGATGATTGTAACGTTTGTGCATTTATCGTTGTTTTGTGTAGCTATCATTTGTTTATTATTTGTTGTTTATTTCTTTTAAATGTCTCCGACGCAACGACAACGAAACATAGACAGGAGGCGCAATCGTGATAACGACCGCAGCTACAGAACAGTGGCGCGTAATAGGCTTAACTCATTACAGTCTGAACCTGAACCTGGACAACTTCAACTATTTGGTTACAAATGCGCCCTAACACTACCCCAAAACGACTTTTCGTTCTCAATTGGCCCTCTATTAATGACCTGTGTTGCCTGTACAGCGAGGCATTTTGAGAAGGAGAGAACCGTCCGGAATGCTTTAGGTTTATCAACAATAACGAAGATAAACATGGTCTGAGTTACACAACGGTAATATTTGAGTTGACTCTTTTAAACTAATTGTAAATATGACTGTTATTCAATCTGAAATAACTCCTGTAATACTTTGTAATTTTGCTCGAATTCGAGCAACATGTACACTAGTACCGTAAAATGGGGTGAATAGAAACACTTTTTGACTTTTAAGCTTCTGTAAAAACAATATTTTTAATTTTTAAATTTTCAAAACTAGCTCATATTTTTGGTCTTGGACTCCTCTACTCAAACCAGTTATCAATTTTTTTTTTCTTTTTAATCATTAAGCAGAAAAAAAATAAAATATAGCTGTTTCTATTCACCCCGCACTTTGGGGTGAATAGAAACACTGTGTTAAATTGATGATTGTTGCTTTTCCCCACTTACCAGGGGCAATAGGAACATGAAATTAATGCTTGTTAGCTTAGGTTGTTGTAAATTAAAATATTTTAAGTTAATTAACACATTTATTTATAAGTACAAAGTATAAAAACATCGTTTTCATAAACCCTTATCCAAACAAATCGGAGAACATAAATGACAATGGGTGAAATCAGAGTAACAAAATCTTACATAGAAACAAACTAAATGAAGAGTAAAATCAGACAAATCTTCCTCAAAATACAACACTCCCTTAAATCTACAAGTTGTACACGGCTTGGGAGTTGGAAGCCGACGTACTACGTCATCGACTTTGAAGAGGGCCTCTTAATCTGTCTCTCAGAACTTTTTGGTTTGCGCAATTTTCTTGATGAATCTTCCTATTTATCCTTCCTCGTCAAATTCAATAACTTTTGCAACATATAAACGATAGCAAGTTTTGTTTTTCCCCATTACTTTGACAATTACATGATCATGAAGGGACAACTTTGAAGGCTCACTGATGTCTTGAGCTAGGTATGCTGGTTCTTCTTCATCAAATTGTTCGTCTTTGTCACTTTCTTCCAGTGAGAAGTGTGACTGATGTGGAATCATCTTCATATCTGGTATTTTTTTTTTTTGGGGGGTTTTCAGGTCAACCTTTGTTAATTATTTGCACCACTGGTTCCAAAAAAAAGTGTTTCTATTCACCCTGGTTTTGCAAAATCATGACATAACCTAAATTAAAAATAAAGTAAAAAAATATAGTTTATTTTAAGGCTAATCTATTAACCCACTTGGTTTTAAGATCCCTAAGACAATATAAAAAATGGTTATTAACGTAAATACATGTAATAGGTTCATACTTAGAGAGAAAGTTTTGAAGAGAATGTTTTTCGCCAAAATTTTCAAATTTTGTTTCGCATCATCCAACATCCGAAGCAGTGATACCAATATGCTGAAATAATTTTTCCCAGGTAGATAGGATATGGTTATAATGGGGGAAAATAATTCCCTTCTATAAAGTCAATGTATAACAAAGTTATAAAAATGTGAATCATTCATTGAAGTTTTGTTTCTATTCACCCTGTTGTTTCTATTCACCCCATTCTACGGTACTTATTTAATACGCAAGCAGGATTTTTGTGACTATTACTCCTCCGAAACTACTGAACCGATTGTCATGTTTTTGGTGTCATTGGAAAGAGCGTAGCGTGAAGTTGTGCAGGAAACTTTCTTTTTAGGGAAATAATGAGAGAGTGAGGCCCTGGAGTCCTTTAAAGTTTCGTATTTCTCCATAAGTTTAACATTGGAAACAAAAATTGTTATGAAACTCCAGCTGTTGTCAGAAATCAAAAGTGAGAAGAAGAGCATAGGTTAATCCTAAACAGTCAATAAGTTTGCTAATATAGTATTACAACAGTTTGCTACAAATATTTACTTAGCAATTGCTCGAATTCGAGCAACAGGGACACTAGTTAAAATTAATAAACAATAGCTTATACTCTGGTTTTATAACTAAACAGTAAAGCATGAATCATCAAACTAACCCTAGATTAGGAGAAAATAAATTTTGTTGACACTAGCGCTCAATGTCACTAACACAAACCACACATAGAGGTCACACTTCAAATTTAATGGGATGAGAAGTCTACTTGTGTGATAGTCCGTCCGTTTGGCTATGATACCCAGCTGATTAGAAACCTTCTCAAAACTCTACACCCTTCAGTCCCGCTCGCCAGCTGGCCGTTGATAAAAGGTTTAACTACAGTACCTACTGTCACAGTCCCACAGACTGTCCTACAGTCTACAGACAGTCCTACAGATGTGTAACTTTTTTTTAAGTTAAAATAAATTCTTATTTTGAGTTGTACATTAAATTCCAAAAATAATGAGTCCAAACACGATGTGGATACTTAATTAATATCTACAATCAGAAAGTTTGACAAAGCTGGTGACGATACAGAGTAATTGCAATTCTGTCAGATTGTAGATATTAAGTATCCACATCGTGTTTAGGCTCATATTTTTGGAATTTCATGTAGAGCTCAAATTTATAAAGAATAATTTATTTTAACTTAAACAAAAAAAGTTACAGATCCTGTGGGACTGTGCCAGTGGGTGAATCATTGTTTGTCTCCGGCCAGCCTGACGAGCGGGTCGAGAGGGTGAGTTGAGTTCCGAGAAGGTCCCTACCGCTGGGTATCATAGCCAAACGGACTATCTATAGTTAGTCTAGCATGTTACTGAACAGTGGACATAACTTTAAAATGTTTTCAGCTGATCTATAAAAATGATCAATCTATAGAGTAGCATTAATCATTGGGTAAACCCGTAGGTAGATATCACAAGTGACTTAAGACTGCTTGTCAAACTGTAAATGTTATTTAATCATCTATCACAAGCCAATTTTAAATACAGCTCTTTCTGAAAATAATATAGCAATAGCAATAAGAAAATGGATTTAGTAAAATTCACATATAATTTAAATCATTTTATTGCAAATTACATTACATCTGTACAAGTTGATTTATCACAATAAACAATAAATTTACCTAAAATTAACATTCTCAATGAACGATGATCGAGCTCTCGCACAACCCTGACAACAAGTTCTGCAGCCTTTCCTTCAATAAATAAGGACTAGATTTCCCTCTAAATAAAAATATAATACTGCACAAAACCGCAATACTATACGAAGGATCCGTAAAGCGTATCGTGAGCTGAGTCTTTAATTCGGGTGGTAGAGGTTGAGTGGAGATTAATGCTGCATGACGAAGGCGTGCAGAGTCATTGGAACATGTGATTGGAAATGGATGTCGTTGTCTCTGACGACTCTGGCGGCCAGACAGCTGAGCTTGGTGTAGTGGAGGGGGTTGACCAGGAGATGCAGGGGTTTGCCGCTGAGATGGAGTATATCTGCTAACGTACGACCTTGGCCATCACGAGCGTCTAGGTGTGCTCCATGGCTCAATAACGCCTGCACAGAACAGAGCAAGTGACAGTTGGTACGTTATGTCCCTAACCTTATTTGTATGTAACTTTGAGTTGAGATTGTAATGTAAAGTATCTTAACAGTGAGAGAGGGGGGTTTAGAACAAGGAAGAAAAGAATGAGGTAATGATTATACAGATAAATCGCCCGTTAAAGCTATGTAAACTAAAAATCATACTTTGAAGTACACGTGACAGAATTGCATCTCACGTTGCAGTATTTTTTTTAGCATTTTGTCCTAGTACAGCCATGGAAGTTGTGTGTATGTGTTTGTGTTTTGTACTGTAGATATGCAGAACAAACACAAAAAATCCTTGGTATATTCAATATCATGTAACGGATATTTTGTATAACTCAAACCAAACCTAAGTAAATATGAACACAAGTTTCTTCAATTACCTATGAATCCCAGTTGCTTTATTCAATACTGTATTCCTATTCTAATATGTGGTACTCTCCATGCCCTAAATGTCCCTACGGTCTTGAATTCTTCAGTAAAAAATTCAGTGTTTAAACTTTTTTCTTTGACGATGATATGCTCGAAATCACCTAATCAAAAGCACATGCTTGAATAGTGTACAGTCCTAAAAATCAAGGTGTGCTGTTATCATATGTTCCACAAGGAACTTTTTCAATGCTCGCTCTAATGGGTCTTCACCAAAAAAGCTTGTGTTGAGCCAAACAATGCTACGCTTTCAAGTGTACAGAGCGTAAATGAGAGAAGAGAAGCAGTCAAAGCTGGGTAGAGTTGTTAAGGGATACGAGGAGGCAGGACATGGCTCCACACAATTGGAAAGAATTTTAAATCTATATTTAAGTTTTTGCTTGCAAACTGTTATAAAAATGGTGATAACGGTAAGCAGTCATAAAAATATAAAATAAATGTTGAATGAGCAGTCTTACTTTGGCCACAGAGGGGACGAGGGGGTCGTTGGCGGCTGCCAGGTGTAGTGGGGTGTTACCGAGATCGTCTCTAGCGTTGACGTCCGCCCCTACCTCCACCAACATCTCCACCAGCTCGGGCGAGGGGAAGCGACACGCCTGGTAGCGGCCGACCAGTGTAGATATGGAGGAACACGCCAGGTGTAGCACAGTCTGTCCTAGTCTACCTCTCACGCCCAGGGATACCAGCGAGTACAGCGTCTGTACAAACAACAGCCCATGTATAAACTGCAGTAATATATATAATTCAATATATATGATTTTTGGATAACACAGAATGGGAATGCCGTTCCCACTTCCCTACTAAACTGGTCTCAAGAGCCAAGATTTCCGTAAAGCTGGGTTTTCCTAGACACGGAAACGGAGAGCGGAAATGAGATTAACATGGTGTTCCGCTCTGTTTCTAGGAAAACAGTAACTAAAGAAACTAACTAAACTACCTAAGAAAAGTGGAGTCCTCTCTCCAGTCTATTTCCTCTCTCCGCGTTCCTCTCTCTGCTCTCCACTTCTGCGCCTAGGAAAACCCGGCTTAAGAGGAAGCGAGACTATTATGAGTGAGATAAGGGAGTTTCCTTTCCTTTTCTCCAGTATGATATGAAGTAAGTTACAAGATATTTGTGTGATGTAAACCTCTAAAGAACAACAAGCACAAGCTATGTGAGCAAATTTTGATGTGATGCAGCAAACGTGTGAGTGACTCACCTGATGTGCCAGGTGTCTCTGCTTGTCGGTGAGCGTGTGCAGTATACGTGCCAGCAGACAGCCCAGGTGTAGAGCTATGACCAACACTCTGTGTAGATGTGCCGGGTCTCTGTCTTGACACACCTGCAGCACCTCAGCACCTGCCCGCACCTCCGCCACCGCACGCTCCAACACACTCACAATGTCTGCGAACGCTACTGACGGCACGCGGCGCCCTCGCGAGTTAGCTCTGCTACCTGCAACCCAGCCAACAAATCAATGTCTCTGCATTCATTCATATTTATTTTATCGCTACAGTGTTAGTTTTTATTCATAGAGGGTCTCAAAATAGACTAGGAATGGTATTTTAATTTGTAAGTAGCAGTAATGAGATGGAGGTTTGCACACAAATAGGCTACACCTAAAAATCCACTTTTGAAGCAAATACCAATTTTTCCATCATGCTGGAGGGGAGCAGTCAAAAGGAAATCTTTATTATAGTACACTAAAGAACACAGAGCTGAAATTCTGGCCTCAAAAGGTCCAAGCATAGCTAGGTTGTCAAGCACTCCAAAAACTACTTTAATATACTTTTGTAATGCAGATAAACACACAAATATATCAAATTTTTATATTAATTTAATTTGATATATTTTTATACTTTTGAAGTAGTTTAATTTCAAAACTTACACAAGGAAAAAATTATCTTTGATCATACATAGTAATAGGTCAAGAATTCCAACAGATGTAAATGTAATCTAGACAAGTGACAATGTAATTCCTTGAAGGTTACATGCAACTGTAATGTGCCAGAGGTTCCAGATATGGTCTCAGACCTTCAAACATCCTGGTAATGACTAATTGAAATCAGAATAGTCAAGACTGCAGCTATATTTAATTCAAGGTTGAAACATTTACAATTCTAACTTGCTCCTCAGCTTCTTTATTACAAAGAATTAGCACAATGTAAATATTAGATTAAAATATTTAGACTATAAAACACACACAGGATGTTGAACAGAAAAAAACCACATAATATTTTAAACATGCAGGATATTTCAATTGGATTTTAGTTTGCTCAATCCTATGTATGTTAATTGTTAAAACTAGCAAACAATAATTGAATCACAAAGTTTTCAAATTTTTAAAGTTGGATGAAAAATTACTTTAACCACTTATTGAGATTGGGCTACGTCAGTTAAACAAGTTAATATTTTATTGTTTCCGTCAAAGGGGATTTTCAACTTTTAAGTACTCTGAAACTTGAAATATATTCTGAAAACGGTTTGCTTGGATCAGAATGTTTTAACATTTCATTACAGAAAAATTTATCTGGTACTTCAGTATTAAACGGAGGCCACATTTTGTCAGCGCGCTGCGGCGGTTATGTTAGGTTGGGTTATCATAATAGAAAGTATCGTTCGATTCATAACGAAGCGAGGAAAGTCCTACACACATAATATTTACGATAACCCAACCTAACATAACCGCCGCAGCGCGCTGACAAAATGTGGCCTCCGTTTAATACTGAAGTACCATTTATCTTTTATCAATACTATTCGGAATTGTACTGTAAACATTTAAGTGTCGTAAATTGCAACGACCAAAAACCACAAACCTCTAATATCTGCGATTTCAGAATCTGAATGAGAATCAGAATACTTTATTCTTGAACATATTCATATTCTCAACACATCATAATACTTTTTTTCAGCCACACATTACAAAGAGACTGAAGAAATCCTACCTATCCCGGTTATTTACTTAACAAAAACCCACCACCGAAATTAAGCCTATAGAAAAAGGCAAACAAAAATGATCCTTACAATTGATGTTACCTTCCTTATCCATCATGAAGGAGAAGAGTTCGGTGAAGGAGAAGAGGGAGGATTGTGTCATGGGGTTGAGGGGCTCGAGCATGGTCTGCTGCATCTCTAGAGCGTACGACCACAGCGCGACACAACGTACAAACTTGCCAGCATCAGCGTACACGGCTCCTCTGTAACGGATGTAGTAGCTGGTGTCAGGGTGTGCGGGGCCTGTGACACACCATGTACATTGTTGATGTATCGAGTATATAAATTATTATAGTTTTGCTGGTTGGAGGAGCAAGCTGATTTCAAGATAGAGCACATGGCTTCTGTCCCGATATCTTGGGTTTAAATCCAACCAATCGTAAGTGTTGTGACCTTTGTATGACTGTCTAGGTCCAGCCTGAAGTGACTTGTGAAACAGTTAGCCTACAATGTAAAGGGGAATATAAAAGTCCTGCTAACAAAAAATGCCACCTAATTACTGTTTATAGTACTCGCCACCCTCAGTTGAGGCAGCCCAAGGCCGCACTAGGTATACGCTGTGCGGCCTTGGGCTGCCTCAACTTAGGGTGGCGAGGACTATAACTGCCAATTACATCTCCTCTGATCATAGAGATACTACAGTGACATAACGGAAGCGTACTAAAATACACAATTTCTTATCTAAGAAAGTCATAGCAATTCTGGAGGGGAAAGTAAATAATATCATAACTAAATGTTGAATTAACTTACAATTTGTCTTGTAATTATAAAACAAAACAGATGAGATACAAAGTACTATCATTAACTATTTGTATGTGTTTTCACTAATCCAAAATCAGTGATGGTCCCTTACCCAATATCCTCTCCCGGATAAGCAGCGCCTGCATCCTCATCTCATCCGGGTCTGCCAGTAGGTCTTCCAGGTCTTCCGGGGTCCGGACCTCCCTCGTGTGCTCGTATGCTTCTATGGTGATGGGTTGTACAGGCTTCACTATGGGGATCTGACCCTCTTCGAACCTGCATAACGAACAATAGTTGACGAAACAATCATAAGTTGTAGCAAATAAAATACTGTACTTCGATATGCTTAGTATTTGCCATCATTATTAGGAATTGAATAAAAATATTCTAAAAAGTCATCAGCAAATGTTTGTTAATTTGTTGGAAATTTCATATAAAAAATGTTTTGCTTATTTGATAGTTCAAACTTAATGTGGCTATCTTACTTGTTAAGCCCTCCTTCGAGCTCCCATCTCAACCAAGCAAGCTAGTGACCATGAACATTATACGACTACCACTCCGTATTTCAGATTGAAATAATGTTCTAATTATCTACAAATGTTAAGCTTATTGAATACCTTAAGGGGAGCATGCCGTGAGATGGGTAAAAAAAATTGATTTTTTGAAAATGCTTTAAACTTATTGCCCGTTTTATGCTCTTTAAGAAAATATATAACACTATATACATAACTTGTATATTTTCAGCTAAATAAAATAATTAAATAATGTTTACACATGTTTGGCGCTAGGCCTACTAGCGTGCTCTCCTGAGATGCTCATTGTTTTCACACAAATAGTAACCATCTAACTATCTAAGTAAATTTAGTATATAGGATAACTAGTAAACACTAAGGAGTATTTCATTTGTGCTGTTGGTAGCACTGAATATTTACAGATTATCTGCTGGCCTTCTACTTTGTTTGTTTACCTAATGTTTACATCAAATTACATCTGTCGTCTATCCCAGTGATTGTTGATTGTTGTTGTTGTTGGGATTTTATTCATTTGGTGTTTAGTTTAGAGTTTTGTCGTTACTTTCACGTAAATTAGGCCTAGTTTTTCATCAAAATGCCTATGATTAGAAAGTTTGGGAAACACAAGTTTAGAGGAAATAAATTGCTAAGGCAAATGTTTTGGAACGGGTAGGAATCAAACCAGGAAAGTTTACTATTATATATAGTTTAGGCTTACAAAAATCGACCAAATCAGAATAAAAAAAGCTGACAGAGAAGTGCAGGAAGAAAATAAAAAGCAAAGAATAAGAAGAAGGTTAACAAAAAGGAAACTAGAAGACAGTCTCTGTGTTGAATTCTTGCCAGGAGGTTTTCTAGTGCACTAGTGACAGTGTAGGCCTATTCGTGTTCGTGTTTAAGTTCAATTTCCCGAAACTTCTGTTTTTTAGTGTTTAGGTACCGTTTCTATGGAAACCGTCATGAGTAGAGACTTGAAATTTTCACTAGTTGTTTCTGCTAGATTGTTGAGTAGAATGATGCAACTATGTAATATTATCTTCATTATAAATGGTATAAATATTTTTATTTTCATAAAAAAATAATAAAAAAATGTATATAAAATTTTTTTTATAATATATCTTTCTAACTATTTGCCATAAATTAATTATTTTGCATGGTTATACTGTTTTATATGTATAGGAGCATCAAAAAAAATTTCAGATCAATATCTCATATATTTTTTGAGATATTGGTACCGATATAGAAGCTTGTTACCCCATATAATTAGCATTGTGGCCTAACTCACAGCGTGCTCCCCTTAACGGACGTTCATATCTGCTCTAGAAAACTATTAAAATGCAACATAGCAACGTTTGACTAAGCTAACGTTGTGGACTGACCTCAAGGCCATGGCTCGCTTCCAAAGTTCCAGAGCTCCTATCATATCCCTCTTCTTGTCCACATAGGTGGCCCCTAGTAGCTCCAGGGCCTCTATGCGCTCCGCCCTAGACACCAGGCACTCCTGTTGTATCAGATACTCCACTATGTGGTTGTGTCCAGTCACACTGGCGGCTAGGAGAGGGGTCATGCCTGCCACATATAAAAATAGTCAACTACACCACTACAGAAATCCTTGTAACTTCAATCTAAGATAACAACCCCAACCATCCCTCCTAGCAAGACTTCATGAAGATTTTAGTGAAGTTGTAGTGTATGTGCAGAAAAATCTTTTGTGTGAGTGTGTGTGTATATTTGTTACAATATCAGTGTCAATATTTTTTTTATGTGGTGGCTATATTTGTCAACACTAATGTGTTCTACTCTCTGAACAAGCCCTATATTAGCACAAAGTATCAGTGTTATGTTTTAAGCTCCTAAACTCTTAATTTTATTAGATAAGCTAGCTGGATTCTATACCAATCTAAGAAAACTTTTTACATAATGAAAATTTAAAAACAATAGCAAATAATTGGTTCATATATTTGATGTTTTGGATAAAAACTGTTAAAAACCGATTCCTCAAATGTATGCAACTTACCCTAAATTTGTACCTAGGATATTCCGTAATTGACAAAACCTACCATAGGAGTCAACGTCCATCTTGGCGCCTTGTTTTATAACCAGCTTGAGGATGTCGAGGGAACCACTCTCTGCACAATCGTGTAGAGCTGTGTTGCCTTTGACACTCTTGCGGTTCACATTGGCTCCCAGAGTTAACAGGTACTGTGCGATCCGGTAGTGGCCTTTGTAGCAGGCGATCATCAGACACGTGTGGCCGTGTCTGTTGGACACCTCGATATCTACAACATTTGACTTCGTCAGTCGGGTAACACACAGATGCGGAATACTACCCCTCCCCCTAAGGTGAAATAGTAAGTCACGAAATCTGCCAACTAACCAATACCAATATGGGAGCTGTGTCAGCGACTGGAATACTATCCCCCTAGCAAAATGTGATGCTATGCATTACAGAATAGTTTGACAACGAAACTTGAGTGTCCCTGACTGGAAAATTTCCCCCCCCCTCCCAATCTCTGACATCAACATGACGTAGGAACCTGCTAGGAGGGGGTATTTTGTCTGGGGGGCAGTCTTCCGGCAACTCGGGTAACACCATTGACTTTCGGATACTGAAGTAGTAATCAGATTAAAGAAAATATTTACATGAGCTACTCACAGAGAGTGTGATATCGTCTAAAATTGTATTTTCCTTTTAGTTTCTAATGCAATGATAACTGATGAGACATAACAGGGTTTAATTAAGAACAAGTTGACTTTTCAGTCATGCTTGGTTAAAATATTGGTAAATTCAATGGAAAATTGGAAACCACTCAAGTTGGAAGATAAAAATTATTGCCAAAAGCGCTTTTTAAAACAAGGGAAAAGACAATGTGCATTACTACATGAAAAGACAACAATGGCTTTAAGTTCATGATAGATTTGCTTTCATTGATTTATACAACAAAATCAAGTCTTGGGTTAACTATTAAACTGTTAATTCTCTCACCTGCCCCTTCCTCAATGAGAAACTTGACAATGTCGAAGTGGCCGTCGAAGCAGGCGGCACGGAGTGGTGTGGAGTTGGTTCTAGTGGTGGAGTTAACACAAGCGCCACGCTTCACCAGGAACTTGACAATAGGCAAGTGTCCGGCGGCCGCGGCACACCACAGTGGTGGTGCTCCTTCTATCGTCTCCCCGTCAAAAACCACTGCAAGCATGTGCATTAGATTAGTACAACACTGACTGTTATATGAGAAGTCTGAAGGATGAGATGATAGCTTTGTTCCAGACTAGGATCAAATTGTTCTATGATAGTCGCAACCATTAATTTTAAGCCTGATGATCGGTCGTCCAGTAATTGCGCCAAAGAGTTCCTTAATTGCGCCAAGCCCTCTAAGAGTCCCAAAAGAATGGTCCTAGGTTGCACCAAGCCAAGGTGGAGGGAAACAAATAAAGAAGATGGATTATGGTTTACATATGGGGAACCGGATTGGAATAGATAATGTATGTATGTACCAAAAATTGACAGAAAATATGAAAAAAGAAAGACAAGAACAAAAGAAGGGTTAGAGGGTTTAAGCATTGACTATAAATCCTTAGTCAATGGTTTAAGTAAAAGACAGAAGTGCTGTTAATATAATGTCATGATTGCCCTATATTTAACAAAATTAAAACTGATATAAGGCAGTAGATTACATCTAGAAATACCCTGCCGCAGCAAACCTGCAGACTAAGCGAATTTCCATCTACCTGGCTGGAATTCTACTAAATTATTCCCTTAAAATTATCAGATTTATTTCCTATTTAAATGTAATTTATTTATTGAGTACTTAAATTTGCTGCTACAGGGAATGATACGGTTTTTTTTAATTGAAATATTTATAGCTTAGTAAAAAGTAAACAAAATTTAAAAATTTCATTAAAATATGTCCATAGACAAGCAAGCTACAACAGTTTATTTATTCTCCATAAGAATAACACGGTAATTTTACATTTACACTTTTTTGGGATTTTTTCCTTAACCGTTTAGGCATACAACAATGCTTCAGTATACTAAATTGTTTGTTTTTTGAGTTCTACAAAATGGTTTACAGTACACACCTGATCCGACTTGCTCGATGTCTGCGTTGCAGTGTTCCACCAGGTACTCGACCACCTCGTAGTGTCCGTTGCGGCAGGCCATGACCAGCGGAGTGGCACCGTTGGTCTTCTCACCTACCAGCATCAGAATCTCTTCTCTGTTGCGGTGGTCCAGGAATACCTATCAAAACATCACACTATTAGAATACATAAACTATACATGGTCATTAAACCATACTTCTAGTATACATCAAGTTAAACTGGGTGCAGAGGGCTGTCCATATCAGGAAGATATAAGAAATGCCAAACACGTGTTGAAAAAACATACATTGTAACTTTTCAACCTCACTATCCGCTTTAGCTAGGTATGTGGTAGAGTCTAAAAATTAAACTTCCTATTTTACAATAGTATTGACTGTATTCCTAATATTCTGTTGTACAAAGCTTGTTTGCTCTTATTTCACAAAACAATTGGCTCTACAGTATTGTCATGAATGTACACAATAACTCGATATGAAGCCTGATAAACCATGTCGCTGACATTGTTTGTTAGCAGGATTAATTAACAGTACAGTTATATTTGTTTATAAAATTACTCATTTTTCATCTATGATGGCAACATTTTATTTTGGATGAATTTGAAAAATAGACTAAAAGAAGACCTGATTGCAACTAATTTACACAAAGCCTATATTACGATTTTCATAATATTGGCAATTGTTCAGTGTAGAACGACACTCTAACTTAAGATTAAGTGTGAGAATGTGAAAAGTCTCCTTTATTGGGGGGGGGGGGGGGGAATGAAAGTACTTTACTTTTAAACATGCATGTAAATATAAGAATAAACGTGTTTTTCATAAAGTGTCTATTGATTTGGATTCACTAAAAGGTAGTCCCATTCCTTCTGTAAGTATTAAAGTACAAAATAATTAGGAGTAGATTTAATGGTTGGTTCAAAATAAAACGAAAATGAAATGTAAAATTTTTCCCGAAAATGATTTGTTAGCCATGCAATTTTTTTGTGTTTTACATTTATATCTGGAAAGACTACTAAAGATATCTTTATGAAATTTGATATATAGTTTTAAAAGCCTGTATGACAAAAAAAAATTGTATTTTTAATCTTTTTGAACACGATGTCGTTTGATAAGAAAATTGGAATAAGAAATAGAAGTGTTCTTTACAGTTTTCCATAAAATTAGAAAAACTTTTGTAATTTAAGTTAAAAAAAAAAAATTAAAATGGCCACAAAATTTGAATTATCTGTTCTCAAATAGATTTTGATTCTATAAAACTGTAAATGTCATATTTAAATCCAAAATTGTGGATATCTAGCTTACAAAGAGTTTTAATGTTAATGTTTTTTCTTGGTTTTTGTTTCATTTTACCCACCTATATATACCTTAACTGTTTTGAATTACGGGACGCCCAGTATAAGAGTAGAAAAAGACCAAGCTAACAAAACTAAAATTAATACCATTTCTCATTTCTCTTGGAGCCTCGACAACAACAAAGCGCGGGAAAAACAATGTTGGCTCATAAACATAAGGTGCGTAACCTTGAGGCTGACGGTTAACAACCTTGAAATTGGCGCGAAAATGAACAGCTGTTGTCCTTTTACCTGTTCTATTACAACGATAGCGATAGTGAGACTGACATACTACTAAAATCATAACACCACGCACTTGCACAAATTGATGATTAAATTATGAATGATTAAATTGGTTTTACAGAACGGGTTTAGATTTATTTGTTTACGGACATCCCAACCAGTAGGCGAGGCTGACCTTGAACTATTGACTTTGACCTAACAATTGGTACTAGGGACCAACGATTAGGGACGCGAGGCCCCAACTATTTTATGATTGAACTTTTGAACTTGAATAGTCAGATGACTTAGATAGAGATTGGTGAGCACGAATTCAAGTACTGTTCCAACGGCGGGCACGAATTCGACAACTTTTGTTATTTTGTTTAGGCCTACTAATCATCGAGCACGCATTGGGCAACTTCTATGTTCATTTGAAAATCTCAGAGCCTAATTTCAGGTTAGGTTAGGAATTAGAGACTACTGCATGATACATGACTATTCTGCATGATATGATACCATCTCTATTTTAAATTTTTCAGGGATTACTAAACTCTTCTATTACGCTTCCTTACAATATCCAGATCGTGCCATACAGCACAGCATATTATCAACAAATTATTACAGTGAAATATTTTTTCACTAGTTACCACAACGAGATGTTATAACCATTGACTATATAACCACATCTGGTTGTGGTTATATAGTCAATGTTATAACCTACCAATAATATACGAGATATAATTAAGGATTACTCAATACCTATTCCATGACCTTTTTTTCTAAGCGCAGAAACATTAAATTATTTTCCCCACATTTAAAAATTCCACTAAGATGCGTCTCAATTGTTCGGTTAGAGTGTAGTGGTATATAATTCTTTGCGTTCGACAGTTTAAAAGCTTTTAACGTTGTACTACTTAGTCTGAGTGTAATGGATTCTAGCTAAGCGCACTTGAGCAGCATTAAGACTCAATCCACAACAAATTGAGCATATCACAAGCCGCAGCGTCTGAAACTCTGACAAACAACATTCTGACTCAGAGGTTAACGGGTTAACGACTCCTTAACTAGCATGCCTCGTTGAAGTTTACATTGACATTGGGCTCAGCAATTGCGAAATGGGGGAGACCCGTATCAGTTTTACGGGAAACAGGCGATATACAGGGACAACAATTAGTTTTTGTTTTTACTATGGAGGATACGTATTACAATTGAATTCTCTCAAGGTCGGTAGGCTCACAAAGGGGAGAAGACAATTTCGTAGGGGAGCTCCAAGCTCATATTCACAGTTAGGTAAATATAGGTTAGGCTAGGAATAGTAAGATTAGGTTAGGGTCTAGGTTGGGTTCGTTTCCCAAAATCATCTTCCGCTAAAGTCACAACCTCTGTACTCCTGTAACAACCCCATGTTAGGATAAGTTAAGTAAATATAGATGAAATGACGAAAAATTAGGTTAGTTAGGCAAGGCTTCTCAAAATCAGCTTCCCTTGGAGTCACTAGCAACCAAACAACCTTACCCACATATCTATCACGTTAATGACCTCTTGTTTTCCCCTTGCTGCTAGAAACAGTTTACCAATGAACCGGACTTCCGTTCTAAATCCAAATTTTACAGTGTTGATACTGGACTCATATGGAATAACTCTCTGACTAGAATTAATGATTACGTCACATTACACGATCAGGATATATTTTCCCACCAAATCGGCAACTAATTAGGTAATAATTTTGCATCAGCACATTGACGGGGTTGTACAGGTCCTACTGACTGAGACAGTAGTGGCAGTAATAGGTCAACGTCAGTACCGTGATGGTGGATGTCATATTGATCAGTGCCTGGCCGAGCCCTCGCTACCCCACGACCTTGCCCTGTCACTGTCACTGTCTTGTACACTGACGGGGTTGTACAGGACCTACTGAGACAGTAGTGGCAGTAATAGGTCAACGTCAGTATCGTGATGGTGGATGTCATATTGATCAGTGCCTGGCCGAGCCCTCGCTACCCCACGACCTTGCCCTGTCACCGTCACTGTCCTGTACACTGACGGGGTTGTACAGGACCTACTGAGACAGTAGTGGCAGTAATAGGTCAACGTCAGTATCGTGATGGTGGATGTCATATTGATCAGTGCCTGGCCGAGCCCTCGCTACCCCACGACCTTGCCCTGTCACCGTCACTGTCCTGTACACTGACGGGGGTTGTACAGGGCCTACTGAGACAGTAGTGGCAGTAATAGGTCAACGTCAGTATCGTGATGGTGGATGTCATATTGATCAGTGCCTGGCCGAGCCCTCGCTACCCCACGACCTTGCCCTGTCACTGTCACTGTCCTGTACACTGACTGGGTTGTACAGGACCTACTGAGACAGTAGTGGCAGTAATAGGTCAACGTCAGTACCGTGATGGTGGATGTCATATTGATCAGTGCCTGGCCGAGCCCTCGCTACCCCACGACCTTGCCCTGTCACTGTCACTGTCTTGTACACTGACGGGGTTGTACAGGACCTACTGAGACAGTAGTGGCAGTAATAGGTCAACGTCAGTACCGTGATGGTGGATGTCATATTGATCAGTGCCTGGCCGAGCCCTCGCTACCCCACGACCTTGCCCTGTCACTGTCACTGTCTTGTACACTGACGGGGTTGTACAGGACCTACTGAGACAGTAGTGGCAGTAATAGGTCAACGTCAGTACCGTGATGGTGGATGTCATATTGATCAGTGCCTGGCCGAGCCCTCGCTACCCCACGACCTTGCCCTGTCACTGTCACTGTCCTGTACACTGACGGGGTTGTACAGGACCTACTGAGACAGTAGTGGCAGTAATAGGTCAACGTCAGTATCGTGATGGTGGATGTCATATTGATCAGTGCCTGGCCGAGCCCTCGCTACCCCACGACCTTGCCCTGTCACTGTCACTGTCCTGTACACTGACTGGGTTGTACAGGACCTACTGAGACAGTAGTGGCAGTAATAGGTCAACGTCAGTACCGTGATGGTGGATGTCATATTGATCAGTGCCTGGCCGAGCCCTCGCTACCCCACGACCTTGCCCTGTCACTGTCACTGTCCTGTACACTGACTGGGTTGTACAGGACCTACTGAGACAGTAGTGGCAGTAATAGGTCAACGTCAGTACCGTGATGGTGGATGTCATATTGATCAGTGCCTGGCCGAGCCCTCGCTACCCCACGACCTTGCCCTGTCACTGTCACTGTCCTGTACACTGACTGGGTTGTACAGGACCTACTGAGACAGTAGTGGCAGTAATAGGTCAACGTCAGTATCGTGATGGTGGATGTCATATTGATCAGTGCCTGGCCGAGCCCTCGCTACCCCACGACCTTGCCCTGTCACTGTCACTGTCCTGTACACTGACTGGGTTGTACAGGACCTACTGAGACAGTAGTGGCAGTAATAGGTCAACGTCAGTACCGTGATGGTGGATGTCATATTGATCAGTGCCTGGCCGAGCCCTCGCTACCCCACGACCTTGCCCTGTCACTGTCACTGTCTTGTACACTGACGGGGTTGTACAGGACCTACTGAGACAGTAGTGGCAGTAATAGGTCAACGTCAGTACCGTGATGGT